TTTTATAAGCGCGAGGCAATATATCGCTGATATTAATCAAGAACATTTTGATAATGATATGATGTTTAGAGGATGTCGCGTAATTAAAGAGGAATATTTAAAGAAGTGATAGCAGCCCTTAAAACATACAAAGAGTTTTCATGAACCTCTGGTCTGGTTTAGAAAAATAGGTGTTTTTTTTTATCAACCACGTTTTTTATTGACTTGGCGATAACTAACGAAATATTTGATTTAGGTAAGTAAAGATTGCACCATGGTAAATCAGACGAAATTTCCTTAAACTGCAAGTAAGGTTTATAAATTTTAAAACCATTTAAAGAGGGCTTTATTTTTTTCATTTTTGGGTCCTCCCCTTCCTCGCCGTTAAGGCTATACGGGGTTTTCCCGGGCCAGAGGGTGTGGACGGGGATTTAAAAGACGCCTTGGCACTGGGACGCGAACTCATGACTGTTTTTTATTCAATATATCTTATATCAGGTTGCCGGGCAACGGTGGTGCTGTGCACAACGCGTTAGCCCATTCGGCCACTCCGCCCTTAAAGAGGGCTTGTAAGCAATTCAAATAGAATATATTGTTTTGTTTTTTTTATTTATAAATAAAATAAATTATTCGTGGCTTTTTTTTCAACATCCCCCTCTCCCTGTCAATATTAATTAAGTTCAGGTTTGTGACAGGATAAGTTTAAATTCTCCTCTAGTTACTTAAAAAGATTAGGTAAATTGTTATTAATACGTTACTACGTTAACTTGTAAAACAAATAATTCTGCTGCCTCGAGAATTTGTTATCTAAAGCGACAATGAACCAGTGTTAAAATAAAAATATATCTATATAATGGTGGGAGTTGATCCCTATAGTATTAAGTGACCGGCTGAATCATTCTAATCGTAATATTTACGTTTTAATTAAAATATTTATAGCCATAAAAGTGCCAGTTTGGCCTGTTTACGTCACTGAATATATTTACAAACAATTGCAAACCAGCCTCTACAGTATCCATTTAATTGTGCTATATTTACCCTCAGTACGGCAGCAGAACAATAACCCTCCTATAAAGTTCATTAGATGGGGCTGAAAAAAATTGTAATAAATATTTTAATCCAAATATAATTCCATACCGATAAATTAAATCTGAGAGTATTTGATTGAACCCACAGGCATATCTACGGGGGAGGGGCTTTCGGGCTGAACCCCTCCCCCCTCAAAATGGTAAAGTATAACCATGTTTTACAGTAAAAAATATGATAAACTATCTCTCAAAGTATTCTTGTTCGTGTAATTACATTTAATCGGACTTCAAAAACCATTTAAACACCATTTCATATAGGTAGTTAATTCCTTTTTTTTCCAAATTAATTATCGTTATGCATATGAAAAAAAAAATCTTTGGGCTGAAGCCCCCCTAAAATTAAATCCTGGATCCGCTAGTGGTTGAACCTTTATGACTTCAGTTGTTGTTTATATAATCTTTAAAATTAATGAAAAAATTACATATTCTTTTGATCGGAAAATGTGAGGAAGTATCGATGGTGTTCAAAATATCATTATCGATGATTTTTAAATTTTTTTGTGATAAAAATAAAATAAAATGTTTATTATTTCATAACAACTATTATAAAATGGATATCTATAATTAATAAACGATATACTTTTTAAGTTATTACATTTACATATATAATAATTATATTTTGTGATTTATTGTTTTAAAAATTAAAAAAAAATATTAAAATAACGGTTATATGTAATAATATAGACATTAGTTGTAAATAAGTATGTAAAATTATGCGTTTTATGAGGTCTCTATTATTTTCGAAGTTATTTTATTTAAAAATTCAAAGATTTAAACAAAGAAACCGAGATTTTTTTGAAATTTTCTAATTTTGACGTCATATTCGTGTTCCTTGGCCTTGAAAACACAAGTGCACTTAATCCGACATCATTTACGAGTTTTATGCCCATGTTCACGAAAACCCGTCTTTCGTTCCACTGTACGGCGCCTCAAGATACAATTTTGAATAATTGCTCATTCCAAAGAGAATCAAATACTGGACATTTCTCTGGCATATGGTATGCTGGTCCGATTTTTAGTTTCTGACGCATTTAATCCAAATTACCCAAATGAGCGTTATTTAGTCGAGTGTGACGGCTCAGTCTCATTTACTACTCACAAAAAAAAAGTGCTAAACGCTTATGAAGAAGTTTTCACTTCAAAAATAAAGTAAAAAAAAAAAAAAAAAGAAAGTTAACCATGAGGGCTATAACATAAAGATAAATAAACGAATCATTAAAGATAATAATAATAAAATAGATACTTTTAATATTTATGTAAAATCATCTATTGAGCAGGCCATAGCTAAACGTAAATAGACAATAATCAAAAGAAAACATGCCCATGTTAATAATTGTCCTAATTAAAAAAGGTATCATGTTAGGTTTTCCAAGTTGGCTTTTCAGCAGTGCTACCAACCTTGGTTACAACTCCATATCACAAACCTTCACTTACGGATCCAGGATTTAATTTGGAGGGGAGGGGGGCTTCAGCCCTAAAACTTTTTTTCATGTAAATATAACTATAATTACTTAGAAAAAAAGAAATAAACTATATGAAATGGTGCATTAGAGATTTTTAAAATCCTATTAAATGAGTAATAATAAGACATGGTTATATTTTACCATTTTGGGGGGGAGGAGAGGGAGCTTCAGTCCGAAAGACCCCCATAGATCCGCCCGTGCAAACCTCAATAATGGTAAATCGGTTCTTGACACCCTATGGATGTGTAATTTACTACGTAGTTATTGGAATCCCTTTATTTTTATTAATTTATTTTATGAAAAAATAATTCTTCCCCCCGCCCCTTTATTTGAAATTGAAACTTTGTTTAAAAGCTTATTTTTGCCAATTAAAAAATATTTTGTCAATAACTATCGTAGGTGTCAATAAATGTCTAATTTACCCTAAATTGTGGGTGTCCAAGAAGTCGCTTAAAGTGCTCAACCAAGTGCATAAACAGTGCAGGTGGTAGTAACTACCATATTGTGGCAGTTCTTAAAACTGGTGATGGTTTCTTCGATGAGGTAGATTAGCACCATGATACCGATTTAAGAACTGATGTTTATCACAACACTTATTGGTTGGGTAGGGTTTCAGGGCGATAAATTGCTAGATTATTACGCCCATTTATCATAACACTTATTGGTATACACATAATGTGCCCACTCGAATGTTAATATGCAATAATTAATATATATATTAATATTGGTCTTTCCACGCTTCTTTGATTGACCAGCCCTGATGAAAGCTGAAACTTCGGCAAATCTAAAAATAAATATAATTATTTATTTTTACTATTTTTTATTTTGTCTGATCACCCCAACCATTCTTCTCTTCGAATATTAATATGTATTTTAAATTATATCAAGCAAATAATATATGGATTATTTGTACAATAATACATTATAATTAATAATATATACAATATATGTAGAATATAAGTAATTTAATACAGTTTACACTTTTATTGATGTATTAAGAAATAAATCCATATGATAATTATTTCTTGTCCATGTTTCCTCTTACAGGTAGTGTTGTTAACAAACTGCCAATAATTTAGTTTTCTTTCTCTGCTCTCCTATATTTCTGTCAGCAAAACCTGACTATTTTTTTGCTACTTAGTTACTGTAAAATTCAAAAGAAATTACTAATTAATATCGAATACTATTTTGTTGTGAGTTTCTACAATTTATCACTCATTTTTTATAATCATCAAAACAAAGAAACTTATGTTCATAATATGTTTTATAAACGATGAAATATGTTCAACAAACAAATATTGATCGTTCAAAACAAACAATTTTGAAATGATATTATCTACAACAAACAACATCATTATCCTTGTGTTTGCCTTAATTATTTTTTAAAAGTAGTAATTCTATAGATTTGATCTCTTAAATATCTCTGTGACCATTGATGTTAGTAAAAAATGTTTATAATAATTTGTATTTAAATGTTAAAGTAATTTAATTTTATATAGGACAATCTTTTTGATAAACCTCGGTTTATCACACCTTACTGATGATAATAATGCTTCAGTAGTTTTATTAGAGACAGTAGGGAATCCTGGATTAAACTTTAGAGAGACCTTTTATTATATTTATTACGGTATGACTCTGGAAGAAAAAAAAACTATATAAAATAATGTTGAAGTGGTTTTTGAAGGCCTTTAAAAAAAATTAAGAACATTAAATACAGAAATTGATTTTAGTGATATATTTTTCTTATATTTATTTGCTGTATATGTGTTGTAATATAAAACGAAATCAAGTTGTGATTGTTGAAGTATTTAGCTCAGATGAAACCAATGAAAAAATTATATATATTTTCCAGGGGGTTTCATCCTGAAAGTCATAAAAAGTTCTCAAAACTAATGAACATTTTATTTTAGGTTTTACAATGCTATTAATAAATTATGAAAAACCCAAGAATAAGAGTACTAAAAACTTGAAATGTTTTGTTGAATGTTTAGGTTAATTAAAATGACAACATTTAAAACGATGTCGCTAGTAAGTAAATCATAAACACACACACACACACACACACACACATAAAAAAAAGAATTTCCCGAGTGGCCATCACAAAACAGTCTCGCAGTGTCTCGTATCTATGAAAATAGTAGAAGCGTAATCATAACTGGTGAAATGGCGATGATTAGTGATTCACGCTAAAAGAGGTCCATTAAAAAGTGTGAATGAAAAGCCCATTTTAGTAATTAATTTATTACAATACATCACTGAAGAATGAAGAAAAAAAAATGCTGTGTAACAATTTATTGCGTTTATTTCTGTTGAAAACACTGGTAGGGAACAGAATTTCACGTAGACTTCTAACTTATTGAACGAGAAATTTTTTGTATAATTGGGGAATATGTAGGCCAGTTGAAAGCTGATTATGAAAAATAAAAAAATACAAATAAACCATGATTTTCTTTTCTTCTTTTTGTTTTAGGATGTGAGAGCAGTAAAACTAACTTTAAAAAAGCCTAAAACAGAAAAGCAAGTCAAGTGGAGTACAGAAACTGTTGATAATGAACATATGAATAAAAAAAAATCTAAATGTAAGTATATATCATTTTCACATTAATCAAATTGTTTCATTTAACATTACTTTTTGGTCATTTTTTTTATAAAAAGTCCGTTTTAGCGATTAATAATTACTATACATCTTTGAATGAAGAAAAAAAAGAAAGAAATGCTGTGTAACAATTTATTGTAATTATTTTTGCCCTATAATAATTGCAAAGTAATCTATTAATAACCTGAAAATGTTAATCAGTTATATTTTTTACTTTTGTTAACCCTTTAAAATAAGGAGGTATCACGACTTAATTAAAAAAGGGTCAAAAGAAGAACCTTTTTGTTTGTTAATACCTTAAGTGAACTTGCTTTAATGAGTAGGAAATTGATTATGGACACATAGGATACAAGCTTTTTATTTTTACTTTCCTACTTTTTATGTGATAAATAGTAAGAGAAAGTATTGCGATCGTGAAAATTTTCAAATCTGTGTTTTCTATGAAAATAAGTGTTTTGAGGTTCCCTGTGTCCAAATAGCCAATTAGACTAGCCCAAGAGCCTGGCCAATTCCGAAATGGTGGCCTTTCTAAAATCACGGACGGTTACTAAAAACGGTAAAATATATTATTTGAAGAAATGTATTTAGTTTATTTGATTAAAGTGGAATTTTATCTGATACTAAGTTTGTCTGCCCATCCTAGGTGGTCGGATTCGTTGGACAGACTAGTTCCAAAAAACACTATTTAAAACTAAAGATATTTACTTCATTGAAGACATTTTTTTTCTTCTTATGAACTAGACTTGCATCTATCAATTTTAGGCATAAATGTATCATTCACACCATATGCTACCATCAAAACGATTTTATTTTGAACAAAATATTTTTTGCTTCCTCATCACTGAAGGCGAGGAAGCATTGTATTTGTTTTACGATTCAGACATCAAGCATCTAAGTTGGTTTTGTGTCTGTCTGTAGTCAATTTTTTTTTTGTTGGCACACTCTTCCTTGCGTTTAAGGCTATACAGGGTTTTCCCGGGCCAGGGGTGAGGGCGAGGATTTATAAACGACTCCCCCCGGCACCAGGACGCGAACTCGTGACTATTTTATCTAGGTATCTCATGCATCAGGTTGCCGAGCAACGGTGATGCTGTGCACACACGTTATCCCGTTCGGTCAACCCGCCCCCTCAGTAGTCAAATCGATGTAACGAGCTTATCACCCGCTATCGTTTATCCGTTTTTCATAAAATTTACAGGGATTGTGCGGGTTGGTGTTTAGATGGTACCATATCAGTTTTATCAAATTCCATCCAGCACTTCCGCTTACGCACGCACAAACGAATTTATTTTTTTTAGATATTAGCCAATATTTCAGAAATGGCTAGTTCGATTTAGCTCCAAGTTGGATAAAAGATAGGTATTGGTGAACAAATAATGTAGAATCAATTTTATTGAATTTTTTCTGCTACCTTCTCTTATATATGCGCAAACGTGTTTTTCTTGATACGTCTATATCTCTAAAACCGTACGTTCGATTTGGTTCAAATTTAGAATGAAGTTATGGATTGATATACAGATAATCCATGTATCAATGTATGAATTTTATCAAATGTTATTCACTACTCCAAAAAAAAAAATCTGGTTCGCACAACACACAACTTTCACTTACCGCTCAACTTTGAATAGAAATTATTTTCTGGCCATGTTGGGCCATTATACAATTTTTGAATTGCATTTTTAACTGAGCTAAAGCTAAAAGATTACAGCTAACAAAGCATAAATACTATTAAAATGACAAAAGTCCTATTTATTATATCACCGATTGATTATGGATTGTGCGACTGTTAGTTATTAAACTGTTATGCTCCATTGCAAAGCTTACTGAAACGGAATAGAGAAATTTGCAATGTCTGCCATAGACTTGTCAAAAGTTGTCACACCGATTGTAAGTGGATTCTGTTGAAATATCGAAAAGGGAAAATTTATCAAATTATTCACTAATTTGATTTTCTAAAATCTTACCTAATGATTTTTCGGAATAAACGGACGATAGATACCTAATTATTTAAATATAATATCAGATCTAGAGTTATTAAACTACAGGAAATATATTTAAGGTTATAAACGTATCCATGAAATATTTTTATATTTCACTTCTTCTTTTACACAAGTACAATGAAATAGTATCTTTAACAAAGTAATTGCCTTGAGTCTGTGGGTTTTAAATAATTTTTCAAACTTACAAAATAATTAAAAGTTTACATTTAGTAAGAAAATTTCATTTAATTTCCTTGAAAACATCTGATTTACGTTAAATAATGTTAGTTTTTAGAAATCATTATTGATATTTTTTTCGTCACTCTCCGTAACCTTAAGTCTTTAATGTCATTTAAGTCTTATTCCCGTTGATCACACTTTACAGGGCTTAAATGCCCAATGTTCATATATGTCTTCCTCTAAAGTACCTTTAATATGGTTTATTTTAAAAATTTCATCATTTCGCATTATTCAGGGTTATAAAAAAATGCTACACATAACTTTTGAAAGAATTTGATAAGTTAATAAAGGAGAAAAAAAATAAAAATGCAGAAAAACCTGCGTTGCTTTAGACTTTAGCGCCTTAAGGAATGTATCGATTTCAATGAAACTTCGCTAAAGTCATTTTCTCGACACCCTTTAAATTTATCTATATAACATACTTCAACAAAAAGAAGCTGGAAAAAAAGTTACGAGGAATGGTAAAATTAAATTCCGAATAACTCATCAAAAAGTATACGCTTTTTTGTTGATATTGTATTATGGTTTTTTAAAAGTTAATGGAATTTCCTAAAATAACAAAAAAAAAAATCGTTAAAGTCGGACAATTAGGAGGAAAGAAATGGCCTCTAGTTTTTTCCCCGAAGAGACGAAAATTAGGATAAATTTAAAATATACTTTTTTAATTGTTGAGACTAAAAAAACCTTTTTTCTACTGATATTTAATAGAGTATGTTTCCTGAAAACATTTTTCATTAGAAATAATTACCTAAATTTATACCTTTATTCTCAGTTCTATATTTTAACTCTGCAATCACCACCTCCGGAATAAACTTACTCATTGTCTGCATAGATAACTTTTTCAACTAAAAATATCACTAAAATGACATCACTCAAAAATGTTGAAATTGGAGTTACTCATTCTGTGGTTTATAAAATTAAAGAAAGTTGTGTGGTTTATAAAAGCAGATGGAGCGATTAGATTTTTATTGCCTGTCGTCGATATATTAAATAAACATTTTGTAATTGTAATGGTCTTAATGACTTGTTATCTGTAAGCTTTAAGCTATAGCTCCGTTTAAAATGCACTTCAACAAATTTTATAATAGCCCAACATTACCAGAAAATAATTTCTATTCAACGTAGTTCGGTAAGTAAAAGTTGTGTGTTGCGCGCTCCAGATTTTTTATTTTGACTGATCAATCCAACCATCCTTCTCTTCAATTATTCACTACAGTCAACCATCAACCCACAATTTAATATTTTATTAAATATTTGTATGAAACAAAACATTTTGTTATCTTTCTTATTATAATTCTAAACTTATAATGTTAACTTTCATGTCCAGGCTGCTGCATTTATGAAAAACCTCGCAATTTTGGTGAGAGCTCTTCAGAAGGTGAAGATGAATGTGAAAATTGCTTCGGACATGTGGAATTAAAACATAAAGTAAAACCAGAATCATCTATTCCCTCTACCCCTCCTGCTGAATTGAAAGAACCATAGGTGTTTTGCTGCTCAGGCTATCACCATCAAGATTTCATTATATATATATATATATATATATATATATATTATTTTTTTTTTGAATCAGTATTCTATTATACTCAAACTTAAAAAAAAATGGTTCAAATAATAATATTCTAAAGTTTATAGCAAATAAAATGCGTTTTCCATATTTTTGTTTACTTTTTTTTTAAACCATACCCTTTACAAATATTAAATTGGTATATGGCGGCCATGCTAGTGTAATTTTCACATTCTGCCTTGTGCCAGCCCTAGTTTAAAGTGAGTATCTACCTACAACTCGAGGTGTTGCTGATAGTAAACTGGGAGTGCTGAGTCAGTTCAACAAAGAAATACAAGCTGGATCACATGTCCTTGACCAGGTAACTCCTGCTGTTTTAAAGGAGAAAATTGAAAAAAAAAAAACTATGTTCCCTAAATTTATTTATTTACATATAGTTAAAGAACAAATTTCTTATCTTAAAGAAAGAGGTCAAGATAAAAACAAATTCCTTGAATGATGAGATAGAAAAACTAAAAGAAGAAATCAAATGAATAAGGTCATAAAATCAGATGCGAAGAAGAGCTTCATTAGTGGTTCACGATAATAACAAAACACAAGATCTAGTAGTGCCAGGGAAAGTTTAAATGTCCCGCGTTACGACGAGTGGTGGAGGCAGATCTAAAAGATAACATTTAAGGTTTGAGAGCGACTGGTTCTCTCGAAGCCACCACCTGACCAGCATTCAACCAGCAAGGACCGACGGCGGAGGGCCCTCCAAGGTAAAAAATATGTAGGCTGGCATATAGACGGTAAGCTATTTTTTTGCACAATCATTAACCTACCAATCCCTTCATATACAGTCCACTGCTTAAAAACTAGAATGTTGCCTTATTGAAACTCAAGAGATTTATTTTGCAATAGTTGTAAAAGTTACCTAAACAAGATCTAAATAAATAAAAAATTGTGTGAAAAATGGAGGTTTCAAGATGACTGGTTGCATAAATGTTAATAATGAGCCTACACTACTTGAATAGAAATCCAGAAGTCTCTGTCCATTGCTGTTCTTTGTATCTTCCCCTCCAAATCTACTTATCACACCAAGTGACCGATTATGATCTTTTCCGGTTCTAGCATTTAGGTCTCCCGTGAGCACTAGCGGATCCACGATTTTATTTTGGGGTGGGCTTCAGGCCGAAAAGTTTTTTTTTCATATATATAACGATAACTACTCTAAAAAAAAAAAAGAAAGATACTATCTACATATATGAAATGGTGTTTATGTGATTTTTGAAGTCCTATTAAATGTAATTTCACGAACAATAATACTTCAACAGGGAGAGAAAAGCGGTGCCTCTATCACACCATTCTGTACACATAAATGGCTTAGTTATATGAAATGAAATGAAAATGAAAATATTTTTTTATTATCCTGGGACTTTTGTCCCTTTAGGACAAATTACAGATACAGAAAAAATGCCTGTGTGGCCATACATAAAATTAATTATTTACAATTATTATTAAGATTAAGATTTTGAAAAAAGAATAAAACAAAACATAGAACTATTACACTAAAAACATTTTGATATGTATAATACAAACGTGGGAAAATAAAATAGCATAAGTAAAGAAAATCATTTCTGGGGGAACTTTAAAAGTTCTCTTATTTATAAATTTTAGAAAAATAAGAAGAAAAAATAAATTACCGCAAAAAAAAAAAAAAAATTGCATGTAGCAACAGCCTTTCTTATTTCTAAGTTAAGATTCTTATAAAAATAGCGGTGCAAAAATACAACATGTTCTTTAAAACATAAGACAAATTTTTTTTTTTTTGGGTAGGATAAAATTCTTAAATGATTGTAACAAAATTTGCAACTAGCATCAGCCTTTTTTTTTTTTTTTAAAGACTAGATTAAGAATCTTTATTATAATTAAGTATACATAAAATTATTTTGGTATCAAAATAGAAAAATTATTTCGCTGCTACTAATTGTGATGGTCTGAATCTACAGAACATAGCATACCTATACATAGCATTAAGGTTAGGCAACTTTTATTCCAAGACTATTTCCCACTTTCGTTCACTTCTTGCTTTTCTAACGATAAGCTCAAACTTTTGCTAGTCACAAAATTATTTATCTTTCTCATATTTTACTATTGTATGTTAAAAATTTAATATCAACAATATAGAAAAATAAAAAGCTATATATTTACAAACACACACACACGCACACATATATATATATCTATATATATATCATATATCTATATATATATATATATATATATATATATATATATTTATAGGTATGAAACATCTAATATAGCACAAAAAGTGTAAAATGTGCAATGAAATCTTACTTGAATGTAAACACTTATTTTATCAAATTTAAGTTACAAGTGTCAATAATTGGTAATATGTCAATAATAGGTGCCTTTACTTTAATTAGATTTGGTGTTTTTACACACAAGCGAATAAAATAAGCAATATAATGGAGATCTGGTCTCAAATAATTAGGAGTACCCAGACGGGGGTTTTATGGAGTAAGTCGCGCCATCAAGATTTTTGAGGGGTGCACACTTTGACTGGGTTTTAAATTTTTGAGATTGGCACATTTCGAAGGGGCTATGGATTTGTGAGCTTGGACCGGTGCAGGGCACCTTAAAGTTTTCGAAGTTCTTAGAATTATTCTCTTTCCTCCTGGCATTTTTAATTTGTATTCATTTTTAATAATTCATCTCTTTAATCTCACATATATTCTCTTTTTTTTTGTATTTCTGTCAGCATATTATGTTATACATTTATCCTCTCCAACATTAAAATTAAATTTAAACCATATTATAAATAGAACTTATTGTATATTGTAATGCATACTGTCAAGCTAAAAATTTAAACATTATTTTACTTCTGTCTGTAAGAAAGGGTCTTAGACCCTAAGACAACCATAAAGAATAAATCAATCACAGATTTTTAAAATTTATTTAAGGAACTATGATGAAATAAAACAAAAAGCTCAATAAAAATGTCTATATTTCATTAAAAAATTAATCCTAAATGACAAATTCAGCTAATAATTACATAAATAAAAATTAATACATCACAAACTAAACTAAAGTACATAGTTTTAATGAGATCTTTTTTTCCTTATTGAATTTAATGATAATGACAATTCATTAAGTTTATTGTTTTTTATTACAAGCTCATTCATGAATTTTTTTGACCTCCAGACCTTTATTTCATAATCATCAGATGTTGTGACAAGCATTTCTGGGTTCATAGGATTAAAAGCAACTGAATTAACAACGTCTAAATGAGGCAACTTAGCAATGCGTATTCCATAATGTCTATCCCATATGTAGCCATGTCTGTCTTCGGCACCACTGTAAGCAATACAATGCTTGAAACTATTTATTTTGATTAATAATTCTTTATTTCACTTATTAAGATAATTAGGAGAAAAATCGTACTAGCAGACAGAATTTAGTTTTAAATTTTTCTAAATTGTAAAAAATAATTTTTACTTACATTTTCAATTAACAAGGAGAGGATACAACTTGTGGGTGACCGATTTCAACCAAATTTCTTTTGGTGATACTATATCAAAAAATATTAGACACGTGTCCCAACGTTATTTCCAATGGACCCTCCTAGGAGCCGAGGAAAAAAAAATTTTATATAATTTCTGACAAAACATGTATTATTTATTTTTGCCTTTACTTTGTCCGGATTTTTAGAGTATTATAAATCAATTGATTTCTTCTGTTTTTCATAAGAAAAAATATTTTTCATAACAAAAATTTACTTTGCCTACTTTACTGGAAGAGCCTTTTGGTTTTTGTAATTTATGATATATTATAACTCATTGAATACAATAGTTAATATTTTTTTTATGATAAAAAAAAAATAAAACTATTGATGTATAGTAACCTAAAAATTAGGGCAGATCAAAGGCAAAAATAAATAATATAAATTTTGTTTGAAATTATATTAAAATTTTTTTTCTCGTCTCTTAGGGCCCATAGGAAAGAATGCCAACACGTGAACAGAATATTAGAACAAAATATTATAACATGTGTCTAATATTTTTCGATGTAGTATCACCAAAAAAAAGTTGGTTGAAATTGGCATCCTCTCCTTGTAAGTCTTGAATATATGATGGAATATATATATATATATATATATATATATATATATATATATATATATTATATATATATATATAGAGAGAGAGAGAGAGAGAGAGAGAATTATTTTTACTCAACAAGCGATGTGATGGTCCATGGTTACAGGAGCAACTGAAGGACACTGCTAAGGTAAGATTAATAACAAAGACAGCTGAATTTGTCCAAATTGTCTTGAAAAACAAAGCTCAAAGTTCTTCATGTACAACTGTTCTGCTCCTCTGATTCAGCACTCTCCCCAGCTCAGATAAGGATTTAAGATTTTTTTATTAAAATATATATTTTATCATTTTGATCAATTAACTAATAATCTTGATTGACCATTATATTCAAACATCACATTATTTAGTATGCCTGTTAATCATATGATACTTCATACATTTGAAAATATTCATGATATATCAGAATCAGCAGACCATAAACCAGGACGTGATTCCTGGTGGTGATTATATCCACACCTTTCACTACTAGCGGATCCAGGATTTAATTTTGGGGGGGGGGGCTTCAGCCCGAAACCTTTTTTTTTCATAAAAATAACGATAATTACTTTGGAAAAACAGAAAGACACTAACTACCTATATGAAATGGTGTTTAAGTTATTCCTTAAGTACTTTTAAATGTAATTACAGGAACAATAATACTTTAAGAGGTATTTTTAAAATTTTTTTTCCCATAAAACATGGTTATATTTTTCCATTTTGGGGGGGGGCTTCAGCCCGAAAGCTCCTCCTCCCCCCCCTCCCGTAGATCCGCCCGTGCCTTTCACAACCTGTGACATTAAGCAGACGTGATGTATATTGATAGAACTGGCATGTCAGGTATAAGGGAGGACAGTATCCATTTTTTAATACAAGTCTTTTTAGCTATTCCGTATATTTGTATAAATCCATATGGATTTTAGTAAATATAAAAGTATAAGTATTTATTTTTTGCCTCATTTTTAAATTAGATCGTTTAGGTAAGACTGAATACAAAAGCCTTAGTCGATTATTTTGAGTTTTATTTTTAATGTATGATCACCAGGTCATCCTTCCATTGAACGTGACTTCTAAGTAATGAACTGTTGTAGTCTGTTGAGCGAAAACATTTGTAAAACAGTCCATCCTGCAGTCTAATGCTTGTTCAACATCCAGGACTAGGACAGTTGCATATAATCTATCTTCTAGTGCAATTGAAATGTAGTCCATGACTGTGTAGTTGGTATATGGTTAAATATAGTGAATAGAATCTAAGTTGGTATTCGGATAGAATTTGATTGTCTGTCAGTACGTAGAGTATGCATCTGTAAAATAAGTTTTCGAAATTTGAAGAGCGAACCGGAAGTAGACATTAGTCTGTATAGACCCATTAGGGTCTGTATGAAGAAAGGCTATTAGAATTTGATTTCAGTTTTTGTATCATTAATACTTGCAAAAATTTCCTTTGCAATGAAAATTGTGTCCTTAGTATGTTGTTGAATAGGGTTAATAAAAAGACTATCGCTTTTATAGGCATATGCTGGAGAAGCTCAGCAGTGACCAGATCATACCCTGGGGCTTTTCTTGTGAGTAATTTCTGAATTTCTTGCACAACAGATAGAATAAAAGCTGGGGGAGGTAAAGTCAATGGTACGGGAATGTCAAAAGAATCTTGTACGTAATTTTCATATTCACTGTCTCTGTGTAAGTCTGTATGTGGTGTTGAGCAGTGCTAAAATTGAGCTAAGCAGTGCTAGAACTTACATGACAATATATCAAATAGCAAAATACAATATCAATTAGAAACAGATTACCATAAAATATTAAGAAGACGAACTTCTCACCTTGCTACATATTCTTCAGAAACATTCAGGAAAATAAAAAAACATTCATTGTTTGGTGTAAATGCCTTATGAGATCTCAAAACTTTACCAACTTTCTTGAAATTTTCGAGATCAATCACATGAATATCAATTTCTTGAGCAATCGGAGGAGGATCCAGAGGATTGGTGATACTGTATCCTGTAGGCCAAGGGCGATTATTCACGTACAAAAACCTGTTAACAATAATATAAAATATGTTATGAAAGATGCCATAAAACTTAAAGAAAATCAAAAACAAATTGATTAAAGAGAGAAAGGATAATCACATTCATTCTTAAAAAGTAGTGTTTATAAACCTTTTTTGGCCCTCTTCTTTTGAATAAAATTGTTTAATACTTAATTAAAAATGTTGTACATAAAAATGCATAAATCCATGTATATTCAGTACTTAGACATGCAATGCAGGTGATAATTGAAGTATCTATTGATGAAAATTTGAGCATTCATTTTTTCATGGTGACACCTTTTGATTATTTACACTGACCATGGACAAATTCATTTGATAAAACCTTTTGAATATCTAAACAATATTCCTTATTAATCATCTCCCAGTAAACACCTCGAACGTCCTTCATCTAAGAAAGGATACTTTCCCTTACTTTTTTTTTTTTTTTGTCGACTTAGAGCCTGCACCCAACAAAATTGAAATATTTAAAGTAAACAGGCTGGTATGTTCCTATATATGTTTTGAGGAACCAATACATAGAGCAGAAATTGTCCAATGTACCAATTGCCAAAATCTTGGGCACACCAAAGCCTGCTGCCACCATCAAGCCAGGTGTGTCACGATGTGCAGGCCCACGCTCCTCCAATGCTAGCCAGAAACCTTGGGAAGCTCTGGAAATATGTACTCTATGCACCAATGAGCATCCTGCAAATTGGTTTACAAAAACATACAACATCAAAAAGTTCTAAATGCAGCCTTTAGGTTGCAAAGACAAGTTCACGAAGATCAAACATCGGCTCCATCAATGACAAATGATCTGACTTAATAAAGCATGACAATCATTGAAGATCAACAAGCTGCAAACTCAAAAAGTAAGACGACTACATATTCAGCAGTCACTACAAAACATCTATCTCAACCTCAGGTGTCTTAAGCCTCTTTACCTCAGTCCTCCCATCTTCCAACTCAGACTGCTTATCCTTAACCACAAATGCCTCATCCACAGTCTCACATCTCCCATCCTTAGCATAAAATATCAAATATTAACATACCCTCCAAAAAATTATTCTTATGGATCAAGTTACCTCCACAGAATTCACCAATAATCAATCCCAAACATCCTGACCTACCCCAAGCTCAATCTTCTATCAAAAACTCCATTAAATGTGGAGCAAACTCAACAATCCCAAAAGAGGATTCTACCCTGACCTAGGCAGGTTCATCCACCACAAGACACTTTCTACTCCTCCCCATATTCCAACAATAATCCAACCAACATATTATCTGTTCTTTAATCCTTCCTTCATGATCTTTAAAGATTAAAGATACCCACTTTATAGAGGCTGGCTGACCCCAGGGTCGTTCCACGGCCAATGAAATACAATAAAATAATTTTATGCCATGAGCCAGGATTCGAACCTGGGACCTTGAGCATTAGATCAGTGCCCTGCCACTGAGCTACTCCACTCCCTAATGCCATACTTAGAATCACCTATCTTAATGATTATTGACAATCTTCCATAATAAAAATGATTCCAAAACCCAAAAAGCTACCTGAATACTCATCCTCTTACTATACTATCTCCCTGCTGCCCATCATTAAAAAAAAAATCATAGAAAAACTTATATTAAAACGCCTTTACCCAATCCTAGATTTAAAACATGTAATTCCTGGCCATCAATTTGAATTTCGAACATATCATTCCATAATTCAGCAGTCAATCATGTAGAGGATGTTATTTTCTCCATATTGGAGAGTGGAATTACTGCACGGCAGCTTATCTCTGGATTGCTATACAAACTCCTTCAATTTCTACCCCTACATATTTCCTAATAATCCGTTCCTACCTCACAGATAGAACCTTTAAAGTAAATCACAATTTGCGTATTAGTCTCTCTCAACAGGTGTTCCCCAAACTCTACACTATTTATACAGCTGATATCTCCACCTGCCCTACCACTGCCCTTACTACTTAAACCGATGAAACATGTGTGTTCGCAATTCGGAGCACAGTGGCACAATGACCTACCTCACTTCCATATAGTAATAAAAACTTTAAATTTGTTACCTATGGTCTGGTGAAAGACTCATCCCAATTATATGGCCATGAAGATCCATTATATGATCTACTTCATCATACTTTCTCACAACAGATTGGTAATCCAGCCAATTTGGTTCTTCAAAAGAAGGTCTACCACCAAGTAATCTTTCACGTCTTTTGGCCAACCTTTCTTTAACACTTGGTCCTCGATTGATAACTTTTGGAAACTTTACACCTTTTATTCTTTTAAAACCTAATATAAAAAGAGAAAATGTAAGACAATTTAAACTCGTTTCAAAAAATAATTTTTATTATTTCATATCATAATTTATTTGTACAGTATATTTTATAATAAAAAGCTTTTTATATCTATATTAATAAAAACGTAAATGTTCGTTTGTTCAAAACCGCTAATCTCCGAAACTTCTTCACCGATTGCTTTGAAATATTGACATAATGTTTCTATCGCATTCAGGAGTGTTTTTATATACATTTAATCACCCTCCGGTCTTTCGTTTCGGAAAGGCGGCCCAAAAACCTGTGTCGCTATAGACTGTAGCGCCTAAACGGCTGTAACGATTTTAATTAAACTTGGCTAAAGTCTTCTCCTTGAAGCCCTTTTAATTTATGTATATAACATCCTTCCCGAAAAGAGTATGAAAAAAAAAGTTACGATGGGTTCAAAACTATATTTGCGAATAACTCAAAAAGTACACAATTTTTGTTTGATTATACCCATCATTATTTGAAAGCTTCCTTGATTCCATGCAAATAAAAAAAATCACTAAAATCGGACGATTTCGTGCAGAGATATAATGCTTTAAACATTTAGTAATTTTTCTAGGGAGATTTAGAGACTGATTGCTTCTTATATAGACAATTATATGTTGCGAATTCTAGAGTTGGAAAACCAGACAATCTCTATATCTATACAAAAAATGGAACAACAAAGAATATTGCTTAGTCATAGGTATTGTTACATAAAATATATTAGAAATATCTGATTTCTTTTCTATTTCATTTTTTTTATTTAACCAGAATGAGCCACAGCTAAGTGTGGGTGGGTATAGCTAGTTTAAAATAAAATCACATTAAGTTTCAACAATTTAATTATTTTTTTAAATATTAAATCACTTGTAAAAGAAAAGAAAATTGTTTGGTAATTATAATAATATAAGACAAGTATTAAAGGAATTTCAATGTAATAATTTACATCATATCTCCCCTCCCTCCTTTCCCATGAAAAGGAAGAAATATAAGATAGGAATTAGAAGTCTCTCTCTCTCTCTCTCTCTCTCTCTCTCTCTCTCTCTCTCTCTCTCTCTCTCTCTCTCTCTCTCTCTCTCTCTCTCTCTCTCTCTCTCTCTCTCTCTCTCTCTCTCTCTCTCTCTCTCTCTCTCTCTCTCTCTCTCTCTCTCTCTCTCTCTCTCTCTCTCTCCTCTCTCTCTCTCTCTCTCTCTCTCTCTCTCTCTCTCTCTCTCTCTCTCTCTCTCTCTCTCTCTCTCTCTCTCTCTCTCTCTCTCTCTCTCTCTCTCTCTCTCTCTCTCTCTCTCTCTCTCTCTCTCTCTCTCTCTCTCTCTCTCTCTCTCTCTCTCTCTCTATGTATGTAAAAACTCAATTATATCACTGTTTTAAGAATAATTGTTTCATGAATTTTTTTTAGCCAAAGGGAGGCGCAGCAAAATAAGTTTAAGAACCGCTGCTATAGATTATGTATGATGGATCAAATTACAAGGATTAAAAAAGAATTATCAATTTATTTAATACAACTAACAAAACTATTTCACAAAAGAAATAACACACCTATTTGATGGGGTACATATGTCTTTGAACCACTTGTAAAAATTAATAACTTTTCAGGTAGTCCAGATAGGTCATCATCTTGAAAATGAAATAATGTTAAAATTAGTACACAGAAATAATTAAGACAACACAAAATGGAAACCATTGCTATATAATTAAATGAAAAAATCTTGAAAAATATTTTATATACCAGCAAATTGAAACCAATATCAAATCATTAATTGAGCCATTGAATGCAAAAGTAGTAAGTCATTTTCAAAATAAATAATTAATTAATGATCAAGTGTATAAATTATATGCTATTAAATAGTTGGATATAATGAGATTGACATTTTTTCCTCATCTTTTCAGCTACATAGGGTTTTTCCTGAGTCAGGAGAGAGATCCAATTAATGTCAAAGTTAACAGTTCCCCGGTACCAGGATTTGAATTTCTAATCTTTGGTTTATAAATTTGCCGGGCAACACGTGGTTAACACACGTGTTAGCCCCCTTGGCCATCCTGTTCCCTTCAATAATTGAGACATTTTTAAAAGAGAATATTCTTGATCAAGAAATACTTATTGTTAGTCTATACCGATTATTATTCATAGAACATCCCCTAAAGTGTTGAATATATCAAAGATTAAGTTTTTTATTAAAACCACTTTTGCATGGAATGGTTCAATTAATACAATGCTTTTATGAATTAAAATTAATTTTTAATGTCAAGGTATTCATATATGACATCCATATCTTATGTAAAGAAAACTCTATAGCGTCAGTTTATTGCAAAGTCACTAAGTACATTTTTTATATAGGTCAAGTTTCAAATATATCCTAAGAATTTCAACTTTATTTATCTATACAAAAACACTGTAAGCGTGTGAAAATGACACAAACCCTTTTTAATATCAAATATAGTTAGTTACAAATGCACAATTTTCTAATTTCATTAAGGAATATTCTTCAAAGTTCTTTATTATTCTAGGTTATGAAATGTCACTTAATGACTTTTTGCAATAAACCAATGTTATTACCATTTACTGTAATAATATAATTTAATTTATTATTTTTAATAAAATGAAGATATTATACATTTACTGTAATAATATAATTTAGTTTATTATTTTTAATAAAATGAAGATATGGATGATTAATGTTGATATTTAAATTTCTTTTCTTTTTTCTTAAAGTAATCTAATGACACTGCAGCAATAAAAACATCAACTCTAATGCTTTTGTACTATTGTCATGCATATTAATTAGAGATTTGAGGCATGCTGTCCTGAAAGTTTTTCCACTGGAGGATTAGGCCAGTACTAGTAGGTTTCAGCTTCAGCCAGAAGGTATATTTTTTCACTCTCAACAAAATTAGCAATAGTGCATTGCTCACCTTACTTAGTTACTTTATAAAGAAAACAAGATATTAAATATTATCAAAGTAACAATTTTTTCTTTAAATTAACAATGTTTAAGTAAATGTATTCTATTATGATTAAATTAGCTCCATCCATAGAGAACCATAAAACTTATGAATATATCAAAAACATAAACATTTAATTTAAACAGTTCAACAATAGAATAATGCGCAGCAACATAAGATAGTGTAGAATGAGTGTTTTTCTGTCCCTGATTTCAGGAATTTCAATTGGTCTAAGGATCAGTTAATACTTACCCAGGAGTTCTGGATGGCAGACAAATGTCTTGGAAAACAGATCATCAGGCAATTAGTAAGGAGGGAAAGGAAAGGCAAGGTAGGAGTCAGGATGAAACAATGAGGCAGCCATTATTCTCCATCAAGTAATATCTAATGATGGCCTTGTAGAGGGCAAGGTCATGAGTGTTAAAATGTCATAACTTTAAAAACCTGGACAATAGTGGAGTTAGATCAAATCCAGTCCAGGCGGCAACCTGTCTAGGCCGGAGTTGACCCAATATATAAAGTTTTTAATTTATTTTGTGATGCTTTAACATAAAACATCATATATCAAAAGTCTTAGCATAAAATTAACACAACCATAATTTTCATTCTTTTTTATTTCATTATTTTTTTATAATAGAAACTGTACATATTAGTACTCATCACAAAACAAGTACCTTCAAGATCACTTTCTTCTAAGGAATTGTTATCATCTTCTTCTGTATGTCTGAAATAAAAAGTTAACTCTTACAATTAAATTATAAAAATAAATTAATTCCATTACAAAAATAAAAATTGACTGTATCATTTCAGCTATGGCAGTAAAAATATTAATAATTTACATCAAGTTAAAAAATTTCGAAAAACTACATAATAAAAACTCTAACAAGAAACGACTATAGTTCAAGCATTTAAATCCAGTATTTGGGGAACCAAAAAAATTGAAATCATGATAAAATGAATATTTAATACTTCTTTAAAATTTTTTTTGAAATATTTATGAATAACAATATAAAAGGCAAAGCGAAATCACATGTTCAATGGCGATAACACTAATCACTGTCTGCATACTTCCATCCACTGACCGCCATCCAAACCCAACCCCTCAAGATCATACTTAATGCAATCCTCCCAACTTCCTTTAAGTCTGCTTCTCAGATGCTTAACCGGCATAGCATAGATTAAATTTTCAGGTATTCATTTGCCACTAAGCCCAACAATCTTACACTTCCATTTCAATCACCCCAAAATTATCATCTCATTCATATTGATCATGTACACTTCTGGGGGTGGGGTGGCTAAATGGGCTAACGTGTGTGTAAAACGCGTGTTGTTCGGCAACCTGATTAACCAAAGATTACGAGTTCGAATCCCGGTGCTGTGGGACTTTTAACTTTGGCATTTATCATCTGCTCCGGCAAAAAACCTACACAGCTAAAAAGAGGGGAAAGGGAAAAAAAAAGTTCCCACAATTAGGTGCAGTGTAGTTCTCCAGTAAACCAGTCCTTTTTCGGCCCAAACATTTTTCACAGAATATTAGTTTCAAAAACCCTAAGTGTCGTTTATTTCTTAAAGTAAGCCACCACATTTGATGTTCATAAAAAACCATAAGAAGAATAATAGTTTTGTAAATTCAAAGTTGTAAATTCTAGGATAGAAGGCATGAGCTATGAAAAATAACTATTTCCAGTCTTCAACCTAGCCTTGATATCCTCTGCAATATCGTTCTTTCTAGTTATTGTTGACCCTAAATTCCTCTACATGTTCAAACGTATTTATAAATTAAATCATCCCTGTTTTTGCAGCTAATTATATATTTTGGTTTACCCATATTTATTTCGAGCCCCAGTTCTTTGCTGGCTTTCATCAACATTTTTGTATTTAGTTTTACAGAATCGGTGTCTTTCCTAAGCAAAAACTTTTTCACTCCCTGAATACCCAATTTTTGTACAAAGAATATTATACGATATACTCAGTGTCTCGAATGTTAAAAACCAAGATGTAGTACTAAGATGGTGAAATTAACAATCTATGGGTTGTTATAATCTTAAGACCCCAATTTATTTATAACTTTCATATAAGATCAAATAAATAAATTTTTATAGGATTTGATGACATACTGCATATGTGAAGAACCTGTGGCCTCTGTGAGCTAGCTGCGGCCCCCAAACATTTCCACGATATTTATTAATGTAACCATAGAATTAATAGAATATGCCTCTCTTCATTAATAAGATAATGATCTAACTTCCTACAGTATCCAACCTGTACTTGAAATAGTTTTGCTAATGATATTGCTATTTTTTTCGAGCTACATGTTAATAACATCGTCAATATTCTAAGTTTACTAAAATTTATATATTTATCAATTTCTATATTTAATCAAGCTAATTTTTCTCTTTGATTATCCTTCAAATATTACTGTCAAGTTTTTATTATATTACTTATGCTTCCTATGATTATTATTTAAAGTTTAACAATATTATTTTAGAGAACCAACCTACCTGAGCTGTACACATGGAATCCAGTCAATAATTGACCTTGATTTCTGTTCCTACGGTATAGCTGCTGATACTTCCTGGACAGTAATACCTGAACAGTACTCAAGCGATTATTTTCTTATTCTGATAAAAATTGCAGGCAAGAAACTTTACTACATTAATCTTTTCATGATGGTGGACTCATATATGAATGAGTAGAGACGAAATCGGGCCCAGGTGACGTTGGACTCATATATGAGTTGAGAGCATTAATAAAGCATATCTAATTCTTCTCATTAAAGAAAATGAGAGTGAGCGATGTCGGAGTCCACTTTTTCTGAGGGAAAATACCATAGGGTGGGTGGTATCTTTTTTCTAATTGGGAAGCATGATCACCAAAGAAGCTCGTTGGAAGATGCTAAAAGCCCAATCAAAAAAACAAATGGGGTGTTTGTCCAACTTTACTCAAGACATGTCGCAGATCTGTTCATTATGGCAAGACTTGACCAGAAGCAAAAATGTTTGCTGCAAAAAAAGCGGAATGGAACGCACTTGTAGGTGCACTATGCTCCATCAGGAGTCGACGGTGATAATAAATAAATAATAATTCTCCTCATTGCTTATAATTTAAATAATTATCGAGTTTTTATTATAATAATTATTCTTTCTATGATTATTAGTTAAAGTTTAAAGACATTATTTTAGAGAACCAACCTACTTGAGCTGTACACACTTCATACTGTTCCTACAGTATAGCTACTGATATACTTAAGGAAATATTACTGTTCCCAATTAGGAATCGAGCACATTGTAGTGGCCTGGGTAGTTGGGTAGCACATTCACTTCTTTGTTTCACGTTTTGCTTTTTTTCTTTATATATATATATATATATATATATATATATATATATATATATATATATATATATGTTCTTCTAATCAATTTCAATCACATTCACCTCCCACCTTAGGCTGTGGTTACATTGGATCCATCTCAACACGACATGACGGTTCTACTGCTTAGCTCAAAAACATAACGTATGAATCGCTTTCATTCATTTTTTAATGTTTAGCATCCATTTAATTCTATTATATGCATCCAATATACATACAAAAATAATAGTTAATTCCTTTAAGATTATTTCATGATTAATAAGAATTAATTATGATATTATTTATTCGATAAGTAATTCAAAATTCAGTAGAAAATTACAATAATAGCTATTTACATTTTATTGTTAGCAACTAGTAACTATTAGTCATTTAAATATCAAATACACTTTCATTTTTATGGGAAAATATGTTATGACTTTGAATGGTCAATAGTACACAAAATATTAAATTAAAAATATTATAAAAAATTGTTTTGTTTTTTCCACGAACCGGTCAGAAAAGACCACACGAATATCATTTCAGTTTCCTCTTCACACCCTCAGCCTTCCTCTTACCCCAATACTCTCTCATCCTCCTGGACTGTTACTCGCTCTTACTTAGTCCATTTTCTCCCTCGTCTCTCCCTCCTACCTAAAAGAACCCCAACCCAACCCCTTTCAGTTTTTCCCTGAAAAGCTCTCTATCCAAGCAATCTTTATCTGTGATTTTTAGCCTGTCTAGTTCCTCTTTTATTTGTTTTACATATCCCCCATACTTTTATAGCAGCAAACTTTGTCAAAAATTTTTTTGTTCAGTCTCACTATTCATCCTGACTATGTGCCCGTAGAACCTCAGTCTTCTGGTCCTGACGACTGTTTCCAAATCTTCCAAATTTCGGTATATTTCTTTATTGGATTTTAGCCTGTGTCCCTCTTGCGTTACCTTGGGTCCGTTAATCCTCCTCAGAATCTTCTTCTCAATCTTCAGGATTTTTTCTAGGCTCGGAAGGCTGACTGTTTCCATACCATATAATATTACAGGTCTTGCTACTGTACAGTAATGCCTTATATTTGCATTTGAGGACAAATGTTTCTTGTTGTAAACATTCCTGGTGGCGAAGTTCATTCTTTCCACTTTGGTTATACCTCCTTCGATTGATGCCTTATCCGTTCCGTTACTACATATTATCTCCCCTAGGTATTTAAACTTTTGGTTACTTTTATTTTTCCATATTTTGTGTCCAATATTTTCTTGGTGAAGTTGGTATCTGTTGTCAAAATGTCTGTTTTTTCATAAGAGATCTGTAGTCCCGTTTTCTCGGACATTTCTTTAAGGATGTTTATCTGTTTTATGGCTTCCTCTTCTGTCTCTGCTAGTAGGGCAAGATCATCTGCAAAGACCAGGCATTTTACTTTCACATTGTCCTTCTTTGTTCCTATTACTGCACCTGCCTCGTCCTTTCGCCAGAATATTGCCATCATTTTGTCCAACACTAAATTAAAAAGTATCGGTGACAGGACGCCGCCTTGCCAAAGCCCCGTGTTTATTTTGAATGGTTTACTTATTAGTCTCTGGAATTTTATTTTGGAAATGGTGTTGGTCAGTGTCAATCTTATTTTTTTTTTGTCTACTCCGTATTCCCTTAGAACTTGGAGCAATATATCCCTGTCTATCGAATCATAGGCCTTTTTGAAATCTATGAAGGAGGTGAAGAGATTTTTCTGGGGTCTAGCCCTGTAATATTTTATGATCAGTTTTAGACTAAGTATTTGGTCCTGGCAGGATCTTTCCCTCCAAAAGCCTCCCTGGTATTCCCCTATCTTCCGATCTATTTGCAGCTCTGATCTATTAAATAGGATTCTAGAGAATATTTTATATGTTACTGGTAGTAGCAAGATTCTTCTGTAGTTGTTTACGTCCGCTTTCTTCCCTTTTTTGTGTAGTGGGTGTATTAAGGCGGTCCGCCATTCCTCTGGAATTCTTTCTTCTTCCCATACTTCCATAAATAGCTCCGTTAACTTTCTTTATAAATTCTGCACTCACCATTTTCCACATAACCGCAAGGACGCCATCTTCACCCGAGGCCTTGTTCCTTTTGAGGGCCTTCACTACTTCCTCTGCTTCTTCTTCATCTGGGGGAGGGAGGGTCTGAGTCGATATTTTGCAGTGTATTTCTCTTTATTTCCAGTTTTTCTTTTGGTTTCTCACAATTAAGAAGTTTTTTGAAGTACTTAGCAAGTATTTCGCAGTTCTATTCATTGCTTAGTGCCTGTGTCCCATTATCTTTCTTAAAATTCAAGTAGGGTGGCACATAGCCTCTACTAATGTTATTCTTGAAGAACCTGTAGAAGAGTCTGGTGTTGTATTGATAATTTTATTCATTATATATTTTAAATTTTAAAAATAAAACTACAATATATTTTTTTATATAGCTCATCATCACCTTTATTCTGTAATATAATTAAATATTATTTGGAGTCTGCTTATTACTTTAAGTTATATGTACTTGTAACATTTAACTCATATTTAATAAATTAAAAATCTAATTTTAACAAAAATTATCTTATTTTAAATACAATTTATATTGTATGTTTTAATCCACAATAGTTATATCATTGTTTAAAAGTACTAAAATATTACCAGATTAGTTAAAAAGGTAAATTCACATCGTGGTTCTTCAGGCCCGTATAAATCATAAACAAAATTATTCAAAACATTCTGTAAAAATATTTGTTTTTGTCTATTTATTAATTTCATTTTTCTAAAATTCATATTAATACTATTTTAATTAAATATATTAAATAATTTTGCTGAGATTAATTAAATTCACACCTTTTGCTAACCAAAGGCTTTTTTTTTTTTGTTTAATTTAACATCTATGGTTTCAGTATCTTTAGCTTATCATTTATTTATTTCAGCACTTATAATCATAAATTGTAATTCATACGTAACATTTTAAATACCTCATTAAATTATTCATTTTAATCCGTGACTATTGCATCATTGTTTAAATAAAAAAAGAAAAAGGTCACCAAATGAATTAAGATATTAATTCACTAATTTATTTTTCATTTTTTCAGCTCTTGTCAATCATTATGGAATTATTCAAACCATTCTGTAAAAAAATCTCTTTTAACTTATTAATTCATTAATTGCATTTTTTAAAAATTTATATTAATATTATTTTAATGAAATACATTAAACAACCATCTAGATAGAAGGGGCATGGCTTTGACGATCATCATACGACGGTTGTGGGCATTTCAAACTAGTTTATTTCCAAAACGACGGTTCATAATATCAGTACTAAATCCATGAAAAATAAAATACAATTAACATATAAAACAAATTCAAAAAATTATCGAGAAGGTATTTGAAATATTAAATGTGGAGGTAAGTGAAAATGGAGAATTAGTGTAGACATTTTTCCTAATTTTCTTTCACTTTTTCTCTATTATCTCGGGAATGAAGAGGCGAAAATGGGGAAAATTATGTTATCCGTAATAGATTATGAAATTTAGATTACTTCTCTATAAGTTTCCTAAGCTCTATCTATTGTAGGTAACATTCGTCTAATTTAACCATTTTAATTCTACAGTAATTTTCGAATAAATAAATATTACTAAAATTTATTCTTGAGATTAAAAATATAATATAAATAAATATAATTTTATTTATAAGACTAAAAATCTAAGTAGAGATAAATATAAATTCGTTGTGATAAACCGATCCTTTATTCCTGAGATAAGAAAGGAAAAGCAAATGAAAATTCAGAATTCAGAAAAATATTTACACTATTTCCTCATTTATACCTCTACATAGCTGAAAAACTGTTGGAATGGTGAAAAACTGAGCTCCATTCACGAGATAAAAGAGGAAAAGCGAATGAAAATTTGTACCACTCCTGTTTTCTTGGTCTGACTTCAAACAGTCATAAAATTGTTAGAACGGTGAAAATCTGAGCATCCATTCATGAGATAAAAGAGGAGAAGCATTTTAAAATCTGGAAAATTTGTACCACTCCTGTTTCCACTGGCCTATCTCTAAACAGTTATATTGTTGAGGAAAAGTGAATGAAAGTTTGTAAATGTAATTACGCAATTATAAATCCGACAGTATTTTCTCATAGAGCGGCCCTGGACATAAACATATTAGGAGATCTAAAAAGTATCAGAAACTTGATACACAATGTTAAATCCAACACTATTTTCATAAAAAGCGCCCCCAAAAACATAATTATGGACTCTTAAATCGAAAAAATCCTGAAAGTTACAAAAACATCATTCAAATAATATTTTTATCTTAAATAATGTATAATAGATAATAAATAATGCAGATTATCTGTAAATAACAAATAATTATCAGTCCAAAAATCATAAAATAAGAATAACAAATAAAAATTTATCTATTATTCGTTATCAAGATAAAATTTGGAAAAATGCCCAACACTGGTATATTGGACAATGTTAAACATCAAATGATGAATGAATTAGAACAGAGACGTGACGTTGTCATGGTAGATGTATGTTTTTGGAACAGACAGTGCAGATCCTGTTTTCTATTATTTCAAACGATTTATGGATCCAGTGTAACCACAGTCTTAGTTGGGAACCAGCGCTTTCTCTGGGGACAGGATTAGCTTTATAATTGAGAAACTTTCCTGACCCAATGATAAGATTTTGGACTATGACCTTTAATCTGTAGTTAGATATTAAAACAGAAATTATCAGTAATACCAATATTATTAAAAACAATTGGTTACCTCTCTGAACTTTCTTCTTTTACTGATGTTGGAAATGACCCATTTGACTTGCAGCCAATGTTTTCATCACATGATCTGTCAGGTACTTTACTATCAGCAACCATCAGAACACGAACAGAACTAGCATTAGTATTATAAAATCGAAACAGTTGATTTAATATAGGAGTTTGCTCAGATGCTGTTTCCTATAAACAGAAACAAACAAATTGATTATTTTTTTTTTGTCAAATAATAATAAAAAACATAAATATCATCAGACTAGTAGTTAAAAAACGTGAATGTAAATTATGAGTCTGTAATAAGATATATGTCAGAGTTGAAAACAACATTAAAAGTATAATTTTTAATTGTATAGATTATAGTGATATAAAAATTAAATATAAATATATAATATTATATAAATCAATATTATATATAAAAATTAAAATTTGAATGTGGTATTTGCTTAACTGGTACTTAAACAAATAAAAATACCCACAATGAAATATAAATAAATGTAGCAGCCTTCTTTATCAGTGACCTCTTGTCTGACTAATTTCATGGCACTTAATTATTTATTATAATCAAATAAATAATTGAAATATACAGTTGTAAAAGGAAATGGCGAGTGTAAAACAAAAGAAATATAATACATTAGACAGCTATGAATAACATATAGTAATTAATTTTTTTAAATAATGTTTCAAACTGTTTATAATTTTTACTTTAACTTCCCTTTTTCTGAAAAATTTTTACTGTTTATAATTTTTACTTTAACTTCCCTTTTTCTGAAAGTTTTTACTGTTTATAATTTTTACTTTAACTTCCCTTTTTCTGAAAATTTTTACTGTTTATAATTTTTACTTTAACTTATTTCTGCAAAGAAAGTGGTAAGTGAGTGCTCTGTGAGGCGCGTACCATACCAGATTTTTTTTTTCTAGTTTTTCCCTCATTTGGGCAAATAACGATATTCCAAAGACCAATATATCGGCCTCATGACCTTATTTTATTAATATTGGTAGAGTTTGACTATTTTCTTTTTTTTGCTAATCTCAGATTTTCAGTAAATACTGATATCCTAAAGACTGATATATCGGCCATATAACCTTATTTTAATGAGATTGGTACAATTGGACAAATTTTTATTTAATATTTTACTTTCCTGCCTATACTAGGTAAGGAAAGTATTGCAGTTGGGTCAAATTTTCGATGAATGGTTTTCGATGGATCTATACGTTTTAGAGCCCCCTGAGTCCGAAAACACATTTTTAGCCACTGGTCTGTCTATTTGTACCAAGATTTTCTCGGGAACTAGCGAACCGATTTTGTTGGTTCTTTTTTTATTTTGTAGGGTTTTAACTTTAGTAAAATTCCCTACAAAATTATCCCTAAAAATCATTCATTTCATACAACTATTAACGAAGTTACAGCTATTCAATTTCCAATGTATGATTATGGGTTCATATTATATCCTGGAGTCAGAATTATTTATATGAACTTTTTTGTAGGCCTTGAGGTCTGGTATTACTCCTATAAAAACTTCCCTCTACTTATGGGGCACCCTGTATAACTAACAGTTACAATATTGCTAAAGGAAAATGAAAAAGTACAACTTATAATGTGGATGATCAAACTCACTATTACAAGATGAAACAATCAGTGAATAATATGTATAAAATAAGGTACGCCATAATTAATAACAATATTTTAAAATTAGTTAGCAAGATTTAGATGAAAAATACAAACTAAATTATCGAGTAGTCAGAAGATATATATATATATATTTTTCAGCGGTATGACCTGGGAAGCTTTATTAATCCAAAGACCAGTAGTGCTGACCATATGAGCTAACCAATAGTGATCTCCAGACAGAAGATGCCTATCACTATACCAAGTTCCAAAAATATCATAAGGCTTATTTCCAACTCGACATTGCAAATTAAATCCATCTGAAATTGAGAGAAATGTAAACTAAACTAGGATTAAATGTAAAATTATAAATACCATAAGATTAAATAAACAAGTATAGACTACCAAATACTATTAGCAAATAATCCTACTACCATGCATATACATTAAGAACAAATGAATTAGTGATTGGAGAAACCCCATATTTAATAGAGCTCAAAATTTCAGAAAACAACAAAAAGCAGTCACATAGAAGTGAATGATGATTCAAATATAATTCATTGAATTAACTTTAAAAACCCTAAAATGATTGAAACCTCGTGCGGGCTCATTACCGTGTATGGGGAGCGTCCCACGGGTGGCGGATGTGGGGATGGTCGGTGAAAATTCCTTGGAAGTTCCTCCCGGCTAAGTCCGATGGACTCGCTGACCAACAATGAGAGGGGCCCTCCAGACTTGCTGGAGGTAGGGGCCCACCAGACTTGCTGGAGGGTGTGACGTAGAATTGAACGCCCTACTCACATATCTTTAGTTCACCAAACACCACAAATAGTCATGGATCTCCCTAAGGTAAAACCCTCATTATCCGGAGGTAAACTAGTCCCCCGTTCGGGTCTCCGGGTGGGGAGTGCTTTAGGGGATTCATGGCGCAAGTTGAAATATAGGGATTTAAACATTGGTACGTGGAACGTAAGGAGTTTAAACACAGCAGGGGGGCTAAAATCGGTCGTGAATGAGGTAAATGGGTACAATTTGGATGTTGTGGCTCTGCAAGAGGTTCGCTGGCCAGGGGAGGGCTCGATGAGAGAAGGAAAGTACACTATTTGGTACGGAGGAAGCGGGAATCATTGTTTAGGTACCAGGTTTCTAATTAGGAGTAGATTACTATCCGCTTTGAGGGACGTACAATTCTTTAGTGATGGAATTTCGGTAGCTATATTTCAGGGACGTTGGTTTAAAATCGCATTAATAAACATACATTGTCCGACCGAAGACCGTGACGATGAAGTCAAAAGTGAATTTTACGATAAAATCGAATGGGTTTATGATAAACTACCGCGAAACTACATGAAAACAATTGTAGGTTACGCGAACGCAAAGGTAGGAAAGGAAGAAGTTTATATTCCGACGATTGGTAAAGAAAGTTTGCACGAATATAGTAATGATAATGGGATCCGTCTGATAAACTTTGCCATCTCGAAAAACCTGATAATTAAAGGAACGACGTTTAAACATAAGGATATTCATAAATATACTTGGACATCACCGAATTCGCAAACACGAAATCAAATAGATCATGTCTTGATACAACATAGCTGACAAAGCAGTATAATTAATGTACGATCTTATCGTGGAGCAGAATGTGGGTCGGATCATGAATTAGTAATCGCAAAACTTCGACAAAAACTTAATACAAAAAAGAGAAAAGAAAACCGTTTCGATTTTGAGAATTTTAAAAAATTTGGAATTTGGAAAAATTAAAAAATCCATCAATTAGAAACCAATTCGAGCTAGATGTTAAGAATAGGTTTGAAGCTTTACAGCTTCCTGACGAGGACCACGAGGATATTGACAAGTTATGGGTAGAGATCAGGGATAATATTAAAGCGGTCGGTAACTCGTGTCTAGAAAAAAAGGAAAATAAGAATAACAAACCGTGGTTTGATGAAGATTGCTTAAACATGGGCGAAAAAAGAAAAGCTGCTAAATTAAAAGCTCTAAATAATCCTAGCAAAGACAATCTGGAATACTTCCGAACCTCAAAGAACGAAACGACAAAATTGCTCAAAAATAAAAAAGGGAGTATCTTAAAAATAAAATAATTGAAATAGAAACTAATAGAATCGAAAATAACGTAAGAGACATGTACAAAGATATAAACAGATCACGTAAATGTGTAGGGCCTGTAACGTCTGGAATTAGGGATGATAATAGCAATATTCTGACCGATTCGTTTGACATATTGAATAAGTTTAAGGATCACTTTGACAATATTTTAAATACGGGAAATTATGATCTATGTCCTCCTTCTGAGTACCAGAGTGCTGAACCGTTAATAGAAGGACCAAGTAAAGAGGAAGTTGAAGTAGCTATCGGAAAATTAAAATCTTATAAAGCAGCGGGAACCGATAATATTCCTACTGAATTAATTAAGGCATGCGGGGAAGCTGGAGTTTCTAAAATACATCGGTTGGTTAAAAAGATCTGGGTGAACGAGAAATTACCTGAAGAATCGAAAGAATCTATTCTTATTCCGATTCACAAAAAGGGTCCGAGGACGGATTGTAATAACTATCGAGGAATTCTACTCCTTCCGGTATGTTATAAAATATTCACTTTAATCTTAACCAGTCGAATCACGAAATACGCCGAGGAAATTATCGGAGACTACCAATGCAGATTTAGACGGAATCGTTCGACTATTGATCAAATATTTTCTTTACGGCAAATATTAGAGAAAAAATTGGAGTATAACAGTATTGTTCACCAGCTGTATATAGATTTTAAAAAGGCTTACGATTCTATTGACCGCCAGAAACTGTATATATAATTGGTAATTGGTCGACTGTCGTGGATAATGAAGAGAAGAATAGTTGGGGTGTTCAGTCAAAAAGGAAGGCAAAAATAAATGATAATATTTATTTTTTACATATGCCGACGTTTCGACCTGAAGTTCAGGCCTTCATCAGGGCTAAGAAAATAACCAGACAACAAGGTATGATAAACACAAGTAATGATGGTAAAAAGATAATAAAAAATAAAAAAATTTAGAAAAATAAAATAGATAAATATAAAGTAAAATGAAATTGTTAGACTAATGACTAAGAACTAAGAGATAAATAATAAAAACCGTTACAAAGTATGGAATGATGAAGTAGGCATAATCAAAAAGGGTGACAATGGGAATCTTAGAATAAAATGTAAAACATAAAAAAGAAATATGAAGTTATATAAGAAATGAAAATAAATAGTAAAATTAAAACATTGAGAATGGAGTAGTTAGATAGAAAATTGAGATATTGCAAAGTCTATCAAGATGTAAAGACAATGTATAATATAATAAAGAGTTAAAAACAGAGAAAAGGAATGAAAGGAAGGAGGGAAGAAATTGAGAAAGCTGAAATAAGAAATAAATAAAAGAAGTACTACCTGTCTCCTTAAGTGTCGGAGAGAGAATAAAAGTCGTTACAAGAGAGGAAGAGAGAGAAGAGATGTGTAGGTGGCGTCATCTCTAACGGTTATCCGACGAAGTTTGAACTAAAGCGCTGGAAGCGTAAATAGGTACGAGAGATATATTACTCAGAAAAATTATGGAAAATTGAACAAAAGTTAATAGAAAGTGAAAGAAAAATTCAAAAGAAAAATAACTATTGAGTAATACAGGAGAAAATTACTTGTGTTTCTCATACCTTGTTATCTGGTTATTTTCTTAGCCCTGATGAAGGCCTGAACTTCAGGTCGAAACGTCGGCATATGTAAAAAATAAATATTATCATTTATTTTGCCTTCCTTTTTGACTGAACACCCCAACTATTCTTCTCTTCAGAAACTGTATAATATTCTAATCGAGCAGGGGATTTCAAAAAAACTAGTAAATCTAGTCAGGATGTGCTTGACGGAGACACTCAATAAAGTTAGAATCGGTAATAATTTGTCCGAAAAATTTGAGGTTCATTCGGGTTTAAAACAGGGGGATTCTCTTTCGCCTGTCCTGTTCAATTTGGCATTAGAACATGCCATTAGGAAGGTAATGCAAACCGAGAAAGGGTTGGATCTGGGCGGGACAACATCCGTGCTGGGCTATGCTGATGATCTGGTACTGTTAAGCGAAGACGTTGAAACAATAAAACTAAATACGACGTTAATGAAAGCCGGTAAAGAACTAGGACTCGAAATAAACGCGGATAAAACAAAATATATGATTAGCTGCAAAAATGGCGATACTATTGGTGATATCGATATAGTTGGTAATATGTTTGAACAGGTAGAGAAATTTAGGTATCTAGGTTCTACGATAACTAGAAAAAACGAAATTGAAGAAGAGATTAAGGTTAGACTGAAGGCGGGAAATGCTTGTTATTTTTCTATGACAAAACTACTTAGCTTGTGCCTCTTGTCCCAGAACTTAAAAATTAGAATCTATAAAACAATTATCTTGCCTACAGTTCTTTATGGATGCGAGACTTGGCCGCTTACATTAAGGGATGAGCAGCGTCTTAAGGTTTTTGAAAATAAAGTATTGCGTAGAATATTCGGACCGAAGAAGGATGAGTTAACCGGAGAGTTCAGACGGTTACACAACGCCGAATTGTGTGAGCTGTATCCGGGTAATATAATTGAGGTAATTTCATCGCGGCGAATCAAATGGGCTTGTAAAGTTGTTGGGCTTAGTAACGAGAGAATTCCTAAAAGGTTAATATTTGCTGTGCCGAATGGTAAGCGTCCGAGGGGTAGACCGAAGTGAAGGTGGGAAGATTGCATTAAAGCTGATCTGAAGGGACTGGATTTGGACGGCGAACGGTGGAGGGAGGTGTGTAATAAGCGATTGGTGGTGTCGGAATCAAACCTTCGCTAAGCCTTTTATCATTATCAAAATGATTGAAAATTAAAATCTAACTCACCTAAGAGTCATTATATTTAAATTTCACTTTAAAATTAGCTTGACTTGTGGGGTTCTTCAAATCAATCAACTTTATATATTAATATTAAAAAATAAACTTTATACATTAGGGTCCAGTATTATGTTATCAGTGATGGTTTTTATGAAAATACTGTCGGATTTTAAAATGTGTAACCACACATCAAGTTTTTGTAATCTTTAGGATTTACTTGATATTAGGATCGATTATTACGTTGTCGAGGGTGTTTTTTATGTCAACACTAACTCATTTTAATATCGATCAAATCCAAAAAGTAACGCGATTGCACAATCTCAAATCCGACAGTATTTTCATAAAAACCACCCCCCGATAACATATTACTGGACCCTAATTTCGATTAAATAAAAAAAGTTACAAAACTTAGAGTACTTTTTGCCCAACTCCAATCTCACACTTATTTGATAAATAATTACTTAGAAATAATAAACCATTTGTAGCTTATATGTATTAGATTGCTTCATTAAATCGGATTTTCATTGATTTTGCTAAATTTTCTTTTTGATTTGCTTATTTTCTGTAATATTGCATGAGAATTAAGCCGTGGTGTTTACTATAGCATTCATTTCACGAGAATGATTTATTTCTTAACTACTATTTTTATTATTCCACAAGCCGGATTTAAGAAGATAAATAAAATTTCTTGGGACAGCTATGTGCCATTGCTCTTGAGGGAGGAGGAATAATAAATAGCAACTGACACAGTAAATTGTCATCGAAGATAGGTTAGAAACCCGAAACATCGGACTAGGGGATCAAAAATAAATATTTACCAATGGAAGAGGTACCTTCAATTTTAAAAACCTAAGAACCAATGTAATTCTTCCTCATAGATTATAATAAAATAAAAAAAAAATGAAGTATATAAATTATATTTGTAACAACAAATATAACTAATTAGTGACCCATCTCAACTGATAACTAATTCAGTTACCAAAATTAGTAAAATGTCTGCCGACGAATGATAATGGGATTATTTGGATGTTATTATTTTTTATATTTTGTTATTCTGCATGTGTTACATTACAAAACATTTGGGTAAAAACTAGACTTTTCTACTACCATCAGTTTCATAGATATAATTTTATAATCACAATATCATGCTGATAAGTATTTGACTAATGAGGCCAGCATGATCAGGTTGTAAATCATAAATTATCTTATATTTATATAATGTTGAAAAAAAATTATAGGAATTAGAATGATTAAGGTCAATTTGATTTTCTAGTAGCTAATACTCAAGTTAATGAACAATTTATAATTGTATATTATGCAACTTATTTAAATCTCATGATCTCATCAAACTATATCCAAAACATTATTAAAATGATTTTAGAGTGTAAAGAAATTTTTCAAGAAATTATTGAAATTTTCCTTTTCCTGTAAAATAGAAATTTCCATTTTTTTAAAGAATTAATAGTTGTTGGACTTTCTGATAAAGTCAACTATCCAACATCTCTAAAGAAAGATGACTAATATATTGGAGAATTAAAAAGGCAACACAATGAGGAATCTTGCGGCATGCACTCGAAAAAAAAAAATCTGCGACAATACGAAAATTTCCAAAAATTCATTATAAAATGAAAAAATACCTTGCAATGAAAATACAGCAATTTCTCCAGATGTACTAGTTGGAACTCCAAAATGAACTCCTGATACTAATAAAAGTGTATCAGACTTATTAAACTGTGAAAATTGAGTATATTTCCAACTGAAGACCTTCATGTCATAGGAGTACTTTATACTGGCTGGATACAAAGAATTCCAAACCTTAAAATAATATATTAACTATAGTAAAACAAATAAAATAATAACAATACAACTAAAAAAAAAACAAAAACATAATCTTGAAATACAATTATTCAGAACAAAATACAAACACTTAGGTATATTTCAAATAACACTATACATAACGACTTAAACTTCTAACAGTAAAATCCTACATCCACGACGAATACACTATATTTATTCTTTAATTCAAAATCACTTCAATCCACTAGTTCTTTCAACTTTTTCATCCCTCTTACACCTGCAGGATATAGATTAAAAAGGAAATGGACAAGAGACCTTCAACTTTAATAATGCCAAAATTAATGTCAATCAAGTAAATCAAGCAAATAATCAGTACATCAAATTTGCTATATGCACTACTGCGTAGATGCAAATGGCATAGAATATTAAAATAAAAATTTGTTCAGAAGGACATGGTGAAATGGTGGCTGAGTGTGTATGGTCAGTTATATTGCACATAAGTCAGATGAAGTGAGTTAATGTACAGTAGTGTGAAAACTCTTTAAAGAAACCAAATTTTTATAAAAATGATTAATGTCTCAATTTAAAAGTATTTTTATTTTGTTAATCGCTAACTTTCAGGTTCGAATCCGGCTGATGACTAGTAATTTTTCAATTACTAATCAACGGCCCTGGGGCCAGGAGACCCTCATGGGACAAACCCAGCCTCTATAAATTGGGTACTCTTAATTAAATAATTAATTAAGGGAGAAAACCTATCGGTTGAGCATGATATTGGCCCGTCACCTTCCTGCATAACTGTTGGCCTTGTAACAGTACTTCCTTACATTGTACTGAACCCAAGACCCTTCATGGGTTGTTAGTGATACAGGTTGTAATATCGCTACTGTTAGTGCAAAAGGATGTAAGTCAAAATTGAGTTTTTTTACTAGAGAGTATAAAAAGTGACTATTAGAGATAATTTTTATTATTTATTCTGAGAGCAACAAAATACCGACTTTTTCAATCATAACTAATTTTTATGAGTGTTTATTCTAGTGTGTTGACATTTGTTGCTATTTATGAGACTTCATAAAAATATGTTTGAAATGTGCTCTTGCAACTCAATTTTAATATTTTTTTCTGCTTTACTTTTGTTATATTATTTCTTACTGAGGTCATTTTCAATTTGTAGACTGTTTTTTCCAACTTTTTTTTTTTTTTAATCTCAATATCATTTTCATACTCAAAATATAAAATAAGGTAATTCCAGCTTGTTTATTTTTCTTTTATTCCTCAGCTTCTGATAAAAATAATTTGTAAAGTTTTGAAACTTAAAAATTATTAGTGTAGATTCTTTTCCAATTTCATTATATCATTGTAAACCGCATTGAATAAAATGATCCGGAACTATATCAACTTTCATACATCAATTATGATCACTAATAATACAGAATCATTCTTGGTTTTATAGTTACATAATTATATCTGAAATTAATCACCAGAAAGTTCTTACTATAACAAATCCATCTTTAGAAGAAGTGGCAAACATGGAACCATTATGAGAAAAACTGACATGTAAGACTTCATTCCTGTGCTCGCTTATCACTTCTGAACAAATTTGTGGAGTATGATAAATTAACCTTTTAAATTCCATATACCATGATTTTTTACCTGGATGAATAAAAGAAGAAATTTTTTATAAACTATGTGACAAATTGAAATAACAATTGCAGAATATAATAGAAAATCTGCATACCAGGAGCAATAGATATGCTATTACTTATATGAAAATGTCTGTGGAATAGATGTTTCCATAGAACTTCATCATACGATATTCTACACCAATTTCTACATGCCAATCCAGCTTTTAGAAGTTCAGAGTGGCTTAAAAAATTAAAAATATGTAATAGGATAGTATCAGGTAAATAATCCCACATTCCATTATCATTTGACAGCAGTTGGTTTGAAATATCCATTCTGAAAAATTATTTATATGATTTATTTGTCATAATAAATAAAATTATATGTGATTAAATACTGAAAATATTCATGGACATGCCTCACCAAACCATAAATTTACTCATTTAGGACATATTTCAATAAATGTGAGCTGGATTAATTCTGAATAAGTATCAATTCAATTCATCAGCATATGTATTATCAAATCATGTTATGAAACAAAATTTAACAGAGTTAATAACAATTCCAACAGGGAAACAATGTATCAATTGTCGTCGTAAGTGCAACAGTAAATGTCACAATAATATCAGCTGATCAGCCAAAACAACTTTAGTAACCTCAATGCTACCTTCATGTAAACATCTTGCCGGGTTCCCAGATTCAATAAACTACAGCAGAACTTATCACAAACCCATGTGAGTTGGGTTTATCTCCTTATTGGGTGTTAATCGTTTAACGTTTCTCTCTATTTCTGTGTTGTATTTCTTAATTTCAAATACCTTAGGTCTTGTGAAATGCCAGTTTATCAAGAAAGAAAACCTAAAATAGTAATTGTGAGTATATATTTATTTTCAAATTAAGAACACTAAGATAATATGCTAGCAAATTTTCTTTAATTGTCTTCTAGAATGAAGAAGATTTGCCTTATGAAGAGGAAATTCTTCGAAATCCTTTTTCTATTAAACATTGGTTAAGGTACATCGAGTTTAAGAAGGATGCACCAAGGAATGGGGTGAACATAATCTATGAAAGAGCATTAAAAGAGCTTCCTGGAAGGTCAGTGAACATTTTTAACAAAATCACAAAAAAAAAAAAAAACTTGTATCTATTTATTATATAAGACTACAGATGAATTTTTTTTTTAATATATGCATAGAAAATGCAAGAATTATTGATACTAACGTTGGTACCAGTTCACATGAATTCCGCATAGCTTACACGTGGTCCACAATCACTTCTGTAACATTTGTTCATGGAGTGTCGAATACTTCCAGGTTTATCCGAAAGAGGTCAAATGTGACCAATCTCTGAGTCAGTTACTAATAACTTTCCTGCCCTTAAAGTATTTTCATACTCTTAACAATGTACGTTTGTAATGCATCAGCCATCGGCTCACTCATGGAATTAGATTAGACATTTAGGTTACATCACTTAACCCTATTCAAAATTATACATATCGCTAAAGGCTCTATGTAACTATTTTCTGTTACTTTGATTTGTGCTAAACACTAGCTGATCCAGGATTTAATTAATGGGAGAAAGGCTTCAGCCTGACTTTTATGTATATATAAAATGATAATTATTCTGGAAGAAACCTTTTAAATGTAATTACATGAACAATAATACTATTAGAGATAATTTTTTCATAAGATATGGTTATATCTTACCATTTTGGATTTTGGGGGCTTTAGCACCAACAACAGTTGAGTCATAATATTCAAGAACATTCGACTATTTTCAGTCTTTTATGAATAAATGTGATCAAAGTGATTGTGAACCATTCCTAATCAGTGCGGAACTCATGTGAGCTAGTAACTAAACATTTTCTGTAATAATATTAATAATGTTCATTTTTCGCAGTAAGCTATTGATATTATTTATAATTTTTTTATTTTATTGTTAAAATTTGGTATAAAACAATAACAATAGTATTTTATGTTTTAGTTATAAACTGTGGTATAATTATTTAATACTAAGAAAAAGACAGATTAAAGGACGATGCATTACAGATCCTTCTTTTGAACATTTAAATAATACTTATGAACGATCTTTAGTATTTATGAATAAGGTAAGTTATTTAAAGTAGTATAAATTGAAGATTTATCACAATAGCCCTGGAGCCAGGACCCTAAAATCAACCTGATCGCTGGTAAAGGTTTGATTGTAAATTACGAAAGTATATGTTATTCTGAGTAAAAAGAACCTTGTTTGCCGATCCAGAGCTCATGCTTAAAATTGAAAATCAACTTTGATCCTATGGGTTTTTCCTCTTACGGACCTTCCTCATTTTCAAGTTACAGGGCCATTTATAGTAATTAATTAATTAATAAAGTAGTCTCAGTTTTTGACAAATTTTGTAAAAATCAGCATTGGTGACAGTGGTTTCATAAATGGCAGGAGGACCATCCTCCACCGGGATCCGAGAAGGTACATCTTTCCTGATTACTTATTCCTCAGGTCCAGAGACCCTCTCCACACCCATCTGAGATAAGCCCTTCAGAGCTGGCTCAGACGCTACAACAATTCCACTAGTGGAAGCAGAAGTCTCCCCTGAGGAACATTTAAAGAAGCAGTACCCACCTTTGTGGTCTGCGCACTAGGTTTGGGAGGCTTCTTCTTCTCAAACACCTGAAGTGCAACTTTGGCCCCGCCATACATCATGATCTTGTCCTGATCTCGAGGTGTTTGATACTTGTTTTAGATATTCTAAGGATTCTGTAGAGTCCGTTTGTCTCCACCTTACTTCCCAACACCTGCCAACTATTGATGTCCAGGATCCTACCATGCAGAATCTCCTAATGAGTAGCTCCTCCACGATTTTTCCCCAGAGAAGTATGCCCCCACCATGACAGCTTTTTGAGTTCCTCTACAGTACCAGCCCTCCACTACAATATAAAAAGTCTTTGCTGGCTTTATCATCGCAAACTATGATACACGCCCTCTCCCCAGATGGTGGCTAAAACCACTAAATTGAGGGCTGATGCCACCGAACTCCAGCCAATCAACAGATTTGATCACCTGGGCTTTAACTTCTTCGCTCTGCTCCCCGGAAAGCTGCACAGATAGATATCCACTAGGAATAATCGCCACTCTACTTTCCCCAGCCACTAGAGCATCGAGTTCCCCGACGAGGATCTGGTACACTTCGTGACTGACTCGGGCTCCACACTAACCAGTGCCTTTGCAGCCAGAGCTGCTGTAACCGGTAGCTCAGTCCCAGACATTGCCTTGAGCCTCTTCATCCTTCTATATTTTCTTATCTGAACCAGAAAGGTTTTCGTTGGACACCATGTTTAGCCTCCTCTGTTATTACAGAGAGCTTGGAAACCTCAGCTGAGATAGTCTCAGTCGAGCTCCTTGAATTTTCCTCACGAGGATTCATCGATGGTCCCTCCAAGTATCTCTCAGCCACTTCCTTCTCTAACGGTTCCATTTCCGAGTCATTACTTTTGATATCCACCCGTGTTTGTTTGTTTAGTGGTTCATTTATTTTGGTTCCCACAAGTATGGGGATGGTTAAGAGGTTGATACAGGTCAATCCCCTCTCCCTGCATAAGGCTGATTTCAATGGGGTGCGCCAGGTGCTCCAAGATGGTCGAATGGACTGTGTATTTTTATTTAAGATACTCCCTGCCACTCAGTCACGGCTTGAGCGCCCTCCACCTAGCTTGGGTGTCGTAGAAGGTTCCACACAATTGCCCTCCAAATAGAGGGCAAAAGTGTGGATCCCCGCCTCTGTCGTTTCTGAGTCCCATCGGACTCCCCTCAGGGCGCCAAGAGAAGGTGACAGTAGGCGTTGATAGGGATAGGGAGGACTGGGAAGTCACAAGCAGTCAGTAGGGCACTATTGCTTGATCGTCCTGCAAGGAGTGGGGGAGATTCCCGCACCCATCTCCCTCTCCAGCCCTCCTGTTACCCCCCAAAATTCAAAATTTTTTAGTGTTAGTTTATTAATTCAACCTACTTTTTATATTTTGATATCTAAATCAATACCTTTCTGATATTACTTTTGTCATGTTATTATATTAATTTTTTTTATTAATCCAGGTTATACTTTCTGTGTACCAATATTTGTATGTATGAATATATATATATATATATATATATATATATATTTTTTTTTTTTGTTTTTTTTGTTTTCCATTACACTATAAGTATTCCTGAAAATATTTTATTTTTATTTCTTTTAGTGTTTGCATATTAATGTGTAAATCACTGTAGATATTATTAAATTTTGTATTAAGTTAGTTTTTTGTTAGTTGGCCTATTGTTTATAAGTTGTGTATATATAAAAATGTAATTTCTTTTTTTTTTTTTTTTTTTTTTTTTTTCTTCTTCAGCACAATAATAAGTAATTTTGAGAAGATTTTATGTTAATAATAATAATCTTTTATTTATTCTGGGATGAATCACTTTAGAACAATTAATAAGGACAGAAATGTGGGCTCCTCAGATATATATAAATGTATTTACGAAGTTAACTAATAGATATAATAGAGAGAAAAAAAAATCTAGATTAAATCGATTAAGAAAAAAAAAATGAAAGAACAATGAAATGAAAATAATTGGAAATAAACTAATAATATATATATATTTACAGAAGTTTCTATTTACAATTTTAGAGAGACTGGATGGAAAGAAAGTGTTTGAATAGGCGGGATTTAAAAGTAGGGAGAGTTTTGGAACGACGGATGTCGGGAGAGATGGAGTTCCATCCCTAAAAAGATTTATTGAAAGCAGCGGTTCGGTGAGCCATTGTAAATAAATCTGATGACCGGGAACGGGTATTGCGGGAGTGGACAGAGGAGTTAAATTGAAGGAGCTCGGAGATGTATGAAGGTTGCGGGAGTAAGGATAGGAACTTACGGCGGTAGGAAGGATAAAGCCATTTCAAATCTTCATAGAAACAGGAAACAGGGGCGTCCCTTGGGATCCTGAAGATGAATCGTACAAAGCAATTTATCAAACGTTCATTTTTTGTTGTTTATTTTTTAGTGGTTTGTTGTAGATAGCCCCCAGTATTTTCTCCTTTATGTGACATTGTGTGAGGGATTGAGAAGGAATATATAGGAATGCGAGGTTGCACGATGAATTGTACTCAATTGTGCAGTGGACAAATTATTCATTGAAAAGTTTCATATCATCGATAAAGAAAGAAGGTTGGAATAGGATGGAGCAGGTAGCAACAGCTGGAGAAGGGGACGCCGGAGAATAGAGAAGACTTCACTTGAGACTGGGACATTAAGAAAGAAGGTTACCTGAGAAGAGAATTCTTCTACAAGATTAAAGAAGATCAAGCCTATAGTTATAGCACTTTAATAGAGTCAATTTATTACAGTTGTAGAAATAAATTATTTTGTTATACAGGAGTGAAAATCATTTATTTAGTTAGTTGTCCTATATGCCTCACAATTGAAGAATAACAAACCTGGTGAGTCAATTCATTCAAAGTGTGTTTACTATGTCCCACATTTCATATATATATATATATTCTTAATGTTTCTTCTCACTCAGTGTCACAAAAGTAATCCTAATCCTTTGTTAATCCTCAACAACAGTTAAACACCTTCAAAAAGTCTACGTCCAGTGCCGGGGTTTTGTTTTAATATTCTCGAGTGTAAATAACCTAGTCCCCAATAAAAACGGAAGGAATATTTATAATTTCCGTCAAAACAAATTATTTACAATTAAACTTTTAACTTTTATTTACAGGTTACAAACTATTTTTCAACTTAATGTAAATAATGTTAGAATTTTTATAAGTTAGTTTTTGGCAAGATTTGTATTTTCTTTTGTTCTTATTTATCATTGTTATTCTAAAGGGACTTAATCCCAGAATAAAGTTCAGTTTTCTATATTCTATCTCAGGACATTCCATTTGGATACACTCGTGACTTCCTTACTAAATACTAATGTTCCCATCATTCTTTTGGAAAATTTGGTTAATGTTCATTCCATAGAGTGTGAATGTGATCTGTGAACACTATTATAAATGTCCTTGAGACAGAATGTAATATTTTTCATTAAATAAGCTAAAAAAATGTTCATTCAGGCGTTATTGTTAGAATGGAAATTGACACATTATAAAGAAATTATTAACAATGTTTGAATGAATGAAAATTTTAATTTAAAAAAATGGGTTTAACATGAGCAATAATAACTTTCCATTCTTTAGCTGGACCATGTTACACTGTTTTATTATTCAAGATTGGTATAGTTAACCAGTACAAATGCCTACTGAGTAGTATAGCCCAAGTGCAAAATTTATTTTCATCCACTTTTGAAGAATACTAATGTGATCTTGCAAAAAAAGTAAATCCAAATTTAAAATGTAATTGAGGGACCTCCTCGCCTAATGTAGATGAGGGACATTCTCGCCTAATGTAAATATCATGCCGAGTGAGGTGTCGCTGGGCACTGATCCTCCTCATGCCTTTCTCATGACATTATATTTAGCAATCGATCTCACATTCACTGGTTGTCGTTACCATTATGACAGGTGTGAATAAAAAATTAAAGTTAAAAAAAATGTAATTAAATTCCTGTGTAATTAATTACTGCCCAATTCTGCCTAATTTCAAATGGATCAAAAATGAATAAGTATGAAATAAGTTAATTTTTGAGTATCTTTTTTAATTCCATCTTACCTTGATTGGTAAAGTCATGGATTTTGAATCTAAACTGTGTGTAGTTTAAATTGATATATTCGAAAATTGTTTTCAATAACTCTGATTATTCTCCTCTTCGGCCCTTGGACTATAAGGAAGGTTACTGTTGTATTGATGTGTTATTCATTTAGGTAAATCTAGGTCTAGTTGCAATAGACAATAAAACTACAAAAATTTATTTAAATTAAAATGGGATTATTTTTCTATTCTTGAAAATTTTTCACATTTATCATAAAAGTATCTATTATTTTATCGAATATACTTTTTAAAAATGTATTATTAAATTAGTTTTGTTTATAAGATGCCTAGGATATGGATGGAATATTGCCAGTTTCTTGTTGATCAATGTAAGATTACTAAAGCCCGTCACGTATTTGATAGATCTTTAAGGGCATTGCCTATCACCCAGCACCATCGTATTTGGCCTCTTTATATAAAATTCTTAAAAAAACATAACATTCCAGAAACTGCAGTCCGTGTATTTCGAAGATATCTAAAGGTATGTGTGAAATTTACAGTATATCTATACTTTATTAAATATATATCTCCTTATGTAAAATGTTTATTATCTATTATCTTGTTACAGCTCTGCCCAGAAGATACAGAAGAATATATTGATTATTTAACTGCAATCCATCGTCTAGATGAGGCCGCTGTTAGATTGGCCGATATTGTAAATACTGATGATTTTGTTTCAAAGCATGGAAAATCAAACCATCAGTTGTGGACTGAATTATGTGATTTAATCTCTAAAAATCCTCAGGAAGTTAGGTATTGCTGTAAATCATCTAGTTTTGTATATTAATTTAAATTTGATTAATTAATTAATTAAATTTATATTTTTAGGTCTCTGCTCAGTAGTTCAAATTCGATCATAATCATTATTAAACATTTGAGGAAAACATAAATGAATTTACATGTTCTCAACATTATTTTTTTACTCTTATATATTCGTTCATTCACTTTTTTTGTACTTACAAAGTAAAACAGTGCAGTACCATTTGTTTATTTTTGGGTTATAGACAAATATATTCCTGAATTTGATTGCAACGTTGTTTCAAAATTTCAAAGCATTTGGTGAAGAACGTTCGGAGATTAGCTGTTTTGAACAAACTAGCATTTACATTATTATTTATATACACTATTTCCATTTTTTTTCTTGTTTGATTTGTTTCTTGGAACACTAAAACTCACCAATAGCTACTGAACAAAAAAAGGAAAAAATAATCAGTTGAGAAAAAGGGGCTGAACTGCCTTTGCCTATTTATATAATGATTAATTATTATTAATTTATTCTGCATTAAGGGAGTAGGGTAGCTCAGTGGTAGGGTACTGATCTTCCAATATTCAAGGTCCCAGGTTCGAATCCTGGTTCATGGCAGAAATATTATTTATTCTGTTTCATCGGCATTGGAGCGACCCCGGGGTCAGGAAACTCTCCTTAGGGCACACCCAGCCTATATAAAGTAGGTACCATTAATTAGATAATTAATTAAGGGGGAAAACCTGGAAGTAGAGCGTGATCTCTGTCAAATCACCCCCTTGCATAACTGTTGATTATGAAACAGTTCTTTCTCTAAATAGTACTGAACCTCAGACCCTTCATGGGCTGTAGTGGTACAGATTTTTTAAATTTTTTTATTCTTCATAATATTAAATTTCTATTAAATTCATTTTGAATTTCTATTAAAATCAAGTTTTTAATAAAAAAAAAATTGTAAAATATTTATATAAAATGGTTTTGTTATTACTATTTTCTTTCATATTCTAATAATTTGTCATCTGAACAATGAAAATTTTCCTGGGTTTGTTCACTTTGTAGATATATAGAGTAAATATTGATATTGTATGCCTACTATTATTGCTTAACCAATGTTTAATTGATTCATCCTCCTTTTCTTTCTTTTAGATTCTCTAATGTTTTTGTCACAATGTATACATCTTCCGAATATTGCATGAATTTAAGCAAAGCTATCTTTTTAAGTAGAAACAGAGTGGAAGTCATTGATATAACTATATTCAAACAACTTGTGAAATCAGTGATTGAGAATCATGTTATATGTTTATAGTATGAATGATTCAGAGTACTAGTACAATATTGTAATATATCTTATATTTTAAACTAATAATATAACTTCGGAAGATCATTTCATACTGTTGGGATACTTCCAAAAGAAATAAGAGGTTGTTAAATAATAAACAAAATTATAAGAGTATTAATATATTAAATTGAAATTTATAATTATTTTATCTCAGGTATGGGTTAATGACAAGCAGATCAAAATACTCAGACTAAAATTAACTACACTAAACACTGTTTGACTTTAAAATTAAGTCAATTATGAATTAGCAAGCTAACATTTTTTTTTAATATATATTGTTTCTTCCTTTGTGGCACTGAATTCATTTGTCTTCAAACACTTTCCAAAGTTCTGTCAAATAAACCTTCCAAAATGGTGACATTTTCTTCTACTCAAACCAAGCTCTCTGGGAGATCCTCTCTCTTGTAAATCCAAACAATAGTGACCTTGTCAAACAACAACTGCTTGCCAAAACAAAAATCCTTTGTCCCTCACCTCTTTGGGATTTCCCTTTTTGGGTAAACTACAGAGCAGCCATTTTATTTTCCCTGAACTAGTGAAACTATTTTTCAAATTTAAACATCACCTGACATTAGCAGAACTAGAGTAGCTTGCCTTTTGTTCAACATTTATTTACTAAATCATTTTTACCAACTTCCAATAAAGGTGTATATTACAATATATATATATATATATTTAATTTACCTTCTCCATTTCTGCCTATCTTATATACTTTAATCAATATACATTATATTGTAATTCACTTCTAGGTCTCTGAATGTGGATGCAATAATAAGAAGTGGTTTGAAAAAATATACTGACCAGTTAGGTCATTTATGGAATTCATTAGCTGATTATTATATCAGAAGTGGACTTTTTGAAAAGGTACAATTTTACTCCTTTATTAGATTCTTAATTGCTCAATTTAGATGAAAATTAATTTTATAATTAAGGCATTCAAACGTACAGTGAATCACGTCAATTCTTACTTTCACTTACCTGTGTATGAAATATATAGTAAAGGAAAGTTTTGCTATCGTTAAAATTTTTGAATCTCAGTTTTTAACGGAAATACACGTTTTGAGGTCCCCTGATTCCAAATAACCATGTTCCTCAAAATGGCGTGCGTGCGTGTGAGTGTCTGTGTTAGCAGTCTAGCTCAAAAATGAAAAATTATGAGAAAGTGAAATTGCATATTTAAGGTTTTTATATGCCTGAGATGTTACAGCAACTTTCTCATCAAAAATGGCTAACTGGAAGTGGCACTTTTTTTTTGTGTCTTTGGCACAATGTTTTTACTCGTCCATTTTATTAGCTCCTATGTAAGCATCTCAATTATATTAACTAGATACAGTTCATGCAATTCAGTGTTGTGTTGTGTAACCGTCTAAATTCTTCAGTCGACTTATCCTTCTTTGGCCCAAATATTCTATGCAATACTTTATTTACAAAAATCTTAATTCAATCCTTATTCCTTAATATTAGAGGCCTTGTTTTGCATCCATAAAGAACTGTAGTTTGGATAATGGTTTTGTGAATTCTAATTTTTAAGATTCAGGATAGGCTGCACTAGCTAAGTATTCTACTTTTGTTATAGAAAAATAACAAGTATTTCCCACCTTCAACCTAACCTCAATGTCTTCAACAGAGGGAAAAAATAATAAAATTATTAAAAATAACGTAATAGAATTATGAACTAGTTTTTGGCTATCCTTAATGTAGATATCTTGGATGGAACCTTAAGCTAGGAGGATTACTGAAAATTAATAAGCTGGGTTCCAGTTTTAGCCAACTATTAATGACAATTTTTGGCTACTTTTATTTTTTAGACTAGCAGTGATGTATACAGAATAAGATGAAAAGTTATATACTTAATAATATCATATCTTACAATTTTTCGAAAAGTAAAGTTTTTCTTACCTAAAATGTAAGTAAGGCACGTGCTTTTTGGGTTGCATCTGTAAAAAACCTTACCTTCAGAGCCTTTTTTTGGCTATTAAAACAAGATAAATGGTGACATATACAATGATATGCACGCTTAGAAGGGTTTCATGCTTCGAACAAGGCCGTTTCCATAGTTTTAGGCCATTCAAAAAGCTTAATATTCTTAAATAGGCACCAATGGGTGCAGAAAAATAAGAGTTTTACCTTTTATATTAATTCACCTTAAACAAACATATATGTATATATGTATGAACTTTTTATATATTATATTCTAGGCAAGGGATATTTATGAAGAAGCAATACAAACTGTTACTACTGTCAGAGATTTCACTCAAGTTTTTGATGCTTATGCTCAGTTTGAAGAGCTTTCTTTGAGTAAGAAAATGGAAGAAGTTTCTCAAAAAGCTTTTCCCACTGATGACGGTTAGTATATTATCCATCCTTCTATGCAATGTTAATAATTACACTTGATGTACATGAGAAGTTTGATCAAACAAATATGGCTGTCTTTCTTCCTTGAACCCTTCCAAAACTTAATTACACAAGGCCAAATTACATTCTACCCATATACACACATTATTTGGACCCATGTACTAAAACTGTAGGAGAGAGCAATAGTCAATGCCCTATTCTATGTTTTTTTTATTTTGTTTTTTAAAGTCTCAATCTGTATAACCAACAAAACCCTACCATAATATCTCAGAAAAATTCTCCAAATTTTACCTTAACCTTACATATCAATCAAAATCTTCTTGCACAATCCCTACCTACTTCCTCCTATCCCTACAATCCTCCTCGAAGGTTGAAACGGCGACAGCCCCACAACCTTGTGAATATATGTGTATATATATTTTCTTTTTTTTTTCGGTTGGCGCTACAGACCTTGTAGATCTTTGACCGCGATATGTGGTCTTCTAGACCACATCCCGATTCCTGTTTTAAGTACATGGGGGTATGGTCATCATTCCTATGCCCGGTCGTGAGGCAAACCTGGGTAGGTAGACCCTCCTGGGGCACACCCAACCTCTACAAAGTACATACATACATATGTGGCACGACATCCCGTTACCGAGACTGGGCCTCCGCCAGTTGGCTCTGTCTTCTGCTGCAGCTCTCCAGTTCCGTACACCAAGCAGGGTTCTCGCATCATAGGCCACATTGTCCAACCATCTCGTCCTCGGCCTTCCTACCCGTCTTGCGAGGTGCAGCTCCTCCATCATTATTTTCTTGAGTATTTCTACGGTGCTCGTTCTGGCCACATGCCCTGCCCACCTTAATCTGGCAAGTTTAATATATGTGACTACGTCGTTGTCTATATAAAGAGAACTGAGCTCCCTATTTTTTCTTTTCATCCAGACATCATCCTCCTTTACTGGACCATAAATCCTTCTGAGGACTCCTCGCTCGAACACACTGAGCTTCATCTCATCACTTTTTGTCATCGTCCAAGCTTCTGAGCCATATGTCAAAACAGGCCTTACAAGGGTCTTGTATAGAATCAGCTTAGTCTTCTTTGAGCGATACCTACTTCTTAAGTGTCGGCCAAGTCCAAAGACACATCTATTGGTAGCCGTGATCCTTCTCTGTATTTCTTGAGCCATGTCATTTTTGCTATTTATTTCAGACCCAAGGTATATAAAACTTTTTACTCTCTCAAAATTAAAAGAGTCTATCTCAAATGCAGAGTTCAGATCCACCTCACCACCAACTCTCATATATTTAGTTTTTCTCTCATTGACTTCCAGACTAAATAGTCTTGCAGCTGCTTTAAGGGCTTTAAACGCTTCTCTGAGACCGTTCAGACCTTCCTATTATGTCAATATAGTCAGCAAAACCAAGAAGCTATGTCAGGCAATTGAAGATTATATCGCTGGTCTGAATACCGGAATCTCTTACAGCTTTCTCCTCTGCCAAGTTGAATAATAGACAGGCAAGGGCATCCCCTTGCCGAACCCCACTGCTCACTTTAAACTCTTTAAACACGCGGAGTCATCAGAACCGATGCGTATTCTACATTTCGAGCTGTCCATGGTCATCTTGATTAAGCTGAGGGATACTTAGCTCCTCCAAGGCACAGTATAGTTGTGTTCTATCAACGCTGTCGTATGCTGCTTTTAAGTCCAGGAATAAATGGTGGGTGATTACCTTACGCTCCATAGTCTTTTCTAGGATCATCCTGAGAGAGAACAGTTGATCAGTGGTTGAGCGTCCTCGTCGAAATCCAGCCTGATATTTCCCCAGTTCCTTTTCAGAATACGGGAGGATCCTCTCAAAAAGAATGTTAGCATACGAAAGGAGTGAGATTCCTCTATAGTTAGTGCATTCTGTTTGATCTCCCTTCTTATGAATTGGGCAGATAATGGCTGTTGCCCATTCCGTAGGCATAGCTTCCCTCTCCCAGATGGTCAGCATTAAATCATGCAGAGCTTTCTTGAGTTCTTCTCCACATTTCAACAGCTCTGACTGGATTCCGTCCGGGCCTGCCACTTTTCCATTTTTCAATTTCCTCAGGGCGTTTTCCATTTCATCCTCATCCAGGGGTTCAATATAATTCGGGGAGTCTTCCTCGATTACCCCTACTTCTCCAGGCACTGTTCATCTGTTTAATGTGTCTTTGAAGTGTTGCACACATCTCTTTAGTACGTCATCTTTGCCTATAAGAGTTCCGTCTGTGTCTTTGCATGCCGTCACTCTGGGCCTGAAAGCTGCCCTACCCTCATTTATTCTCTGAAAGAACAGCCGACTTTCATTTTGGCCGTGCAATGCCTCTGTGTCCTCCATGTTCTTATTTTCCCAAGCTCTTCTCTTTCCGTGGAATAGACTCTTCTCTTCGCATCTTTTTCTTCACATAATATGGCGTTGAAAAGCCTTAGCCTTGATCATAAAAGTGGCACTGAGGCTCCCGCAATCGATGATAGAACAAATTTCCCAGCACTGCCGTCGTCACCTTCTCAAGTCATCCAGCCTCAACCATCCATCTCCACAGCTACGGACTATCCTCAACAGGGTTCAAAAAATTTACATCTCCAAACCACCATCAAGAACCAGCAGCCTCCACGACAGGCGCCTCAGGCTTCCCAATCCAAGCCTAAAACTGCTAAACCACAGCCTCAACCTCCTCGTCAGCAAATCCTTCTTCATCATCTACCCTTAAGGGTCAATCTCCCGCCAGAGCATCCACACCCAGTTCCATCCGTTCCTAATCCCAATGTAAACCTCCCATCACAAACAGAATATACAGAATAACACTTCCCACGCTGGTTCCTGCATCCTTATCCATAAATCTTTATCCCACTCCCTTATTCCTTCCACTCCAACTGATGCCATTCAATCAACTTCTGTAGTCCTTTAACTAGTCCTTTCCATATCACATTCTCAGCTGTATACTGTCCTACTGATAATTCCATCTCCTATAACCTCCTTGAATCCTTATTCCAATCCCTCGGATCGCGCTTTATTGCTGGAGAAGACTACAATGCTAAACACCAATGATGGGGTTGTCGAACATCCAACCCCCGTGGTAACATCCTATCACGTGTTTCATCTTCCAACAATTATTCAATCCTTTCGTCCATGAGTCCTACTTATTGGCCAACATCCCTCAAAAAACGTCCTGATATCCTAGGTATATTTATAACTTACCAGATCTCCTCCTCACAAACCATAATCAAATCCCTTGATGACCTTTCTTCAGACAATAGTCCAGTTCTACTTTCACTACATTCAAGCTATGCTCCTAAACCATCATCCCCCAAATTGATTACAGGACGAGTAAACTGGGACAAATTTTGTGATGACTTGGAAAACAAACTATACTTGAAAATTCTGTTAAAGACAAAAGAAGACATTAATGGTACCATAGAAAAACTTACAACATCAATAACAGACGGTATAAACAGTAACACCTTTAACAGTAGGATTAGCAATTTACAAAAGACACTTGCCACAGCACATTCGTATCTTATTAAAGGAGAAAACGCAGAGCAAGATCGAAGTGGCATAGAACTAGATATCCAACAGATAAAACTCATTATACCCAACTGACTAACAAACTAAAATCAGAAATTAGAAAATACAAAACTCAAAATTTACTAAATTTTACTGAAAAACTTACACCTACCGACAAATCACTGTGGACAATGACTAAACGCCTTCTGAAATTTAAAGACTTCAATCATCCACTTCTTACTGAAGCTCAAACTTGGTCCAAATCTGATGATGAAAAATCCCAAATTTTTGCTCATCACCTCTTCAAAACTTTTAATCCACATCCTGATATCCTTAATCCAAATCAGCTTGAATGTATTGAAACAGAACTGGATATTCCACTCCAAATGACTCCTCCTCCTAAAGCATTTCATCCTTCAGAAATATCCAATATTATTCACAGATTACCCTCCCGCAAAGATCCTGGCCACGACCTAATCACTTCCCATATTCTTAAACTATTTCCTCGAAAAGCCATTCTATTCCTTACTTACATTTATAACGCCGTACTCCGTTCCACATATTTTCCTGACCCTTGAAAACTATCTGTAGTCAAAATGATACATAAACCCAAAAAGCCACCAGAATACCCATCCTCTTACCGTCCTATCTCTGTTTTACCCATCATGGGCAAAATCCTGGAGAAACTCATCTTAAAACGCCTGTATCCCATCCTAGATTCTAACTACATAATCCCTGATCACCAATTTGGATTCCGCACATCCCATTCCACTATCCAGCAATGTCATCGTGTGGTAGACGTTGTCTCCTCTGCATTGGAGCGCGGAATGTATTGTACTGGAGTTTTTCTCGACGTTGAACAGGCGTTTGATCGAGTCTGGCATCTGGGATTGCTTTACAAACTCCGTAAATTCCTTCCCTCTACATATTTTCTTATCATCAGTTCCTATCTTACTGATAGACACTTCAAAGTAAATCAAAAAATTTCAGATGATATAGACATCGAACTTCGCTTAGCAAGGTTTGAAGATTTGATTGAAAGAAGATTATTGCTTCTAAATTCAGTTCTCTTGAGACAAAATCCTCATAATGTTCACGAATGGCTGAAAAGGGTTCAGCTTTTTGAAGGAAAACCACATGATGTAAGTTATCAAATTATTTCTTTATATTACTTATTTAACTTTTTTATTACTTTAATGTGTAATAATCTAATCATAAAATTCAGGTATTGAAATTAATGTAAAAAACGCTACATCTAAAGTAATATTACCTTCCTAGTGACAAAGAAAAAGAAATAAAATAAAAGGAGAAAATGTGCGTATGATAGCAGACGGACAAAAAAATTTTTATTCGTTTTTAAATTTTACGTATCCTGAAATGTAAAACCTCAAATTTTGAGGGGAAGGATTAAGTTTTTGAATTTTTTGTTCGATCACAATGGTTCATTATTGTTTTATGTGTATTTATTAATGTATATTGTTGACAATTTTAGGTTTTATATTAATTTCATAATTGAAACTATTTTAACTGTCTGACCTTTACCGAATATGATTTTTAATTTATGCTTAAGAGTATAGTAATGTCTGTTATTTAGTATAAAAAGGAATTTGTGTTTCCATAAAGGTAATAATGTTTGTTATTCTGTGATAGACTCCATTTGTATAGGATTCTTCCCTCAAAACAAATAAAGATTGATTGATTGAGTCTTTGCTTCTATTTTAATTTATTTATATATTGTGTTACAAACATGTGTTAAATAATTCTGTTCTCCTCCATTAGCTTCCACCTATGATCTTGACCTGTTACCTTATATCTGATGTTAGTGTCCTATCGCCTATTCTTTTCTGATAATCTATTTTCAACCTCATGATAAAATTGTATATTTTTGCTTATCTTTCAGTATGAATGGATATAAATTTGAAATGTTTCAATTTTCTTCTGGTTTATTTTTTATTGTTTGTAAATGGATTAAATAGTCTGTAGTATTAAATTGTCGAAATCTGGTAAAAACAATTTTATTGGTCTTAAAGTATTGTATATTTTTTGTCGTGAATTATTAAAACTGCTCCTTTTTTGTACTTTTACCTGAAAGTCCATATGTATTTTATTTTATCTGAAAGTACATAACTTTTTTGTTATGTTTATCTGATTGTTTTAAAAATCTATGAGTTAGAATTCTATATTTGTCTTGTTGTTCTCTTCATATTATTAATATTTTCTCAGATAATTTATACTTACACTGAAGCTGTTCAAACAGTTGATCCAAAACTAGCTGTCGGAAAACCGCACATGCTCTACGTTAATTTTGCAAAATTCTATGAAGAAAATGGGCAAGTAGAAGATTCTAGAATAGTTCTTGAAAAAGGAACACAGGTACCTTATACTAAAGTTGAAGATCTCGCATCTGTGTGGTGTGAGTGGGCAGAGATGGAGATTAGAAATGAGTAAGTATTTTTTTACGTTCCTTGCCTTTAATAGATTTTTATTACTTTCATTTAGCTATATATGAAATGAAATGATACATTACAAAAGATAATTAAATAGTAAGATCAAAATAAAATGCATGGAAATAAAGTATGACGAGCAATCCAGGTAATTCTTTAATCAAACCTAGATGAATCAGTGTGGAAACATTACCTAAACTATTAGTAATTCCAAAAATTGTGGTTTGGTGTGGACTTGACACAACTTTTCTTAGCAGAAATAAGTATTTAATCAAAATCATTTAGAGACATTTTCAAGAAAATCGTAAAAATGTGTAAAATCTATGATGTAAAGTGCCACTTCTGATTAGCCGATTTTGACGAAAAGTAACATCTCAGGCATATACAAAACATTAAGTATGCAATTTTACTTTCATATGACTTTTCATTTTTGATCTATACTGTTAACACACTGACAACTTCACAGCTAAATTTAATAGTAAATTTAAATAACATTATTAAATTAATAAATAAACATTAATCAATTTAATAACAGAATTACATCGGAAGCAGAATCTTTGTATCCACCCTTACGAATTACTAGTTTAAGATTCATTTAGAAGAAAGGCCTCCAAAAGTGTTGGCCCATGGGCCACATTGAGATGTCGACTGTGATGGTTTATGATTAAAAAAAAAAAAAAATCTTGTCCTATAAATGATACTTCAGCATTGAAATGAGCTTTCTTAATGCCTCTTTCACACCGAAGATGCAAGACGCAAGATGACCTATCTCGACCAGTTTCTTTTCAGACTTCAATTAGATGTTGTGTTCCAAGTATGGTTCCATGAGATCCAACAATTTGTTAAATGGCGAATTCTCAATTTTATAATACACCTGAAATGTTAAATGTCGAAATATCAATTTTATAATACACCTGAAACTTTACTGGATGGTTGAATAATTGCATTGACACAATGACAGTGCAATGTTCTACAGCATTATTCCTAATTTTGTCGCCTGAAGAGTAGGATGATTGATTACTCATATTTCAAACTCACATATTAAACTAAACAGAGTTAATATATATAAAAAGAAGATGCAAGTGGCATTTAGGATGACACTTTTTCTAGAAATCTAAGAAATCAAGTCGTTAAATCCAATCGCTGTATCCATAAAAACTTATGTTACAAAAGCTATCTTAATTTTTATAAAAGCCATCTGAATCATTGGACAAGGTGTTTTCATCTTAACAGATGTCATTATATACAACATCGTCTGTAATTAGAAGATGGAAAATTTTAATGTAAGCCTTGATTATTATGAACCACTGAGTCTTTCATTATTGTTCTAAACTATAAAGCAACACAGAGTCAGGTCATTCCATGCCAAATCATCCAGAAAAAGTTCAATTTGTAATCCACCTCTCTCAGATCTTTATGAAAATTTGTAAATATTAAGTAAATATACATGTAAGTATAAATGCCAAATTTAAGCCAATTGGAACAATTACTTCAGAAATATTAGTATTTAAACTTTTGAAATATTTGAAGTTGGGAAGACATTTTGAGCTCAAAACCTATCTTTAAGCATTTTTTTTTATCTATGAAGAAAAATTATAATGCTAAAATTTATGTTATCAGCACATTCTGTATTAAATTTATAACAAATAAATATATTTTTAAAGCTCTTGGTCAATAAATATTGGTTTTACAAATGAAAACCTATTCAAACAGGTACGTGTTTATTTATTTAATCTTCTTAGAAACATATGATTTGTGTTAAATCATATTAGTCTTCAGCCTAATTATTTATATATTTTTGTCACTCTCCATTACCTTCTATGACTTTTTATATTAGTTATTGTTTTTTTCTAAAATTCTCCATTATCCATCGATATATTATATGTATACGTTCTGACTTTTATTTCCGAAGATTCATTTTCAAGCTAAATGAGCATTTTTCCTTTTTTTTTCCTTTATTCCATTATCAAATTCTTTCAAAATTTATATTTAGCCTTTTTTCATTATTTTTATCAATGAAAGAAAGTTAATTATTTATAATAAACCAAATTAAAGGTACTTTAGAGGAAGAAATGTTGAACATATGGAATTTAAGCTTTGTTAAGGAATATCAATAGAGATAAGATCTAAATGATATTAAAGACTAGTTAATTATACATTGATACGCCGAGTTCAATCAAAATTGTTTGAGCCTTTTTCGAGAAAATAGTAAAAATCTCTAAAATCAGTGATATAAAGTGGCACTTCCAGTTAGCCGATTTTAACGGAAAAGTTGCTGTCATATCCAAGCCATATAAAAACCTTAAATACGCAATTCCATTTTCATACGACTTTTCGTTTTTGAGTTAGGCTGTTCACGCACACCCACAGACCATTTTGCAGGACTTGGTTATTTGGACTAAGGGGGCCTCAAAACATGTATTTCCATTGAAAACTCAGGTTCGAAAATTTTCACGATCACAATACTTTCCCTTTCTATATATTACATATATAGATAAGTGAAAGTAAAAATAATTCATAGTTAATATATATTATTTTAATAATTGCTTAATTTATAATATTCAATGTAAATAGCTATGTATTGTTCTTTAGAAACTGTGATGAAGCATTAAAAATTCTTCAAAGAGCTACTGTGATGCCAGCTAGGAAAGTTGATTATCATGATGACTCAGAAACTGTGCAAATGAGATTATATAAATCACTGAAAATATGGTCATTGTATGCTGATCTAGAAGAAAGTTTTGGAACATTCAAAGTAATGTTTTTATTCTTTTTTTTTTATTATTCTTTTATTTATTTTGCAAGCTGTTGTTTCTTGGTCCAGTGAAGTTATATATTTATTAATTAAGAATTATTTGGAAAAAGTCCCATTCGTATATAAAATGAAAATATCAATGTGTAATGAGTTACAAATGAACTTTGTACTCAATTACAATAACATTTACTCTTAGCAGTTATTTTAAATTATCCATAGGAGTTTAAATTAAAATGAATATTGAAACTGCTTGACTAACATTCTAAGTAATATGGCCGTCCTTAGTTCCTTGTACATATTAACATGTACATATCCCACTTGGTCTCTTCAACAGCATCACTTTTTTATATATTTATTTCCTATGAAGAGGAGATGGTAGGCATAATAAGTATCAATAAAGTTAACCTATTCGAGGCCCACAACTTAAAGTGGAGCAACATTTGTGAAGTAGTACCTATCAATTTTATTTGTATAGAAAAACCGTAGAATGTACACTAATCAGAAACATATACAAGGGGTGATAAAAAAAAAAAAAAAAAACGGGAATTTCGTCATAACTTCTTTATTTCTTAATATTTTTACACCAAATTTTGTTCATCTTTAAAGTACTCTCTCTTGATCACAATGCACCTCTCCAAAAGATCCTTCCATTATTCAAAACATTTTTTAATTCACTTATCGGGATGTTCTTTAGACCATTCAGCGATTTTTGTTTTACCTCCTCCACACTGGTAAAATGCTTTCTTCTCGTGTCCATTTTGAGTCTGCGGAACAAAAAGAAATCACAGAGGGCTAAACCCGGTAAGTAAGAGGGTGGACAATCTGTGTCATGCTGTTTTTGGTCAAAAACTGCTTAATGGTGTGGACCGTTGCTTTGTCATGATGGAGAACCAGGCAATTGTGAGCCAAAGAACTGCCATTTTCTTCCGGATTCTCTCCCTCAATCTTTTGAAAACCTTCAAGTAGAACTTCTGGTTGACAGTTTAACCCAGGAGAACGAACTCCGTGTGCACAACACCTCTGAAATAGAAAAAACAAATGGGCATTGGCTTGATGTTTGACTTCACTTGGCGAGCTTTTTTGGGATGAGGAGAGGCTGTCTTCCACTGGCTTGATTGCTGCTTTTTTCGGGGTAGTATCCACAGCATCATGACTCATCACCAGTAATTGCCTTGGAAAAAATTCAGGGTCCTCTTTGAGCTGATTTTGAAGCTCAAAAAATGCCTGAAGTCGACGCTCCCTTTGCACACTTATGAAAAGGTGAGGGACAAATTTGGCTGCAAATCTTCGGATAAAATTCTTTAGATTTAACTCCGTGATATTCCAAACATCTCACAGAGTTGATCAATAGTTCGGCGACAGTCTTCACAAACAAGAGCATTGATTTTGTTGATGTTGTCACTTCTTGACGTTGAGGAGTGTCCTGCATGGTGTTGGTCTTCAATTGACATTTCTCCATTTTTAAAATGTGAAAACCACTGGTAGACTCTAGTTTTACGTAAGGCAGCATCCCCATAAGCAGTTATAAGCATTACAGTAGTTTCCGCGCCCGATTTCCCCAACAGGAAATAAAATTTCACAGCGATTTGCTCTCTACAATTGGCCATCACTTATTCAGCGAAATAGAAAAAGTTTTTTCACTAAAAAAATTCTCACAGGTGAACCGATGCACTCACAGCGACACAACTTCACACACTAACTCCAGGAGATGTGTTCCTAATGGACACCGGGCCAATAGCTTCCCCTCTTATAAAAATCTTAAACTGCGAATAATTTATGGCAAAAAAACTACAAAATTATAGATGATAGATAGAAAATAACTTTATTCTGAGACTAAGTCCCTTGAGAATAACATTTAGTAAACATGCTATATACAAGTAATACTATATACAAAACACTTAAAACTTTGAAAAGGCACTTAAAACTACGTACACTAATGAAACAATATGAATATACACTTTTAAGATAAATATAAATAAAAGATACATTAAATTCTTCTTTAAAATAAGGACTGAGAAAAAAGAAAGCAAAATCTTGCTGTAGATTTATAAATAGATAGATAGATAGATAGATTTATTTCATGGCATTTATCATCAAATGTTAATGCTGTTCTTTGCTATGGATATTACAAGATTTTCCTGATCACTATGCCACTGAATGCATCTATTGTTTGCTTATAACTATTATTTTTTATACACAATTAAATTCTTACCTATCGTTACGTTACAGCTCTCACAAAAACATGGCACAAATCTATGTTAGTAGTTGATTTATGGCTTCCTAAAGACAATGAAGCCTCGCATGGGCTCATTACCAACGCTTATGGGAGCATCCCACGGGTGGCAGATGTGGTGATGGTTGGTAGAAATTCCTTCGAAGTTCCTACCTGCGTGAGTGAGTGAGTGAGTCCGATGGATTCACTGACCAACTATGAGAGGGGCCCTCCAGACTTGCTGGAGAGTGCGACGTAGGATTGAATGCTCTACTCAAATATCTTTAGTTCATTATACACCACAAATAGTCATGGATCTCCCTAAGGTAAAACGCTCATTATCCAGAGGTAAACTAGTCCCCCGTTCGGGTCTCCGGGTGAGGTCTGCTTCAGGAGATTCATGGAATCTACTAAATTTACAAGGCTGTATAGAATTGCTAGTCTTATGTTATATTTATCAAGTATTCACATTGTGTTGTTTGAAATGAAACATAAATGATAAATTTTTATTTGTTAAGTGAAAATTTGGCCTTGTTTTTTAATTTTAATATTTATAATTTTAAATAAATATAATTATTGAATTTATTTTTTATTTACAGTCTTGTAAATCAGTGTATGACAGGATAATTGATCTGAAAATCGCCACTCCTCAAATTATTATTAACTATGGTCTTTTTCTAGAAGAACACAATTATTTTGAAGAAGCTTTTAGGGTAATAATACTTTTTGATATTTTTTCTCTGTAGTTTTTGTATTCCATTAATTAAATTTAAAAAATATTAATAATATATATTAAATTTAAAGGTGTTTAATAACACTCTTGATACGAATCATCTTACAATACCTAAGAAAAAAAGATCATAAGTAATTTTTTTAATTTTGACACAGCTTTATTCGATTAAGATGAAGTGAAAGAGAGGCTTGTTACTTGAGATTCTACATGCTGCAACGATGTGGATCTGGATGAATAATAGCAGCCTTTACAGAGTTGAAGCAATATTTTCACCTGGAGATAGTCAATTATTTAAATAGTGGTACAACTCATGCAGATTTGTAAATGACAAAAGCCACTTCACAATCTCTTAGATGCTTATTGGGCCATTCTTACATTATTTGACCATTTAGCAATTCGGGTTTAAAAAAATATCAACTTTTTGAAGAAAAATTTATCTTAAATATTTGTATCGATGTCCTCAATAATAAACTTGAGCTTCGATTGTCAGTTTTCTTAATATCATTTTTATAATATTAAAAAAAAATTCACCTAAAATAAGCACATGTGAATATCAGTTTTCTTTTTTTAATATTGAAAATGTGATTTTGCCTAGGGTGTTACTGCTCAAATAAAAGGCTTTATGGATTCTTAGTAGTCAACTTTGAGCTAAAAAAATCATTCTGAAAGTTATAAATTTCTAAAATAGATAAATATAATTTTGAATAATACAACTTACTGCTTAATACATTGTAGTTGATTTCAATATTATTATTCTTTATATTCTTTTAGGAAGTTCTCACGGTAACATTTGTAAAATCTACAATAGATTTATTGAAAACGAACCTTAATTATGCAAGTTTTTTTTTTAAAAGTATAAAGTTTTCTTGAAAATTACTGAGCAAATAGTTACTTCATAGATATTTCAAGAGAAATAAATAGCTTGAAATAACAAAAGTTAGTTCCATAGGATAAATTAACAAATAATTCTTCCAATTTAAATAAACAAATTTTATTAGCATATTGGAGAGATATAATTGCTATGAATACAATAAAGATAAAAGTAAACTATAAATATGTCATCAATATCTTCAAGAAAAACAATTAAAATCCTCCCCCTGTTTTCTAAATGCTTATATGAAAGAAAATGACCAATTTGTAGTAGGAACAATTAAAATAAAAGATATTAAATTTATATGAATAACAGTAACATTCGTTACATTTTCATAAAATCGGTTACTAATGTAACCAAATTTCGGACAAATATGGAACCTTAACCGTAAATAAATGCCCCCAAACTACTTATTTTGCAATTATCATTCATAATGTTAAGTAAAATAATGGTAAAGTTCGTTATCCATAGTTTTTGTGACATAGCATACTTTTGAAGAAAAAAATTTTATTTTCCAGCTAGCTCTTTTATGCCTCATGATTACACATAGACTGATAGTTGGTACCACAGACAGATGCTTTTAAACCCTTTTCCATCATATTAAATGAATAGTGTTATAAGAAAAACTTGTAACATTTGTTACAAATTTTTAAGATAAACCTATTTTTCTTCTTAACAATCAAAGTATTTTGAGATAACTATAAAAGGTACCTAGAATTAGAAATAACATCTGATAACAGTTGTTTATTAACATTTAAAAATTAATCGATACAGATTGATTCATATCAAAGGATGAAGAGCTTCGCATCCTACCCTTGGGGACAGTAACATTCGTTGCATTTTTCTCCATTCACATTAAGATATTTTTTCTTCTAGTTGAGGTAAATTTATTTTAATGTCACCATTCCATTCTTTAGAATCAATACAAAAAATTAATACCATTAACTTATTTTTTCAACCTGGAAAATATGTGAAAAACAATTGTAAAGCCCGAGGATATCAAATGGTCAAATAACATAAGAATGACCCTATTACAAATCCATAACATGAAGAAGGATTATATACATTTTCAAATTACTTTTTTGTGATTATTTCAAGTGATGCGATACTTTTAGCCAGCATTTTATAATAATGTTTAAAAAAAAAAAAACTCAGTCCATTATTATTATTATTTATGCTATTGGTGAATAATGTATCAACATAGAAGTTCTAATTTGTTTTTGGTCCCAATCTCACAGTGTTGGAAATTGTAGAAAAACATTCTATTCCATGTTCAAAAAAATTTAATTGATGACGTGGATGAATTGAAAGTACATTTATGGGCAGCATTTTTACCACCTTGCCTTTGTGTTCTGTAACAATAACTTAAACAGACCATTTAGAAACCATTAGGTGAACAAATCTTTTCCCCATCCACTTGCCATGGATCCACCAAACTATGAATGGGAAATTGAATTGTAGTACAGATCAATGAGTTTGTTTTTTTAAAAATATATAAATATGTTTACTCAACAAAAAAATTTATAATATTCAGCTACTGCCCGTGGTCATGATGAGCATTACCCTCTTTAACATTCATGAGTCTTGCGGTACCAGATCAAACCCAGCCTCAGCGGTTAAAATTTATTTCATGGTGGCCCCATGAAATGAATCTCTACCTCCCCACTCTGGTTGAAATAGGTTTAATTTCATCTCTAGAACAACCTGCCCCTTCCTTCCCTCCCATGTCAGAAATTGTGGAGTAGAAGATAAAGAAAAAGAAAACTACTGCAGTGGAAATGGATTATCCATTTTGCTTTTAGATCACTTAAGTGTGTAAGGCACTCATTTCGGGTTTTTTAAACTAATATCTATGGTTTGAACTTTATACCATATGGAACACCAAATTTTCCTAAGTGTCATTTCTGTTCATTGATATGAACATATAATGTGATTACATGGGTAATACAATTTTGTTTAGATGGATCAATTTTCTAAATCGTCATTAAAGAAATTTCAATTGTGGAGATCATAGCTGAAGCTTTTAGCTATCTATGAAGAATCATCATTCAATTGCTTTATAGATTATTGGTTATTTATGAAAATTGGAGAGGAATATAGGCTAATGGAAATATTATTTTACCAATATATTTATTCTATTTAAGGTTTGGACAGTTGCTGGTTTCAGCATCGAAGCTTCAGGTTCAGCAAGCCTTCTAATGTTATTATTATTATATTCTGCTATGATATATTTTCTAGCTATATTAAACATCGATTGTAACTGAATTTTATTTTTTTATAAACTCGATATTGAACATACATGTATATGAATTGTCTCCTATCAATTAAAAATGTTATAAATTATTATTGTACATAAATGAATATTCTTTTCTAGACTTATGAAAAAGGAATTGCTTTGTTCAAATGGCCTAATGTTTTTGATGTATGGAATACTTATTTAACTAAATTTTTGAAGCGTTATGGTGGAGGTAAACTTGAGAGGACAAGAGATCTTTTTGAACAATGTTTGGAAAATTGTCCTCCTAAGTATGCTAAAGGTAGGAACATAAACCATGTTAAATAATTTTTTAGATATTTATGTTTCAAAAATTTTACAAAATACTATTTTTAGAAACACCAGTTTTGAGTTATCTTCACTGTAAAAATACAGTTTGTTTAATACTTAACATAATTTCATCCAAGAGATCCTCCCTGTTTCTAGAATTTTTCTGGATGTACCACACTCTCTCTTATTTTTTTGCTTCTCACTTACCGACATTGAGTCTACACTCTGCATGTTAGTCCAGAATCAGGGTTGATAAACTGTTCCGAGTCAATAGCAGTTAGGTGTTTATAATTCATTACTGTAATTTTTTGTATGCATTCCATAGTTCATAAATAGTGTCATTTATATAGAACTCTCAATAGACCTGTTCTAACTTAACGGCTCGGAGTCCTGAAGTTCAGAGGAAAGGACCCTTCTTATTTTTTAATGGAAAATCCTTCTCCGTATATTATATGGTTGTGAAGTAGGGTAACAATTAGAATAGGAGAATGACTGCTGAAGTTTAAGGGGTCTGTGATTGGGCAGACTACATTATGCTGGCCACACAAATGCCAATAGAGGAGATCCCTGGGATGTTTCTGAATGGGAGACAGTATGCGATTAGAGGAAGAAGCAGGCCTCGATTAAGATAGGAGAATGGAGTAGCAAGAGGAGTCCAGGACCTACAGGGCACTCACAACTGGCGAGAGGCTGCTCAGGATAGATTGATTTTGGAGAAGACTTATTGATGCCACAGACTGAAGCGAACACTTCAGTGCGAGAGAAGATAGAATAAAAGTATGTTCTTGGTTCAGTTTATGTTGTAGAAGTTTTAATTCCAGCCACTAATAGTACTACTATATTTGAAGGGCCCTCGCTATTACATGTTCACACATTAACAAGAGCTATACACAAATCCACCAGATTCATTTTTAAATAACAATGTTTGGTTAGTGACATATGATTTCCTGAATTCTCTAGTTAGCTCAACCATATTTTTATTCTTCCAAATTTGGATATCCCTAAAATCATCGCCCTTTTCACTATTAATGATAAATTTTGTTGTTGTTTTTTCTTGACTTGATTCTTCACCAGCATCCAATCACTGTATTTAATTTAATAGTAACCATTGTTTCACCCAACATGATCAAATCATTAGTGAGCTAGAATGCTTTCAATACATTTCTTGGCATGTTTTAGCGTTTGACCTAGACCATTCAATGACAAAATAAAAACTTATTTATTTATAGTTTAATATTAAAAAAATGAATTAAATGTATAGCTTGTTAAAATTGTTATAGGTTTTTATCTCTTATACGCTAAATTAGAGGAAGAACATGGATTAGCAAGGCATGCTATGGCTGTTTATGAAAGGGCTACTTCTGCTGTTTTGCCGGAAGAAATGTTTGAGGCATGTCTAATTTAGTCAACATTATAATTTGGATATTTGTGTATTTAATAATTGAATTTATTGCTGTTAGAATCTGATTAAGGAATTTCATTTCATCTCTGAACTTATAGGTTTTCAATATTTATATCAAGAAGGCTGCTGAAATTTATGGTGTTCCCAAAACTCGTCAAATTTATGAAAAAGCTATTGAAGTGTTAGGAGAAGATAATTCAAGAGAAATGTGTCTTAGGTTTGCTGAAATGGAAACAAAATTAGGAGAAATTGATCGAGCCAGAGCAATTTATGCACATTGCAGCCAAATGTGTGATCCTCGAGTAAGAATAACTTTTTTTTTCTCTTATAACTTGATGTTCTGCTCATGAAAAAAAAAAAATGTTTCTTTTCTCCACAGGTTACTGGTTCTTTTTGGCAAACATGGAAAGATTTTGAAGTGCGCCATGGCAATGAAGATACTATGAGAGAAATGCTAAGAATTAAAAGAAGTGTACAAGCTACATACAACACTCAGGTATTGTAAAATATTCTAATATTTATGCAGCTGATCAATTGTTTTTAGTATTTAAGGTATTTAGATTCCTTTATGTATTAAATTATATATATATATATATATATATATATATATATATATATATATATATATATATATATATATATATATACACACACATACATACACTGACAGGCAAAAAATTCCACCCACTTGATTTTTTCATGTTTTCATCTAAAAATATTTCTGCTTTGGATTGGTCTATTGTTTTTAATGAATAAATAGGTAATCTTTTTGTTTGTTTTCTATAAGGAATGTTAATATAAAGGACAATAACCCTTAATCCTTAATTCAATAAAATGATTCTAGATTCCAATGTTTACTTTCTATGGAATCAAAATGTTTATTCAGTATCATTAGTTCAGTGCTGTTTCTTGCAGCACATTTCTTAGTCTCCGGATTTTAATTTTTTCAATATTAAGTTTAAAAATGCCTCTTAGTCCTGAGGATGTTGCGAGTGGTTTGTCACTTACTGATGATGAACGTTCCATTAGATATGCAGCTAATGCCATATGAAACTTTACGAGACGCCATCAGGCGTTTTCGGAAAACTGGTTCCTACAATAGAAGGCCCGGTTCTGGACGGCCTAGGGTAACAGAACCACGGGATGACCGGTTTTTGACTTTGAGAATTTTACGAAACCGGCACCTTACCGTTGTTCAAGCGATTAATCAGCTCGAAGAAGTTCGAGGTGTGCAAATTTCTGAACGTACCGCTCGTAGAAGATTAAATGAGTATGGATTAATGGCTTTTTTTCCAGTAAGAGGACCAGAGTTGACCAGAACTCACAGAGTAACACGGCTGGCTTTTGCTCGAGAACACAGCCATTGGACTATGGACGAATGGAGTGCTGTACTTTTTACAGATGAGTCAAGATTCGCTCTTCGATCTCCAGACAGGCGTGAAAGGGTGTGGAGAAGAAGAAACGAAAGATATGCAGCCTATAATTTTTCCCAGAGCCAATCTTTCCAACTTGGTTCCTTAATGGTGTGGGCTGGGATTTCAATGGAGTGCGCGCACAGAATCGGTTGTTGTTTGTGGAGGGTCTTTGACGGCCATTCGCTATGTAGATGAGATTTTGGAACCTAATGTGTTGCCTATCCTCAATGAAATCGGCGATCGTTCTATTCTAATGCACGCCCACATGTCGCCTGCATAGTGCAGACGTTCCTTCAACAGAACAATTTGAGGTTTTAGCCTGGCCAGCACGTTCTCCAGATTTGAACCTCATTGAGCATTTATGGGATAACCTCGGAAGACGAATAAGATCTCGTGCAACTCTTCCTGATACACTGCATGACCTTGAAAGGGCTCTTCGGGAGGAATGGGCTATCCTCCAGCAAAGGGACATTTCCCGACTGGTGGAAAGTATGCCGAGGAGTCTTCAAGAAGTACTGAAGGCAACAGGAGGAAACAAGCGCTACTAAACGATGATGTAATTAATTTCTTTTAGAATAATAATGGTTCGTTTTGGAATCTTGGAATCTAGAATCATTTTATTGAATTAAGGATTAAGGGTTATTGTCCTCTATATTAACATTCCTAATTGAAAACAAACAAAAAGATTACCTATTTATTCATTAAAAACAATAGACCAATCCAAAGCAGAAATATTTTTAGATGAAAACATGAAAAAATCAAGTGGGTGGAATTTTTCGCCTGTCAGTGTATATATATATATATATATATATATATATATATTAATTGAATGGAGCATGAAAGTGAATCAAATAAATGGTCACCTTCATACTCCATCCCTTAAAAGTATACTATTATAAAATTACAATAATTTAACATGAAACAAAATTATAAGTAATAATAAGTTAAATATTAGAATAAAAAATACAACAAAGATATTTTTGATGTAAAAGAAGAAAAAAAAATTATTTAAATTAAATACTAAAAATCAATATATCACAAATCCTGCAAGAAATTCGGCTAAATGCATCCCAGTGTACTAATTCGTATAAATATTTCATCAGCAGTTGAAAAAAATTGTGCAAACAGGATATGCAATTGCATACAAATCCGGACTCTGGTTATAGATTCTTTCTATACTTATGGGACATGGGTGACAGATAATCAAAGGTATGTGATTGGATTATCTGCTAAAAGGTATACAACTATTTTTCGATTAAATGGCTGGATCAATTTTTTAGTTTTATGGCTCAAAATATTCATTGAGATCCCGCGAGTGTTTTCAAACAATGTAACTTCAACACTGACCTGTGATTGCACCTGTGACCTGAACATTGAATAAAACGTGTCTAATTAATTCTTCACAGATATCAGGAAAGAAAGGATAGGATATAAAGCGAGAAATACACAAATGCAAGGGAAAGATGACAAATTGACGCCATCAAAAGAAAAGACCCTAAGCATCTGGAAGGAACACTTCCAGCAGCTGTTTAATCAAGGGCACCCCACAAACGAACAAGACATGGACCACACTGAGGATATCGACCCGCTTGATGTTGAAAAACCAGATATTCTGGATGTGGAAATAGCTATTGGCAGACTTAAAAGAAGAAAGGCTCCAAGGATAGACAATCTACCATCAGAATTGTTCAAGGATGGGGGAGAAGACCTCAGAGCCAAGCTGTTAGATTTAATCCAGAAGATATGGGAAAAGGAACAGAAACCAGAAGCATGGAACACAGGGTTGATCTGTCCTATCCTTAAGAAGGGCTCCATGTATGAATGTGGCAATTACAGAGGCTTATAAAATAATGACTAATATTCTGCTAAATCGGGTATACCCGTATTATGAAAATATAATACGTGACCATCAAACAGGATTCAGGAGAGGGAGGAGTACGCTAGATCAGATATTCATCTTATAACAAGTACTTGAAAAATGATGGGAAGTAGATCAGGACAGACATTATTTGTCGACTTCAAAGCAGCCTGTGACTTCGTGGACAGAAACTGTCTCTGGAAGATCATGACTGAGTTTGGTGTTTGCGGGAAGTTAGTGAGGTTGACGAAGGCGTGTACAAATAATCCTAAATGCAGAGTACTAATACAAGGAGAAGTATCTGAAGCCTTTGAAGTTCCAACGGGTTTGAGGCAGGGAGATGGACTCTCGCCGATGCTGTTCAACTTAGCACTAGAGAGAGTAATAAGAACAACATCATGCGAAGATGGAGGGGTTGCACGTTGGAATGAAACACAAAATTTTAGCGTATGCGGATGATATAGCTGTCCTGGGAAGTAATCAAGAGGATATTGAGAGACTCGCTTGGACTCTGTTACTCTGACAAAATACATGATAGTTAGCCGAAACATCCATCCTAATAACTTGATCTGCTTGAACTCTAAGTCATTCCCGAAAGTAGACAGATTCAAATACCTCGGCTACACAATAACCTCAATAAATGACCAACTAACAGAGAGAGACCAGCGAATAACAAGTGCGAACAGATCTTTCTTCTCTCTTTCAAGGGTACTGAAATCCAGAAATCTAAATATAAGGGTGTACACTCCGTAATTAAGCCAGTTCTGCTGTATGTTTGTGAAACCAAAGATCTACAAGGTCTGCAGAGCCAACCGAAAAAAAAAAAGTATATATATATGTTATACAATGTCCCGTCTTAAATAATAATAATACTAGTGGTAGATCATTTTAATATTTGGTGGAACAACTTAAAACAAATAAAAAGGTTATTAATGAAAATAAAATTTAGAATTTTGTTTAAAAAAAAATTTTGTTGAATAAAAATACTGAACTTTTTTTAATAATTTAAAAAATGTAGTGTTAATCTTATATAGGTTCTTTATTTCTTGAATTCTACTGCAACTCAAATTTATACGATTTTTTTATTCCATGCAAGTATCCAATTGATGATAGGCAAAAAAATAAGGCCCTGTGGCAAGATAGAATTTCTTTTGAATTTTTAAACAATCTAGCTGATGAATTTGTTTCTCTCCTAAAGAATATTTATTTTGGTATTGCAGTCATTGATAACACACAAATACAAATTTTAAATGAAGAGAAGAATAGTTGGGGTGTTCAGTCAAAAAAGGAAGGCAAAAATAAATTATAATATTTATTTTTTACAAATAAATATTATAATTTATTTTTGCCTTCCTTTTTTGACTGAACACCCCAACTATTCTTCTCTTCATTATCCACGACAGTCAACCAATTACCAATTAAAAATTTTAAATGATTTTTTTTCTGGTTGTTCTCGATGACTACAACACCCAACCAACTTCCCAATTATATTGTCTACAGTCAGCGATTTCTTCACCACCTGAAGGGTATATTTAATTAGATGTTTAATAAAGAAGAAGAACGTGCTTAGGCAAAGTATTACTTTTCCAATGTACAAGATGTGAGACCCCAAAAAAGTTGAGAATTGCAGGAAAATATCTAGACTCAACACAGTCATTAAACTTTTCTTTGTTGTAATGGAGAAAATAAAAAGATGTGTGATGAAAATCAATAAATATTATATAGGAAACTCAAGCGGGATTTAGGAAAGTGTATTCGCTCACACATATCAAATCTGTCCGATTGTCTCTCCCATTCGCTCTACAAATCCTAGTCTGCTTATTAGATCTCCTATAAAATTGAAATTTTATACTGTAACCAACCGTAAATTTTATAAAGTGAATTATTTAATTCGATAATGTGTTGTTAGTCGACTGTGTAAATCAAAGCAGATGTTTGAGTGATGAATCGAAAGATATCTAATAGTGGAATTATTTATTAAACTCTGACATTTTGAACCTCTTTACAGATCTTCTTTAAGACTAAAAAGAAAGATACAAAGGTGAAACTATAATAGTCTTATAAAAATTTCATTTATAATAACTAACATAAATATGAATTTAAAGAAACCTTGTAATAATGAAGGTTAAAGATGAAAAACAATAGTATATGATGTAATAATTTAAAACCGAAATGAATTCCGTATACTGATAAAACTGTATACTAAGTAATAACTGAGAAAATATTGAAAAACCGTGATTCATAATAAAAGTAGTAATAGTTAAAACATTTATACTGTACATATTGATTCTTAAAACTCACAAAATCATATTGTTAATTGTTTATGTATAGGTTAATATGATGTCAGCACAGATGTTATCTGCTGCAAGTAATGTTTCTGGGACAATTGCTGATCTTGCTCCTGGTGCTAAAGATGGAATGCGCATGTTAGAAGCCAAAGCAGCTGAAATGACTGGTAAAAAAAAAAAAAATTGATTTTTTATGTTTATTCATTAGAAATAATGTAAAGAAAAACTAATATTGTTTTTATTAGTAGGTTAGAATAGCATTTTTTCTTTTCTATTTTGGTCTTATAGTTTTTTATTAAATGTTAAAAACATTCTTTAGGTACTTAGTGTAATTTCTTGTTTTTGGAAGGTATCAGTTCACTGTTTTTTTCTGATAACTTTTATTTACTATTTTTGGTGACTCATTATTATTATTATAATCAGTTTTCTTTGTCATCTTTTCCCAAAGGTGAACTAATTCTAAGTATTTTGTTTCTGCGAACTTCCATGGCTTTTGAGGAGTATTTTTCTTTCCTTATTTCTTTTTATCTATATTGAATTATTGTGAAATAAATAATTATTTATCTTTATACCAGGAATAGATTTTTTTTTTAAGCAAATGCACATAATATGCTTTATGATTAAATACTCCAATAATAGCCCAGCCAAATTATGATTCAACCTCAGAATGAAAGATATTGAACTGAAAATTTTTACAAACCTTATTTTCACTTTCTAATTGTTGGTTAAAAAGTCTGGTGTTGGTAATTCAAGTTATGAATGGTCCTATAGATATCTAAGTACTTTCAAATTTCTCTATGTATATGGAGTTCTGAAACTGGAGTTATTTGGTTTAAATAGACGAATGGAGTATGAGGTTTTCTAATTAGAATAAAATAGTGAAAGTATTTTTTTGTTCTCCTCTTCCTTGCCTGTTTAGGCTATACAGAGTTTTCCGGAACACGAATTCGTACTTATTTTATCGTCTAAACTTCGGTTATCAGGTTGTTGGACAACGCTTGGTGCTGTGCATACATGTTAGCCTGTTCGGCAAACCTGCCTTCTAGTAAATGCAATTTTTTTTTTTCTTCCCTACCTCGCCTATTAGGCTATACAGGATTTTCCTGAAAAGGGGGGTGAGGACGGATAATTCAAAATTTCCTCTGTCATCGGGACACGAACTCGTATTTTTTAATCTTTCAAATCTTTAATCTGGTTGTTGGGCAACTCGGGGTGCTGTGCACATGCGTTAGCCCATTCGGCCACCCGGCCTCCTAAATAGTGAATACATACATTTATCAGCAGACTAAAAAATAATTAAAAAGTGCCCTCTAAAAAACCTAAAATGTAAAACAGGTTTAGTTGTACTTCTAGAACAATCCTCCACTCGCTTCCTTGTATATCAAAAAATGGCAAAGTAGAGGTAAACTGAAAAAAAAGTTGTAAGACTTCATAGTTTTTAAAACAATTGAATTTATGTTTCTTCCTCTTCCTCCCACTATACTTTTGATCTTTAAGAATCGCTTAATCTATTCATTTCATGTCTTAATTTTTATCCTAAAATTTTAATGTTTTTATTTTTAGTAACTACGAAATCTGGTTCATCAGCAATAATGTTTGTAAGAGGTGAAGCCCAGAACACATCCCAGGAAGTGCAGAAGGAAATAATTAATCCTGAAGCTTTAAATGTTGATTCAGATGATGAAGAAGAAAACCTGGAGGATGATGGTATATTTGTTTATTATCAGTTCTTTATTGTTATGTAACCATACACACGTCAGAGCCATTATACTTTCTAAATATACTAGCTGACCCTCTTATTGGTTTCGCTCACATATTTGTTTAACTTGGAATGTACATCTCTATATCATACATCTTTGAACATTTCATGACAATAATTTGACAGTTTCTTTAAAAAGCTAAATGATCTGGTTATGGGAACAAAATCTTCAGTTATATCCAGTAGTCATTTCCTAAACAAAATATTAACAGGACAAATAAAAAAATAGAAGAAAAACCTATAAACACCTAACTACCAAAAATAATTGTGAACAACTTTTAGATTATAATATAAGATTTTAGACCAAGAAATAGCAAATAGCAGTGACAGAATTTTGAATTATTGTTACAATCATTCCTAGCACCAAATAATTGATACAGCTTGAAGTTTTGTTGGAAAGGAATTGTGCTAACTGAAGATTTCTGAAAAATATAAAAAATTATATACACCGTATTCTAAAAAGTAATTTTTATTGTTGGTGTTATTAATAATTTCTGAGTTAAATGTTTAAATAAAATAGAAAATAACTTTAATACTGATAAAATAATGGATAATAAAAAGGGTTAATATTAATTAGGTTGGTGACATATGTCTTGGGAAAAGGTAAAATAAAAAATCAAACACTAATTTGATGAAGATTGTCTAATTATGCATGGAAAAAGAAAACCATTAAATTAAAAATTTAAGTAATTCTATCAAATATAATCTTGACTGCTTCTGAGTCTTAAAGAATGAAACAATGATTGCTCAAAAATAAAATAAAAAGATATTATCTTTAAAAAATATTTTATAGAAACAGAAATTAATAGACCCGAAAATAATGTAAGAGACATATAAAAAGCTATAAAAAAATTTTATAAATGTTTGAAACCCATAATAACTGTAATCAGGGATGAAAATGACACAATATTTTAAATACAGTTTATAATGATCTGTGTTCTTCCGATTACCGGAGTGCCAAACTGTTAATAGAAGAAATAAGTTAATAGTTGTAATAGCCATCAGGGAAATTAAAATATTAAAAGGCAGTGGGAACCGATAATATTTCTAGTGAACTAGTTTAAGCATTCGGAGAAACTATAGTCTCTAAAATACTTTGATTACTTAAAAAGATTTGGAAGAACTAGAAATTGCTTAAAGAACTGAATGGATCTATTTTTATTCAGGTTTCAGAAAGAGTTCGAAGGCAGGTTGCAGTAACTATCAGGGAATCTCACTTTTTCTGGTATTTTATAAAATATTCACATTTATCCTTACTAGTAGAATCATGGCTTACCAGAAACTACTAATGTTGTTTTAGATGAAACCATTTAACTACTGATCAAATATTTTACTTATGCCAAATATCAAAGAAAAAAATGGAGTACAATGGTTTTGTACATCAGCTTTATATTAGTTTCAAAAACACTTATGATCCCATTGACTGTCAGAAGTTGTATAATATTCTAATTATGTATAGGATTCAGTAGAGTAATTTAGATAAATACCGAAAATAAATGTTATGAGCACTAAATGGTTAATAGTGATATAAATAATTAATTTATATATTGTGAGTTATCACTATTATAATCAATTTTTCTTTTCTTTTATAGATCTGCCTGTTGAAAAGCAGATTATTCCTGACGAAGTGTTTTGTGGCCTGAAGAAAGGAAGTGATTCTGATTAAATTTATTAAGAATTAGTTTTAGAAACAAAAAAATATATATATTTATGTATATACATATAAATTTTTAGTTTTTATTTTCTCTCCTTATCTTCTTCGATGACTCTTTTAGAAAGAAGATGCTTATATCTATGTATCAGTCATACTTCATGAAAAACCCATTTGCATGACATTGTTTTAGTTAGAATATAAAATCTATTAGTCTCCTCAATGAATGATTACAGAAGGAACACAATTTTTACTTTCACTTATCTATATATGAAATATATAGTAAGGGAAAGTATTGTGATAGTAAATTTCATATTTTTAAATGCAGGTAATCTAACCTAACCATAACATATCATTCAGGATAAGCATTCTTTCCCAAGGTCAATAAAACTACCTTAGCATTACAGTAGTTTTATTGACCTTGGTCCTTTCCTCACCCTGGAAGCCTGTGATCATTATCGAAATCATTACCATATATTTACTGTAGTTTAATACCTCCAGATCTGATATTATATTTAAATATTTAGGTATCTATCGTTCGTTTATTCCCAAAAAAAATCATGTAACCTTTTTGAAAATTAAATTAGTGAATAGTTTGATGAAATTTCCTTTTGTGATATTCCAACAGTATCTGCTTACAATTAGTGTGACAACTTTTGACCTGTCTATGGATAATCAATGCAAATCTCTTAATTCCGTTTTAGTAAACTTTGCAATGGAAGATAACAGTTTAATAACTAATAGTCATACAATCCATAACCAACCAATAATATGATAAATAAGACTTTTGTTATTTTAATGGTATTTTAGATTTGTTGGCTGTAATCTTTTAGCTTTAACTCTGTTAAAAATGGAATTAAAAAATTTTATAATAGCCTAACATGGCCAGAAAATAATTTCTATTCAAAGTTGAGCGGTAAGAGAAAATTGTGTGTTGTGCTCACCAGATTTTTAAAACTTTACCGTATGATCAATGAAACGTTCACAGGCTGGATCGAAGTCAGGGCCATAGTTTGGAGACTCCTGCATTAAATAAAAAAAAAAAAATTTCCGCTTTCAGATCTTGAAATGTACTCGATTTTTGACTAGAGGGATGTTGTTCACGGATGAACAGGGCCTTTTAGTGAATAGTTCAGTCATTTGGTAATTTGCACAGCAAGAAATTGCTGAAGATTTTTTCATGACGGAGCTATATGTTATTTTGGATGCTGAATGTGAAAATCCAGTTATCAAAGATTTGGATATGGCTTCACCACAAAAATGGCAAAAAAAAACATAAAATTCCAGTAGTTGTTTTAGTTTTCGGTACAACTCCAAAACGATGCATCCACATTGTTACTGGATGGTTTTAGATAATTATTTACCTTTCTACATGAAATGAATATTTTAACGTATAATAACTTATTAATTTATTACTATTAATAAATTTAAAAAGTGAGAGAAAGGTTCACTTGCTATTTTTTTATTCTCCTCAAGCAATTGTAATGTAATTTAACAAGTTGATGTTATAAGTAAGATTTTTTTTTCATAAATACAAAATACCACAATATTTTTTACTGTTCCAAATAAATATAAAATAATAGAACTATTTAAAAAAAAAAAAAAAGAGATGGATATATAGTTGACTGTTGAAAAATGAAATTGCAGTAAAAAAATTAAATTGGTTGAATTTGCCAAACTTTATGAACTTATTTTTTATAAAATTAATATATTACTCAATAACCTTAATTTTTAACTGCACATTCTGAACATTTTTCATCCTTATTAAAAAAAAATATATAAATATTTTTAATCCAAAATTGAAGAAGCATCTTCTTTCTACGATTTATTGTAGATATGACATTTTTATGTCATGAATGATCCTACTTTGTGATTTTTTTTCGATATATTTGTTTTGGTTGTAATCGCTGTAATATTCTCAGGATATTATAAATTGTATTTATACAAACACACATTTGTAATTTGAAAATGTCTGCCAAGGCCAGTATAGCTTCCTTACCGTTTTCATTGGCTGAATAATATCTATAATTTGTCGTAAGTCCAGATAGGTCTTGTTATAGTAATATATATTTGAGTCTTTTGTAAATAATTGGAAGGTTAGAGCGTTTGTCTAGAAAGTGCTACAGTAGTCGAAAAGTCGGGCGATTTCTACTCGTTTCAGTCTGGTATGGGGGTTCCAAGTAAGTCATTTGCCAGATGGAGTTCTAGACATTGGATTTGTTCAACAGGGATAAGTGGGGTATTGTTAAAGGATGTAAGTGACTTTTAAATAAAGAATTTTAAAATAATCTTAATATCAATTTCAGATCTAGCAGGTGATTTTCATAATATTTTATTCCAGATGGCTATTCTTATTTATTTATTTATCTACTTAAAATTCTCTTTAATCCAACGTCAACAAGCCCCAAGGGTATTCTCTTCAATAAATTAAGTAAGAGAATAAAAAAAGATACAATTATATTTAAATAAGCCTTCAGTGATAGGTTCGAAAGAGCAATATGTAAGTTCCACGGTCTAGTCATTACTTCACGATTCAAGTCCCTTCCCCTCCCTCCTCTGCCCATTTCTGAGTGAGCGAACCATGTAGTTTTATAGACCTTGACTGTAACCAAGGTCTATAAAACTATCAAATCGCTCACTCAGAAATTGGTAGTGGGAGAACTTGAATCGTGACGTAATGATTTGACCTTTAATTTTGTTCGTAGATCTCGCAAATATTTCTTTTAATATTATATATATAATTTTTTTTTGGTTTAATGCATCGCAACCCTAATGGATCTATTGTGTGCCATTATGCAGTCCGTTTTATTCTTAAAACGTTAATTTGCTCGCTTCCACGTATCTTAATAAGCTTGTTGGATTGACAAATTCATAGCTACTGGAATGATCCATTCGTTCCTCCCCAAATAGCTCCAGTCTGAGTCTTGCAAATCTATCATATCGACAAACGATGTGAAAGGCTGTTTCATTCTCGTTCTGATAGAAGCTGCATAGCGGGTTCGTAGTCACTCAGAGATTGAAAATGTGATAATTTAACTTACAATGGCCAGTGTAGATCGCTGTAAGCTTTTTTTAGAGCTGCTTTGTCCAGACTCAGTAGCAGCTTACTTCTTTTATCATATGGACCTTTAAGGAACAGCTTTGAATGTCATTGTTTCTTCTCATTCCAATGTTTAAATTTTTCACCATGTCTCCCTAATCCTTCTTCTGGCAGTGCTAAGACTGATTCCACAAATAGGTTCAGGAGTTATGGGAATAGTGTCTGAGCCTAAGCTTTCTAGTCTGCCTCTTCGTTGCCTAGAATGACCGAATGATCAGGCACCCACTCTATTAAGCTCAGTCAGATTGTTAAGTACTATACAGCATTCTTTAACAACCTTTGGGTATACATAATAATTATTTAGGGAATCTATTGCTGCCTGACTGTCAGTATAGATTATAATCTTTTCCCCAGTCCCTTTGCTGCGCAGTAGGTTTTAAGCACAATGGAAAATTGCTAGTATCTCGGATTGAAATACCGAAGCGTGTTTGTCAAGAGGTATTGAGTCTTTTTCTTCATTATCTTTTCGATATATGCCTGCTCCTGATCCATAGGCTGTTAGAGAGCTATCTATATAACAATTTATACCATTTTTTGGTTTATGTTGTCTGCTGATGTCAATCTCGACCTCATATTTGCAGTCCAGATACTCACAGTTTAGTGTATGTCACATCTAATCCTATTCTGCAGTTTTGTATGCCCCCCTTGACAAGGGATATAGGAGCAGCTCTTTAGCTTACTCAGCCTGTATAATACATTTGTTGCCAGAGCCTCAACCTCCAACTGCAATGGTGGCAAGTTCAACATCATCTCCATAGCAGCAGTCAGTGTGGAGCCCATTGCTCCCGTTATCATTAGACAGGTTAGTTGAAATAATCTAATAAGGTTGAATTAACTACATTTCGTGCCACTGAAGCAAAGCTGAGTATAATATAATGGCTCTGACTGTCATTATATACAGCCAGTATACCATTTTAGGTTTGAGTCCCCAATTTGTTCCTATTGCTCTTTTGCAGACCCATATGCATTTGAGGGCTTTACTTGTCACATACTGAATGTGTTTGGTCGATGACAATTTATGGTCCAGTATGTCTCCAAGGTGTTTTACTTCCTTGCTATGTGTCAGTGATATCATTAATTTCTGGCATTTTAATAAACACCTTTTTCTTTTAAGTGAAGATGCACACGCTGACTTTCTTAGGATTGATACTCAGCCCATTAGTGCTGCACCAATTCCTCAGAATGTCAGTTACTGTTTTGAGGAGACCAGAAAGAACTCTCTGATGCTTCTCTACTATTAGGATAGTAATGTGTTCTGCATATCCTTGTGTATATACACCTACAGTGTAAAAACAAAAGCACTATAGTAAAGGGGAGAGCGGGCTCCTACAATATTATATACCTAGTTCTGCCATAAATACTGTTACAAAAGTTGAATTTTGTTTACATCCTTGGGTATTATTTAGATAATCCTTAACTCTTATCAGATTATTTTCTTTACATGTCAGGATAATAATCCCAACTAGTTTGCATTTTTCTTTCGCTCAGTTAACATGAAGTGGGGTGATAAAGAAAACTGAATAGCTGTGATCGCCTTACACAAAGTTTTAAAATGTGAGTCAGGGATTTTCAACACTTTTAAACCTTTGGGTATCAGTCGTATGTTCGTGTACCACACTATAAATAAATATAATGAGAACCTGTCTGTATGTGACAGACTTCGACCGGGTTGTCCCAGCACTGCGAGAACGGCAAAGGCAATGAGTGGCAATCAGAAAACAACAAATCATGTCTCAGGAAATGGGAATCTCTGTCAGATCAATGTCTCACATAATAATAAAAAATGACCTTAGGATGGATGCATTTCGAAGAATGACAGGACAAAGGCTAACCACTTCCCTAAAAAAAATAGAGTGGATAGATGCAAAGTGCTCCTTGGCCGTTACAGCAATGGTCTGTATCGAAAGATTTTGTTAAGAGGTGAGAAAATATTTACAGTTAAAGAAAAAATTAATCACCAAAACCTATTAGAACGATATTTTGTTGATAAGCCTTGAAAAGATACTCTGTATGCTGGAAGTCACTGGGTTTTCCAGCAGGATTAGGCTCCAGCTCACAAGGCCAGGTCAACTTAGCAGTGACTGCAAAAGAACATTCTAGAGTTCATCTCTGCCTCGGATTGGCCCTCAGGAAACCCTGATCTCAACCCACTAGATTATCGGCTTTGGTCCATACTGGAGATGATGGCATGCCACACTCTAACTTGGAAAGCCTCAAACAATCTCTGGTCTGAGCAGTTGAGCGCTTTCCTTAAGAAGTGCTGCATAATGCTATTACTATTTAACGGAAATTAAATGCCTGTGTCAAGGCAAAAGGGGAACATTTTGAGTAATTTTTTTTTTTTTTTTTTTTTTTTTTTTTTTTTTTTTTTTTTTTTTTTTTTTTACTTACAGATATACATTACCTTAATTTTCTAATAAAGTTTTTGAAAAAATTAATTTTTGTTTTGAAATCTGTATATATTTACTCGTAACAATATTTACGACAGAACTAGGTACATAAATATATCGTTGGTTTATTGTAAAAAGTCACTAAGTGCATTTTTGTTATCGGCTAACTTTCAAATTGTTTTTGTGAATTTCGATCATGTTTATATATATTCGAACGTGATGGAAAGTACACAAAAATGATACACATCCTTTTATTTATCATACACAGTTACACTAAGTGCACAATTTTCTCATTTCACAGCGGGAAAATTCATCAAAGTTCTTAATTATTTGAGGTTATGAAATGTCAGTTAAAGACTTTTTGCAATAATGCGACGATACAAAGTTTTCTTAAATGCTATCGTTTGTGTTAACTAATATTTAATTGTTTTAGATTACAGTAATATAAAAATTAAACTTTGTATAGGGAACATAAGTGTACCTTGAACCACACCACAGATGTGGTCCCAAATAAAAAAATGGCAGAATGTTTATGTTTTATGATAAAAAATATCTTAAAGTATTACTTTTTGTGTAATTACATTTAATAGGACTTCAAAAATCACTTAAACACCATTTTATATAGGTAGTTAGTATCTTTTTTTTTCCCCCAAAATAATTATCGTTATATACATGAAAAAAATAAGCTTTCGGGCTGAAGCCCCTCCCAAAATTAAATCCTGGATCCCCTAGTGGACCACCCACCCATAAAAGAAACCAATTTTTTGTTTTTAATAACAAAAATTAGATCACTTAATCGATTAATGTATAGTACTATCTCTAGCTTCTTTTGAAGGCAAGTTCTAAGCAAAATACTTTAGGACTGTAAAAAATTAAATTAAAAAAATAAAGTCATATCATTGTACCTTGGGCTGGCCCAAGCTACTTAAATATAATTTCAAAATATATCTCTTTTGAGAAAAAATCCTTGGTTCATGGTTTTTATTGAAGAAGTTTATAAAATATTATTTATTGACTGCAAGCATAATATAATATGGGCTTCCAACAGATCATATGAAAATGTTAGCTTACCAGTGTAAATAAGTGATAATAATTATATTTTCTATTACAAAAAATATTTCCTAAGATATAAGTACTTGACTAAAGTACAATATAGGGTGACCCAAGGTACTACAGAAATTGTACCTTAGGTCATTTATTATTGTTAAAAATGATTTTTTTTCTTAGTAATAATCTGGTGATAAATTAATGTAAAAATTAACATTAAAAGTATCTTCAAAGCATGAAATATAAAATTCTATTTTGAACTTTTAAAAATCATTATTTTAGAAGTTGTGGAGCGTTGAAAAAAAGTGAACCTATGGACACGTATTTCCCCTATATACTGGTACTTAAACAAATAAAAATCTCAAAATGAAACATAAATAAATATAGCGGCCTTCTTTATCAGTGGTACTCTTGTTGGACTAAAAATATTTTGGCACTTAATTGTTTATTATTGTATTTTTTTTAAGGGTTTTTCTTCATAAATTGAAGTTTCCCTCAGTCGGTTCTTTCACTTCTCTCTGTCTAACACTTCCTCCTCCATCAGCCCTCGGTCCTACTCTCAGCCACATCTCTTTAACAGACACGAGATCTTCCTCTTCTTCTCCTACACACTGTTTTCGGAAGTCATTCGCTATTCATCCATTTCATATGCCCATGCCACTGTAATCTTCTTTCTTCTATCATATTATAGTTTACTTCCATCCTTTCTCTAATGGTATCATTCCTGATTCTTTGCCTCCTTGAGACTCCAGCCGATCTCCAAAAATCCATCTTCACAGCTAAAAATCTTTTGCTCTGTGATTTCTTGAGTAGCCACGTTTCCAAACTATAAAGCATTACACTCTCCACCGGGGCCTTATATACTAATTTCTTATAACAAATATATTATATATATTTATTGTTATAAATATTTTCACTCCAGAGAATTGAATTGAGCATACGAATTGCTTTCCACCCGTTTGTCAATGTTTTTTCAATATCCTTCCTAGCTCTTCGATTGCTTTCAAGTTTTGAGCCAAGGTAGCAAAATTGGTGTACCCTACAAAGCTCTTGTCAAAACTGGGTCACTCAACTCATTGTTCTCATTATATATATTTTGTTATATAATAATTAATATTCTGGTTCCATTGTTCATACTGTTTGGTTTTCTGAACATATAACCGATATCAAAACCCATCCTGTGATATTATCACCTGACATAAATGTCTGTCATTCATTGGAATGCCCATTTTACCACATTTTTGTGTCCATTCCTCAAGCAATTATCTATATATGTTTTAAATAAAGTAATGGACATGCAGCATCCGTAAAGGAAGCCTTTACTATTTCTAAACTCTTCTGATATGAAGGAGCCAATTTTTACTTTGCACTTATTCTCTCAATATATTTTCTTTACCGAATCCACTAAATTAGCTCTTTCAAGAGCTTTCCAAAGTAATTTCCATGTGACACTATTGTAGACTTGCTCGAGATCTATAAAGATCATACCTAGTCTCTTTGATTTTTCAGCTTGCTTTTCTAAAATCTGTCTGAGAATAAATATATGATCAATGCAAGACCTCCCTACAGTAATGCCGCACTGTTCTTCGGACTGAGATTATCAGATTTATCACACTTATTCCTCTATAGTTACCCCTTTCCTTTCTGTCTCCTTTCTTGAATATTGTGGTGATAAATCCTACCCTCATATTTGTGGGTATAGGGTCCCCCATTAGAAATTCTTTATTATAATCAAATAAATAATTGAAATATAAGGAAATAGCTAGTGTCAAACAAAATAAATATAATACATTAAACGGCTATGAAAAACAAATGGTAATTAATTGTTTTAAATAATGTTTCATACCGTCTATAATTTTTACTTTCACTTCTCTTTGTCTGAAAATACTGATTTCTACTAACAAGGGCGTGGCAAGGGAAAGTTGTGTGGTGCACGCACCAAATCAGATTTTTTTTTAATAGTAGAAAATGTTATTTACGGTGTGAATGTAATGTTTTGAGGCATATGTGACTATAATGACATGGTTGCGAATTTTTAAATGATTTCATTTTATACACTTCATTACCTACCAAGATCTGATCTTGTGAAAACTAAAACAAGTGAGTGATAAATTAATAAAAATACAATTACAATTCTAGTAGAAAAAAATATATTGATAAAACAGAGCACAAAATTAACTAATTGTTTTTAACAAATTAGAGACTCAATGTACGCTGGTCCAAATATTATCTTAGGGGGCATCTACCTTCAGATAGTAGCCTTAAATGAGGTAAAAAAAATGTCAGTTTCTTTGCAAAACAAAGATACAGCAATGTGATTGATAAAACAATTAATGAAATTAATGTTGTACCATCTACTATTTTTATTTTCACTTCTCTATCTATGAAAATATCTATTTTTATTCAAAGAAGGGTAGTAAGCAAAAGTTAAGAGAAAGTGTGCATAGTAACAGATTATTTTTAGTAAAAACAGTAATAAAATTCTTTTAATGATGATTCATAGCATTTTAAGGTAAATACCAATTAAATTATTTCAAATAATAAATTATATGACAGGTAAGATTTGGTATGATTAAAATATACAAAATTTTAAAATATAACACATTATCATTTAAGAAAAATATCTATAAGTATATACAACATTCCATAAATATGAATCCATACATAAATATATATTGTTAATGCTATACAATTCACAGTTTATTTTATACAGATTAAATTGTTTCCTGTACATGGATTTTCTATTTATTTCAAAAATCAAATATATCGATACTTTAATGCTATTCTTCAGTCACTATAAATCTTCACAAAAGTAAAAATTAAATTTTTCTTCAGACCTGAGTTAATAATTTGACAAGGAAACCCTGAAACAAAACATGGATTTCTAAGTAAAAATTATCTTTCACTTCTTTAAAGGAATGAATTATAAGTATATATATATATACATATACATATATATATATATATATATATATATATATATATATATATATATATATATACATATATATTGTAATATACATGTTTATCGGAAGTGGGTAAAAATGATTTAATAAATTAATGTTGAACAATTAAAAGGCAAGCTAATCTAGTCCTACTAGTGCAGGGAAAAGAAAATGGCTACTCTGTAATTCCCCAAGAAGGAAAATTCCAAGGAGGAGATGGAACAAAGGTTTTTGTTTTGGCCAACAGTTGTGTGGCTGTAGTGAAGAGAGGATAGGAGAAGTAATCCTGGCTTCAGTAGGAAAACCCCAATAATAGTGTTACCAATTTGGAAAACTTGTTTGGCAGAACTTAAGAAAATGTGTGAAGACAAATGAATTCAGTGCCACAAAGGAAAAAACAGTGTATTTAGAAAAAAGGTTAGCTTGCCAATCCATATTTGACTTCATTTTAAAATCAGTGTTTAATTTTAGTATAAATAGTGTAAATAATAATAGTTTGTCTGAGTTGATTTGATTGTCAGTAACCCACACCTCAGATAAATAAATATATTAATTTTCTTATAATTTTGTTTATCATTAAACAACCTCTTATTTCTTTTGGAAGTATCCTAAGGGTATAAAGTGATCTTCTGAGGTTATATTATTATTATTATTTGTCAAATATAAGTGGGATGTTACATATGTTTATATATATATATATATATATATATATATGTATATATATATTTAATGATTTGAATTTATTGATTATTAACATTCAAAAAATTAGTTAAGAGTTAGAAATATCGGAGAGAAGTAAGGAACCGCCACTCCCTCGCCTCAGCCCATTCTAGATGGATGCAAAGTCGTCTGTCAGTTCCAGGGAGCACTTCTGTAAACATCTGTACAGTCACATTAGAAAAGATATCCCGGATGAAGATCACCCTTAGTTGATGGAGCAGCCTATGTTTGGAACTACCATAAAGACGGTCCAACTGAACAGTATTTTATACATATGTTTATATAATAGATTATATAAACATAAATTCTATTTTATTTTGTTCATAAATACTTTATTTATTGAATATAATAATAAGTGTATCAATGTTGTTTCTTCGATCCTTAGCATTCACAGTACATAAACCAATTAAGCCCTCCGCATCCAGTAAATTTATAACAAAATATATATAAATAAAATCACTGTGTGCCCTGGAAGTAGGGGGAAATAGTTAAAGGGGTGATAGAACACCTTAATACCTTCCAGGATAATATTGGAACAACTTTATGGTACCAGACAGGTTGGAAGTCCGAGGCTCCATTGGAAAGACTGTATGGCTCCTGATGCGAGATCCCTGCTTGGGGTAAGAAGATAGACCAATAGCACAAAATAGACTTAACTGGCGATCTATGATAAGAGCAGGCTATGGCTCAACAAATGGGTCACAATGCCGAACAGGTGATTGTAAAGTTTTAATTTATTTATTTTTTATGATCTGGTATGTATCATTATAAACATATTGCAAAAAAGAGGTAAAAATAATGATTTTTCGAATACTTATCATCTAAAGTTATAATGTAACTATGTTTTTTATTATGGTCTCTATTACAGAAATGGACCCATATTTATAAGTGATCAACCAGTTTTTCTAATTCTAATATTTGTTTTTATGAAAAGAATTCAAGCGATTAGCTCCCTTTTTTCAAACATAAATATTAAGATTCGATAAGAATATTTGGACCTATAAATACAGATCAATTTCTATAACAGAAAATTCAATAAAAAACACAGTCTTATTGTCACTTTAGATGTTAAATATTCGATAAATAATATTATTTTTTTTAGAAATAAAAAGTGAGTTTATCCATTTATTACATTTATTATTATACATTCCAGAATATTGAAGAAAAAAAAATAGATTAAAGCTTTGCAATAATCTATCATAGGAAATTTTGAAAACATTGGTTACTTTTAGGTTGCAGGAAGTAATATGACACCATTTTTTTTTTTTTTTTACACAACTTGAGGTGTTCTCAACTTTTTTTGCAAATAATCCTCAATTTAATTAATATTCACTTAAAGCTTATTAATTGAGGAAGTTTTTCTAAAAGTAAAGGTTACATTAAATAAGCAATATTTTAGACTTTAAATAGATTACCAACTCCTAACTATATGCCTAACTGTAGGGAACTTCGCTATATTACCTGTGTTATCGACAAAAATAAATACAACTTGACTAAAAAAATCAACTATTTAACTTTGCTCTGCAATCAGAATAATAAACACTAATCCAGGAGGTACAATATACAATAGATTAAGACAACACCTTTCCAATGGAGCTGATATAGTACTGTCAGCACAAACAATGCTGGCCCTGTCTAATGCTTTTCAGGAGTTAGAAATCACAGAGAAACAAATATAACTAGAAGGAAATGATGGAAAAAGTATTGCTATGAGGTCTGGGAGAAATGTACTTTCTATCAAGGAACAAAAAGTAATAAGTTCAATGATGTAATAAATGATGGGCCAGACTCCTGAACTGAGCACCTCCCTCCCTTCTCAATCCCTGTATTTTGCATATCGTTGTCCACTTTAACGAAGTTTGTTTGGGAGGGAGGATGGGGTGCATTTTATGTCATTTTTAGAACTTCTAGAATATAATTATGTGAGTTCTGGAAACATTTAACACAGATATTTTTTATTATTATTATTTTTAAAGGGAGACTGTCTCTTTATATCAAATGGGGCTTGTATTTAAATTGAGTTGAATAAAATTAATTTAAGTTTGAGAAGTGCCTTTTGGCATTTTTGCACTTTTTAACGAGTTTTGTTGCTTTGCGGACTTCTATGGCCTCTCCAAATTAATTTTTAGAGTTAAAAATTTGTAAATTGAATAGGTTTGAGAACTGTTTCTTCTAAGCTCTCAACTTTTTCTTTCACCCAGACGATTCATTAAACCAAATAATAAAATGTTCAAAAACAAAGCGTGAGAAATATATTCTATTTAAATCCTCAAGTAAGTATTAATCCATCATCTTTTTTGAAAACAAAAACAAATTTGTCTAACAAAAAAAGTTTGACCAATGAAAATGGTGAGGAACTGACCTTACTTGGTACCCCTAAGTTGCGTCAGTTGGAAGAGGGTTTTATTTGTATTTGGGATGATTTTGCCGAGATACAGAGAAAAATGATTTCAACAAATCGCTGTTATTATGGACTTCGCTCACACCTTTATAGCAGACTTATATCGTAGTGCACCAAGGTCATCCTCTACAAAACCCTCATTTGCCCTGTTTTGACTTACGATTCTGAGAACTGGACCACTGCAAGGGCAGATGAAAAAGACCTGCTGCTTACATTTGAAAGGAAAATCGTTCACCGAATATATGAGCTCACCTGTGAGAATGGACAATGAAGAAGGCGTAGAAATAGAAAAACCTATACTCTCTATAATGAGCCTGATGTAGTTGTAATTATAAAGACAGGGAGAATAAGGTGGGCAGAACACCTCACACGGATGCCAGAGCAGTCAATCCAGAAGAAAATACTAACAGGACAACTATTCAGCAGGCGTAGAGTTGGGAGACCCACTCAGCGGAGATCGGACTGTGTCACAGGTGATTTAAGGTCCATCGGAGTAGGAAATTGGATGGCAGCAGCACAGAATAGAGACACATGGTGGTTGTCATTGAAGGAAGCCAAAACTTGATAGCAAGTTGTTGACCTAGATTAATAGTAATAAATAATTCATGAAAAAATGAAATACATACCAGCAGGTATTGTAATAGTCTGACCAGGTGCTATTTTAACTTTCATATTATCATTATAAACAAATGTGCCTTTTCCTTCAGCAACACTGAAAATCTATAACAATCATCAAATAAGATTAAATTTCTAAATATAATTTTCAAAAATCAACTTTGTTAATCAACTGACACTAAAAGGTAAAATTTAAGAGATGAGGAAAAGGAATTTTAAAAAAAGATCAATAAATTGGTGAATAAACAGTACATATACATATACATCTAATGTTGCAATATAATATAATAATACAGTTATGCTATAATATAATGATACAATTTATAAATATATATCATCTAAAAATAAAATGGGATTCAACTAGATTTCAAGAACTATTTAAAAGAACTTTTTATTATTGCGTATGGCGTTTCACTGACGTTTTTAGAGGAGCATAATCGAACTATAGGTCTAGTTCACAGGTAACCTTCTTAACTGAAAAAGGTTCCTGGATTCTCTCAAGCAATGATTAGGACAAACACAAGGAGATCTGTTGATGAATACCGACAGAGAAGAAAAGAAGAGAAACATTTACATCGCAAAAAGAAACGACAGAAGGTGAGAGGGGAGATAGAAAATATAGAGCTGTTACACTGTAACAAAGAAAGTAGAGATTTCTTCAGATCAGTCAACAAGGACAGAAAGCAATAAATTAAAATCCAGTAGAGATAAAGAAGGTAATCCGATGACCAACATGTCAGATGTTCTTGTCGAATGGAGGAATTATTTCAATAATCTTCTCAACTCAAGTGAAGAAGTAATAAATCAAGAAGAAGAAATCAACAGAATACAGATGGGAGAACAAGAGATAAATCTTGAACCGCCTTATGAAGATGAGGTTGCAGATAACATAAAAAAAAAACTCAAAAATAATAAGGCTCTTGGTGCTGACGCACTCCCTGCTAAACTTTTAAAATGGGGTAGAAACGAGCTTACCAAAGCTATACAGGATCTCCTTGCTATATGGACTGATGAGATGGTGCCCTCTGACTGGCATAGGTCAATTATCTTTCCTATACTTAAAAACGGTGATAGGTTGCTATGCAGCAATGATCGAGGTATCTCGCAGCTGTCTTGCGCCTATAAGATACTATCTCATATCAGTGCCAGAGTAGGTTTAGGAAAGGAAGATCCACCTCTAACCAGATGTTCTGTGTGTGAACCATTCTTGAAAGAGGCCATGAGTATAAAACCAAAACTCATCATCTGTTCATTGATTTCAGGGCAGTGTATGACAGTGACGATTTCAATAAGCGAAGAACTGTATGGTGATCTCAGAGAATTTAACGTACCTGAGAAACTTATATGTCTGATAAAGCTTACCATGAAGGATGTGAGATGTATGGTTGGAGTGAATGGTGACAGATCAGAAGAATTTTGTGCGAATTAGGGGCTTCGACAAGAGGATGCAATGGCCTGTATGTTGTTTAACCTAGCACTTGAGAAAGCCGTGAGACGCTGGTTTACGCGAACAACAAGAAAACATTTTCACTAGACTTGTTGAACTGTTGGCCTATGCAGATAATATAGAAATTGTGGGACGCTCCCTGCAGGCCGTGACTGATGCTTTTCAGACGGGTCAGCAGATTTGGACTGAAAGTTGATAAGTCCAAATCTAAATATATGGTAACAGGCAGTCACTACTAAGCCTCATAAATTTGAGAAGGTTTCGGAGTTCACTAATCTAGGATCTGTAGTCATTCAGGATAATAACCTCGATATTGAGATAAGAAGAAGGATCATAGCGGACAACAAGTGCTACTTTGGACCGAGCAAGCAGCTAAGCAGGCAGATACTTTCCGGACAGACCAAGCTCCACCTCTACAAGACATTGGTGCATCCCGTACTTCTTATGGAAAGGAGTGGAGGACAACTTTGAAGGCCACTGAAAAGGAACTCCTTATTTTTGAAAGAAAAGTTTTCTGCCTTGTTTTGGGGGGAGTGAAAGTTGGAGAGGAGTGGAAGCGGCGCACGAACCAGGAGCTGTACAATGCTTTCGAAGAAGCAGACGTTGTGAAAGCACTGAAGTTGAGGCGTTTAATTGACACCATACTTGACAGCATCGACACCATGACTCGCAGGAGTGTAAAGGCTATTATTGGACTCCCTGCGAACACGTCCATGGCGATGTTATACACTCCAACCTTTTTTCTATATATACTGTTTTTTCTTTTGTTGAACTAAATTCATTTGTCTTCTAACATTTTCCTATGTTCTGCCAAACATATCTTCTAAAATGGTGACACTTTCTTCTACTCAACTTAAGCTCCCTGGGAGATTCTCTCTCTTGGAATTTCAAACTATTCTCCCTGCTAAACAAGAACTTAAAAAAAAAACTATTACTGGGTTTTATCCACTCTCTTCACTGCAGCCACACAACTGCTGGCCAAAACAAATCCTCTGTCCTTCCCCTCTTAGGGATTTTCAGTTTTGGGGAAACTACAAGGCAGTTATTTTATTTTTCCTGAACTAGTAGAACTAGATTAGCTTGCCTTTTAACTGTTGAACATTAATTTATTAAACCCTTTTTATCCACCTCCAATAAAGGTGTACATTACATTCCTCCCCACTTCCGGGAAAAAAAAAAAAATATTTTAAGTAAAATAATTTTTGTTTTTCTTTTTACATTAAATTTAGGTGAATACTGAAACATCTGCACATTATCTATTCAATACTAACAAATTTTTTTTTTTTAAGATTCCTTCTGAGTTACATCTTAAATATTTTTTTTTTATTAACTTTTATATTTTTCTTACAGATCCTTTTCTTAAAGATCTATTCACATGAGATATTGACACATAAAACAAATTAAAGTAACATATGAATACTAAAATTAAATTGAGGACCATACCTTAATTTTATACTAATTTACGTAATATATAACTACGTCAACGGAAGACACGCTAACTTAAAAATCCCTTTTATATCCTCTGGAATAGGATAAAGACTAGAGCGTCTCGCTGTAACATAAGCGACCTGCCCTAACATGACTGGTAATCAATCAATCAAACTCAAAATTATACTTAGTGAGTCCTTGGAATGATTCTTCATTTAATTTTGTTCTTTCCTTACTCCAGTCATCAAACTTTCTTAATTCATCTTTGAATCGTAGAAATTTCATTCCTGGAATTAAACGAATTTCCATGCTTTTCTTCTCTGCTGGATTTACACCTTTGAACTCATTTTGAAACTTGAGAAGTTCTTTCTTGGCATCTATAGGATTGACTGTATGAGTTTCTACCGGAACTTCAGCTGTCACTAATTTTACTTCAAGGGTTTCTTTACGTTTTCTTAAGATATTTTCTGATCCAATATCAATTAAAGAATTGATTTTGCTAAGCTCTTCAGTTATATTTGCAATAATTTCGGTTTCTAGGTTGTCACAATCTTGTTTCAAAAATTCCTATTAATTATTAGATTTTAATATTTAGTTTAATTTATCCATATTTTTCTCTAAATTATGAAGCATAGCCGTTATTTGTTGAAACATACTATTAGTATCAGTACAATTCAAATTGTTGCTACTACTTAAATTTATTTTTTTACCCTCCACATTATTTTCACTAAATTCAATAATTACATTTAATGTCGACAGACTTTCATGTCCCGTGCAACTACTGTTAGAGTTTTCACATTGTCTATTTTCATCAAGTATGCTTTGTACAACTGACTGCCTTATTTTCTACAATAACAACATCCCCATTAGATTTCTCAAGAATTATATTATTAAGATCTCTACCTTCCATTATCTCTCTCTGGTTCTATTAGGTTATATGGTTATTACTAAAAAATTATTAATAAAAAACTATACAATTAAAACAAATTGTTTATTTGAGTTGTAATATGATTGTAGTGACCTGATTTTTAAAGAATAAGGTCACGCATAGTTGAGGGGGAAAATGTAACATCTCTCTTATATTTTACAAATAATAATAATGTAACCTCGGAAGCTCACTTCTTACCGTTGGGATACTACCTAAATAAATAAGAGGTTATTTATCTCAGGTATGATACTGATAATCAGATCAAAACACTCAGACAAACTATCATTATTTATACTGAACACTGTTTGATTTTAAATTAAAGTCAATTATGGATTGACAAGCTAACCTTTTTTCTATATATACTGTTTCTTCCTTTGTTGCACTAAATTAATTTGTCTTCTAACATTTTCCTATGTTCTGCCAAACACATCTTCCAAAATGGTGACACTTTCTTCTAATCAACTTAAGCTCCCTGGGAGATTCTCTCTCTTGTAATTCCAAACAACTATTCTCCCTTCCAAACAAGAACTTTTAAGATCGTAAAACTATTACTAGGTTTTACCCAGTGGAGCCAGGATCCCTTCTCCTATCCTCGCTTCACTGCAGCCACACAACTGCTGACCAAAACAAATCCTTTGTCCTTCCCCTGGCTTATAAAGATTATAAACGTATCTATGAAATAGTAGCGGATACTGTTGGAATATCACAAAGGGAAGATTCATCAAATTATTCACTAATTTAATTTTCTAAAAAGTTGCATGACAATATTTCGGAATAAACAGACGTTGATACCTAATTATTTAAATATAATATTAGATCTAGAATTATTAAACTATAGTAAATGTATTTAAGGTTATAAACATATGCTTTATATATCCATGAAATGATTTTATATTTTACTTCTTCTTTCACACAAGTACTATGAAATAGTTTCTTAAACAATGTCATTGCCTTGATTAGGTGGATTTTAAATACTTTTTTCAAATTTAAAAATATTTTAAAAGTTTACATTTAGTTAGTAAATTTCATTTAATTTCCTAGAAAACATGGGATTTACGTTAAATATTATTAGTTTTCAAAAATTATTATTTATAATTTTTTGCCACTCTCCTTTACCTTTTACAACTTTCTATATTAGATATTGTTTTTTCTAAAAATCTCCACCTTCCAACGATATATTATACATATACCTTCTGACTAGTCTTTCCGGAGATGCATTTTCGACCTGGATAAGCGTTTTTATTTTTGCTCCTTTATTCAATAATCAAATTCTTTCAAAAGTTATATTTAGCATTGTTTCGCAACTCTTAATAATGAGAGATAGTTAATTATTTAAAATAAACCATATTAAAGGTACTTAAGAGGAAGAGGCATATAAACATTGGATATTTAAGCCCTGTAAAGTGACATCAACAGGGATAAGACCTAAATGATTTTAAAGACCACTTAATTATACAATGATATGTAAATAACCTAATAAAGTTTAAATGTAAATAACTTGTTTTGGCGAGAATTGGCGAATAGCCTTCTGCTTTTATATCGGGGAACTAGATTATTTACACTCCTGATTATTAAAACAAAACCCCGGCACTGGATATCGACTTTTTGAGGGTGTTTAACTGTTGTTGGGGATTCGGGAATCTAATACCTTTTGTGACAAGAAACAATAAGAACATATATATATATATATATATATATATATATATATATATATATATATATATATATATATATATATATATATATATATATATAATGTGGGACTGAGTAAATACACTTTGAACGAATTGACTCGCCTTGTTTATTATTCTTCAATTGTGAGGCCTATAGGACAACTAAATAAAAGGACTATTCACTCTTGTCTAACAAAACAATTTATTTTAACAACTGATACTAAATGAATATATTAAAGTCTTGTAACTATAGGTTTGATATTCTTGGTCTTAAATGTCCTGCCTCTCTTATCTCAGACAACCTCCTCTCGTTATCGTGTCCAGACCTCAAGTGCTCTTCTCAGCTTCCTTCTGCCAGCTGTTGCTAGCTACCTGCTCTGACCTTTTTCCAGCATTCTTCTTTATCGATTGTTTATCGATATGAGACTTTTCCATGAATAATTTGTCCACTGCATAATTGAGTACAATTCATCGTGCAACCTCACATTCCTATATATTCCTTCTCATTCCCTCACCTAATGTCATATAAAGGAGTAAATATTGGGGGCTATCTACTACAGATACACCGAGTTTAATCAAAATCGTTAGGAGTCGTTTTTGAGAAAATTGTAAAAATGTGTTTCACCACCGTTAATATAAAGTGGCACTTTCGGTTAGCCGATTTTAAGGAAAAAGTTGCTGTCACATCTAAGGCATATACTTATTTTAAATACCTAATATCAGTTTCGTACGACTTTTCGTTTTTGAGTTAGACTGCTAACATACATACGGACACACAGACCTTGGTTATTTGGACTAAGGGTACCCCAATTAAGTCAGATCTGAAAAGTCAGATTAAATAATTTTCACGATCGCAATACTTACTCCTACTATCTATTACATATATATGTAAGTGAAAGTAAAAATTATCAACCCGAAATAAGTAAGCTTAAAGTAACATAATAAAACACTAATTGTGAATAGTTAAGATTTTGGCTTACCTGAGATCTATCAGAATTTAGAAGTAATGAACATTTTGCTTCAATTTTTACAAAACCATTGGAGATGTTAAGCATATGAAAATTTTGTTTAACAAATACCCCATTCTGACCATTCACTTGAATCCATTCATTATCACTTACTTCTTCTTGGCTATAGAATACTGTGAACAAATGCATATAAATATTAATAATCTGAACCAGACACATACACAATAATATTATGGAAAATGTTCTTTAAAACTTCCTTAAAATTCTGTTACTAAACCAAGTTACAAAAATTTAATGCCAATATGAATTAAATTTAAAATATTCAGAAAGTATAATATGAGACCGTGTGAGATACTATGTTTGGACATTGGGAGAGCGTGTTAAGGCTCTTCTAAACGCTTTATCGCTCTGGATAAAACATATAGAAGAGCCACTCTGAAGTCAGAAGTGACACCAGTCTGAATCCGACCTTCTCACTTTGGTTAGAATAGTTTGTTAACTTGAAAGAAAACCCATCCTTTCTATACTAGCTTATCTATAGAACAAGACAAGAAGAAGATTGGGATTACTATCGTGCCACTTCTAATATTTATAAAAGAGTTCTAAGAAGGCACAAACGGGAGGGTTGGAAATTTTTTTGCAGTAATGTGGAAAAAACGTGTGAAACCTCTCGGTTAATAAAGATCATAGATAATAACAACCACCTATCATTAGGAGCTTTAAAGAAACCGGACAACATGTGGACCATTTACTGGAGACCCACTTTTTGGGTAGTAAGGTAATAAATAAAGGCAATGCCCCTATGGACATGGACCCAAATGAAGAAGCACTTATTAAAGAGAAAGAGATGACATGGGCTGAGACAGTCGTCACCAAAGGGTCTATCAAATGGACTTTGGGAGAGCTCAAACCATAGGAGGCCCCTGGTACGAATGGTATACTCCCTTGCATGCTTAAAGAGGGTCTTAAGTACTACTTCCTTAAATCAAAGCATTCCTCGGATCTTCACTTGCATTTGGATATATACCAGAGTCCTGGAGGAAATCAGTAATAGCCATTATTCTTAAGAACTGCAAGGAGGATTATAGTGTTGCTAAAGCCTATCGACCTATAAGTCTAACCTCTTTTATATTTAAGATAGTGGAGAAGTCTGTGAAAATATGAACTTGTGGCAGTTCACTTAACTAGTAAAGTGCAGTCTTGTCACCCATTACACACAAACCAACATGCTTATCTCCACGGAAAATCTACAGCCCTACACTTTCTAATAGGGAAAATGGAAAATGCCCTGTACTTTAAGTGGTCTGTGTTAGGACTCTTTTTTGATGTAGAAGGGGCATTTGATATGACTGAAGAAGCAGTTTGTGAGACTTAGTAAACATATCTGCCCCAACTGGACTTATCAGTTTGGTAAGATTCGTTCTAAAAATAAGAATTATTGTTGTTTCAGAAGAAGCAGTCAGATTGCAGGCACAGGCGGTGACGGGGTGCCCCCAGGAGAGCTATATCTCACTAATGTTGTGGTGCCTGGTAATGAATGACCTATTAAATAGACTGGAGGAAGCTGGGATCCATGCCCAGGCATACGTGGATGATGGCGCGATCGTCATCACAGGAAAGACCATAAATACAATTTTTGAATGAATGCAAGTCACATGCAACATTGTTCAGATATGGTGTACTAATATGAACTTATCAGTTAACCCATTAAAGACTGAATAGAATATAGAATAGAATATATATTTATTTGTTTTGGGGACTGGCCCCATACAAATACAAATGGAGTGTATACACACATTGTGATGAATAGAATATAACATCAGCAAATTAATTTATTACACTTGAATCAAATTATTCTTTTTATAGATTTTTTTTAATATTAAATATAGATTATCTTTTTTAATATATATAATTTTTTAACTATACAAAACACATTAATCAGCAATGAATATTACCCATCAAATAATATAATATAAGACAACACAGTACAACAATTTATAACATAACGTAACGTAATATAATATAACACAATATTATATTGTGACACAATATTATAAAGACAGGCAAAAAATTCCACCCACTTGTAAAAAAAGTTGTATTTGTACATAATACAGGGTATTTATAGATAATACTTAGTAGTTATGGAATTTTATAATTGTTTTTACCTTTAATAATCAAAATGTGATTGGGTAAGAAATATTAGAGAAAAAAAAATTGAAAAACGAACCATTATTATTCTAAAAGAAATTAATTATATCATCGTTTAGTAGCGCGTGTTTCCTCCTCTTGCCTTCACTACTTCTTGAAGACGCCTCGACATACTTTCCACCAGTCGGGAAATGTCCCTTTGTTGGAGGATAGCCCATTCCTCCCGAACAGCCCTTTCAAGGTCCTGCAGTGTATCAGGAAGTGTTGCACGCACTCTTTGTCTTCTGAGGTTATCCCATAAATGCTCAATGGGGTTCAAATCTGGAGAACGTGCTGGTCAGGCTAAAACCTCAATATTGTTCTGTTGAAGGAACGTCTGTACTATGCGGGCGACATGTGGGCGTGCATTATCGTGTATTAGAATAGAACGATCGCCGATTTCGTTGAGGATAGGCAACACATGAGGTTCCAAAATCTCATCTTCATAGCGAATGGCCGTCAAAGACCCTCTACGAACAACAACCAATTCTGAAGGGCGCTCCATTGAAATCCCAGCCCACACCATTAAGGAACCACGTTGGAAAGGTTGGCTTTAGGAAAAATTACAGGCTGCATATCTTTCGTTTCTTCTTCTCCACACCCTTTCACGCCCGTCTGGAGATCGAAGAGCGAATCTTGACTCATCTGTAAAAAGTACAGCACTCCATTCGTCCATAGTCCAATGGCTGTGTTCTGGAGCAAAAGCCAGCCGTGTTACTCTGTGAGTTCTGGTCAACTCTGGTCCTCTTACTGGACGAAAAGCCAGTAATCCATACTCATTTAATCTTCCCCAAGTGGTACGTTCAGAAATTTGCACACCTCGAACTTCTTCGAGGTGATGAATCGCTTGAACAACGGTAAGGTTCTGGTTTCGTAAAATTACCAAAGTCAAAAACTGGTCATCGCGTGGTTCTGTTACCCTAGGCCGTCCAGAACCGGGCCTTCTATTGTAAGAACCAGTTTCCCGAAAAAGCCTGACGGCGTCTCGTAAAGTTTCATATGGAACTCAGATGGCATTAGCTGCATATCTAATGGAACGTCCATCATCAATAAATGCCACACCATGGGCAACCTCCTCAGCACTAAGAGGCATTTTTAAACTTAATATTGAAAAAATTAGAAGCCGGAGACTAAGAAATGTGCTGCAAGAAACAGCACTGAACTAATGATACTGAATAAACATTTTGATTCCATAGAAAGTAAACATTGGAATCTAGAATCATTTCATTGAATTAAGGATTAAGGGTTATTGTCCTCTATATTAACATTTCTAATTGAAAACACACAAAAAGATTACCTATTTATTCATTAAAAACAATAGACCAATCCAAAGCAGAAATATTTTTAGATGAAAACATGAAAAAATCAAGTGGGTGGAATTTTTTGCCTGTATTATATATTTTTTGTATTATATATTTTTTGCCTGTATTATATATTTTTTATATTTTTTGCCTGTATTATATATTTTTGGGTGTATTATAACTTCACAACAACAACAGCATACTGTATCATAGCATTCAATGAAGCACTAATAATACACCAACCATACCACATGACACAACAGGGTACCACTATTACAGCATATCACTACTACAATGCAAATCTAAATAATTTACAAACAAATAATATATATAAGAGAAAAAATATTGATAAATTAAAATTTTAAGTATCTATTCATTTTGGACAAATGCTCTTAAATTGAGACCATAAATAGTATAATAATATATACTGGATATCTGCTCTCTAGTTATTGTTTTTATACAAGCTGCTGTGGCTTAGCCTGGATAAATGAAAAAGAAAGAAAATAGAAAGCACACATGAGTAGATTAATAGCAAAGGACATCTGTCATTTTTAAAAAGTATGGAAACAAATTTGTCTGTAAAATGGCTTCAATTTAAACTAATTCGAATGATTTTTATTCTCATGATTCAAATTGGACATTCATAATCACCTGAGTGAATACGCCGTCATTCATAATCATCAGAAACAGTCTGAGTTTCTTTTGAACTTATAAAACTAAAATAAAAAATTAATGTAAAGAACGTATAATAGTATTGACCTACATAAGGAGAATCATATAACTTCTTCAAATGATAATTTCAATTACTATAGTAATTATAAAATTTTTGATTAATCAATAAATAAAAAATAAAAATACTTGCCTACCTTCGGTAGTGAGCAAGCAAAAGGAAATGGCCTTTTCTAAAGAGAAGGCAGTAAATGTTTAAAACTCTTTAACTCTGTAACGAACCGTCCAATTTCGATGATTTTTTTTTTTTTATTTTGTCAGCAATTTAGAAATCTTTCATATAAATATGGGTATTATCAATAAACAATTGTGTACTTTTTTAGTTATTGTCAAATAAAATATTGAATTCATCGTTACACTTTTCAGCTTGTTTTTGGGAAAGTATGTTATACACATAAATTAAAAGGGTTTCAAGGGGAAGTACTTTAGCCAAGTTTCATTAAAATCGATAAAGCCGTTTTGGCGCTACAGTTTATAGCGACACGTTTTTTTGTGGCTTAAAACAGACAAACATTTATGTTTTTTACATATATAAAATTATAGTAAGACAGAAGTACTATGCCAGAAACCTTCCCAGGAGTGTACGGAACAACTTCCCAAAGTTTCATGGTGACCGGATGAATGGTTTATTAATGCACAAAGGACAAACAGACAGACAGATATACATTCATTTTTATATATAAAGAAGATGTAAACATGGCAGAGGGAATTTAATGTGGGTAATAGTTCTAGTCTATAGGAATTATAAAAGTGACAGGTTATGAAAAAATGATATAGACCTTCCCTTTCATTCAAATTACACAATGAGCATAAACTTCCTGTTTTGATTGTTGTGGTGAGTTTTTTATGCCTCAGCTTTGGGTTTACTAGTACTGGTACTGGTGGGAGGAATTAGTCCAGCAAGTGGGCATATTGGTAATTTTTGCCAACCCCAAAGATGATACTACCAATGGTTGTTTATTGTACCTCCAACTCTACCTCAAACCTTTTTGTTCATCTAATGAAGTTCAAAAAGATTTGAGATAGAGTTGGAGGTACAATAGACAACCATTGGTAGTATCATCTTCGGGGTTGGGTAAAATGACCAATAGGCCCACTTGCTGGACTAAGTCCCCCCACCAGTACCAGTAAATCCATAACAAAAATGTACTTTGTGACTTTTTGTAATAAACTGACAATAAAAACGAAGCAAATATACATACCAGGCAAGTTTTCATAAAATGGTTGTTCATCTCTTGAACATATTATATGAGTAGAATGAGACTGATTTTTTTTATAATTTAAAATATCTTCACAGTTGGATATCTTCTTTACTGAAAGTAAAATAAAAAAATGCAATAAAACAATTAAAAATTGATTAGTCTAAAACAAACAATGAACGTATCATAAATGCTTCATAAAATTTCACATTTTTTAAAAATTATTCTTTTCTGCTTTACCTCTGCAAGGACTTCTAGGTTGTAATATATCAATCAACTTTTTTTTTGTTTTGTTTTTGTATAATGAGAAAAACATATCGCTGATCCTATTTAAGTAATTGAAATTATAATAAATTACAAAAACCAAAAGAAGATTTCAGTCAATAAGTTTTTGTTATGAGAAAGCCATTCAGATTCGTTTCTAATTTTACGTTACACAAAATGTACACACAGAAGAATCACTTTTAAATGAGCAAATATGAGCCGGCAATTTCTTGCAATGAATTTACATTTTGACACCTACTATCAAATGGAATCAGTCCCTGCATGCAGCTTGGTGTAGCTAATTGTTTATTTTCATTTATACTTAGATTTTACACTGTTGCAACGAAAACCAAGGAACTGTAAGAATAACAAATTTAATTTTCTCTCATCTTAATTATTCATAAATATGATATTTAAAAAACAAAACAATTATTTCTGACTAGGACTTGAAAATATGTATTCAAAATACCTTAAATTCTATAAATTTTTTTGGTAAATTACTGAACATTGATGTATTTTAAGGGTTAAATTGGGGTAAGTGGAAAAAATTGTTATTTGCCTATGTTCTAGGAATATTTAGGAAATACGACGGAGCACATAAAATGTGATTGGAACATTTTCATTATTAGAATTGTTTTTGCCTTTGAAAATTATGTCTGTTTCTACATACCAATAGTCTTGACAACCTGTCAAAAAAAAAAAAAAAAAAAAAAATATATATATATATATATATATATATATATATATATATATATATTCTCCTTTATTTTTATTTTTATTCCTACTTATTTTCCATTTATTTGTATCTTCTACATATATAATTCTTAATATTTAACTACATTGTCGCCCACTATATCTCTGATACCATCTTTTATTTCTGTATCTGACAACTTCTTCGTATTTTATATATACTTATATTTATTTTTTATTTTCAACATGTTTTGTATCTTTTGTAGCCCTGAAGACGACCTGCAAAGTGGGTCGAAACGTCGGCAAAAATTAAAATAATTTATATATTTTAATTTTTTTTATTTATTTGACCGCACTCTCGACTAACTCCTTCTCAAAAAAAAAAAATCATTGGGTCATAATATAATATTGATAAAAATTTAGTTATCTCAGCAATGAATATTAAAACGTTATGAATTAATACATTTCAGATAATAGTTTAAAATAAAACAAATTTATTTCTTCATAAATTCTTTCTCAATAATGAACTGCCAACTTTGCTGACGGCTGACAATAATATAAAAAACAAAACTGGTGCGCGTAGCACACAACTTTCATTTACCGATCAACTTTTTAATAGAAATTATTTTCTGGCCATGTTGGGCTACTATAAACTGTTTCGAGCACTGAAGGTGTTTAAATACTCTGAAGTATTCTGAATATGATCCAAATGCTTGGGTCGAACCATCAGCACCCATAAAAACCTTAAAAATGACTGCGTTCTGACTATGATATATTGAACAGATGACTAACTTCCTTCAACAAAAGAAATGTCAATAAATAAATCAGATGCAGGGGTCAAGGGCATCTGCCAACTGCATGCCAGGCACTATCAACGCTTATTGCTTATAAATGATCACGAGAAACTTCGATCAGTAATTCCCCATAGTGTATTACAAGGGAGAGAAAGACTGCAATAATTATGGTTATGTATGTACTGATTTTATCTTCTATAAAATCAAGACTATTAATAATAAATAATAAAAAATGAGCTCAGATTTGTAATATAGGCGATTTAAATAGAGTCTCACTTTTTATCTGTATTTATATGCTAAATATAATTTAATTTGTTTATTGTATTTTCAATTTTTTTAAATTCCTAATGAACATTTTGATTTTTAAACAAAGCCCATTTTTTTCTAAAAATTGATATATAAATTTAGAACACTCAAACTTCACATTATTGGTGTTAATGTAAAAGAGGATTTATTAATAGTTATCAAAAACAATATTTGATTAACAAATGTATAAAACTACAGTTGAGGAAAATCTTAATGTTTTGCACGGAAACCTTATTTTCAACCTCTTGCAGAACCACAAGATATAAATATAGAACAACAGAATTTTATAGTGTTTTTGTAGACATAAAAATGATACTTTTGAATGCTATTAGAAAATTGTCTGCTGAAGTGTCTTTTCATCAGGACACTTGAATAGTATGAATGCCATGTTTCAAAAATTCAAAAAAATTGTCTTCTGTTTTGGCTAATTTGACTGCACTAATTGAGGTACACAAATGACGAATGGATTTTTACAGATGGATGAAAAAACTGATGGTGTAAGGGAGAGTCGGTTTCTGTTCTAAACGGTTTTTCTCCCTCCACTTTACTTTGTTCAAAACGAAGGCTGGAATGGATGAGAAAACCAATTATGTAAGTCCAGCTTAATCAAGAAATACTGTTTGAATGAGTATTCTATAACTGGCCATTAGTTTTAAGAAAAGTTATGAAACTACGAGCAATGAAATAGAGCACATACTGGTTAGAATATTCACCTTGAAATATTTGACTTGACTTAAAAGTCCTTTTTAAGAGCATCTCTATACGCTCAATATTTAAAAATAAGGAAATTTTATAAATACTTACCTATTTCCTTCTTTTCTGAATCGATACAATTTAATGGTGTCAGTATTTTTTTAGCTTCTACTTTTAATTCATTGTCTAAATACAAAGGAAGAATTCCAATGTTAGATCACAATAAAATATTTATAGAAAAATAATAAATAAAATAGATTTATAACCTTCTTCGTATTGAATATCCTTTTCTTTTTTTATTGTACTTCGTGCTCTCTCCCTAGTTCTTCTGATGTTATTTATTTTATTTAAATTTCCTATATCCTGCAGTTTTCCAGTAATCTATAAAATAATTTAACAAATATATAAATAAAAATACAATATTTGAAAAACTAACTTAGTTACAATTTAGGAAAATGTTGAAAAGTGGTTTGGTGGAGAGGATATACAAAATAAAACTTAGTAGAAACAATAGTGAAAATAAGTAAACTATTATTTTTGAACTTCTTTAACATTTCACTGCACCATAAGACACGATTTGCCAACTGACCTTCAGTCAAGCTGTGGAGCACTCAAAGAATACAAAGCTTCCTGACTTGAAGATGCCGAGCTGCTTGAAATAAATCGATGTTCAAGAACTCCTCTATCAGGTGATCACTCCCCTGCCTGTTTGCCTCAAGCAATTTCCGAACAACACTAATGTTTTCTCCAGTCACCGATGTAGCTGGCCTGATGTTGGAGTGTCCTTAAGCTCAAAATTTTTACTTTAAAGATCCTGGTACCACTTGAATATCGTCATAGAAAGTGGACAGTCCTCTCCAAGCACAGGCAGCATAGCATTTCCTCCAAATACTATTCCATTATTAACCCACTAGCAAAGTAGTCGTGAAAAATCTCTTTGTAATCAACTTCAGACCAGGATGACCTCAATACCTTTCATTATCATCGTTAGAAGACAAATGACCCTAGCCAAGTGACTAGACCAGCTACTAAGTAGGCTGGGATAGATCTATGCATGCAACAACCCTTCCCCATCCCTTGTGATACCAGCACTCATATTGCAAAACTTTTCTAGTGCCTTTTGTACAAGAGACATCACAGCTTCATCCAAACCGAAAAGAAGCTATTATGGAGTTGATAGTTATTCATTCCAAAAAGCTCTAATTAAAAAAAAAAAACTCTATTAGAGGCTGAAATGAATCAACAAAATAGTGGATCAAGTAGAAAGAAATAGATATGAAACAGATTCAAAATCAAGCTAAAGAATAAATTTGAATCCTTATTTTAGTCAAAGGTTCATCAACATCAGTTGTACAACTTATTAGATTAGATCAGAATTAGAGATAAAACACTTGAAGAATATTTTTTTCTTTCTAAATCATTGATCAATTTTTAAAAATATTTGAAGTGGTTCTGTAGAAAATGCACTTAAGTGGCAGAAAAGCGGTACAGGCGTAGATGCCTTCAGGCCCCTACCACACCATTCAGTACTCATAAATTGCTAAGTTATAGTGCTATGATAACGTTTTTGGTACATTATATTGATTTTATTAACGAAAAAATATTAATGCAATAATTTAATTGTCCAAAAACATTTATTATTATTTTTTTTCAATTTAACTTCCTATATTATGTACGGAGGTCATTTGAGAAGCCGCTATTGTAAAAATGATATAATAATAAAACTTAATTCAAAAATACTTTGCTGAATATCTTGAATTTTGTATTTAACGTTTGCAATTTAACACTTTGCTTTGTATATTTATTAATCTTTAGAGGTAATTTAAACTGTATATACTTTCCCGGAAATGAGTAATATTAATACCTGATTTAGAAACTAAAATAATATATACCTAATCTGAACTACATATAATGAATAGTTGATGGGTTTAAAAAAAAACAGGGTCATGAATATAAAATCCCTACACACCACCTGTTAGTCGACTTTAAGAGTGCATATGACAGGATCAAATGACCTAAGCTGTATGAGGCGTTGAGAGAAATGGGTATCCCATGCAAACTGATACGTCTCGTGAAGTTGACAATGAAAGATGTAAGGTGTCAGGTACAGAACCAGTCTGACTGCTCTGAAGCATTTCCTTCCAACATAGGATTAAGATAGGAGGATGGACAGACTTGTTTCCTCTTCAATCTTGCACTGGAGAAAGCTATAAGAGATTCAGGAATCCAGACAGACCATACGATATTCACCCATACTGTACAGATATATGGATACGCTGACGATCTGGATATCATGGCCAGGACTCAATCGGCATTGGTAAAGGCTTTTAGGAGACTCATGGACTCTGCTTCAGCCATGGGATTGGCCATAAACGAGAATAAAACTAAATATATGAACATATGGGCTGGTGGCGACGAGGCACTGAGTGCTGGCCCATACACATTCCAAAGGGTGAACGAGTTTACGTATTTCTGATCCCTAGTAACTCCAATAAACCATGTCTCTGCTGAGATAAGGAAAAGGCTGGTGGCAGCAAATAGGGCATATTTTGCCTTAATGAAAACTTTCTGGAGCAGATCCATTACCAGGGGCACTAAGTAGTGCTGGTCATATACAAGACTCTTATACGCCCAGTTCTTACCTATGCTTCCCAATCTTGGATTATCTCAAGAAGTGATGAAAATAATCTTTTGATTTTTGAAAGAAAAATGTTACGTTGAATAGTTGACCAAGTGAGAGACAGAGATGGATGGAGGATTAGGAGGAACAGGGAGATATGGACGTTGTAAAGTTTATAAAACTGGGGAGGCTCAGTTGGACTGGTCATGTCGCAGGATGAAAGTGGAAGAAATTCCTAGAAAAGTAGTGGACACTACCCTTCACGGTACACAACGGCCTGGTAGGCCAAGGCTTCGATGTGTTGATGGAATGGCAGCGGACGCACGGAGCTTGCTTTGGATCAGAAGCTGGAAAGCGGCAGCACAAAATCTGGGTGAATGGCGGCGGTTCATTAAGGAGTCCAAGACCCACCCAGAATTGTAGCACCACGTAGATAGATAGATAAACTGCTCCAGCATTTGATCCCCTTTCAGCAGCATCTTGAAATACTCTGTTCGTCTGTCTAATGTATATTCGTTAAGCCATATTTCTTTTCCGAGATTTTGGCAATTTCTTTATTGTTTGCTTAGTGTATCGTTCCAAAGTTTGGGTTCAATTTTGTGTTTTCCTTCAGTTTGAGACCAAATACTAACAATCAGTTAAGGTTACCTAGAAGAACTTAAAGCTTCGCCCTTTCCATCTTTTTTTTGTGAAGGGATAATAATGCATTCAATATTAAAATTTTATATAACAAAATAAAAATTAATTTTTTTATTAGTGATAATGAGTTTTACTAAACAACCCATCAACTATTCATTATATTTAGTTCAGATTCAGATTAGGTATATATATTATTTTAGTTTCTAAAACAGGTATTAATATTACTCATTTCCGGGGAAGTATATACAGTTTAAATTACCTCTAAAGATAAATAAATATACAAAGCAAAGTGTTAAATTGCAAACGTTAAATAAAAAATTCAAGATATCCAGCAAAGTATTTTTGAATTAAGTTTTATTATTATAATGATATCATTTTTACAATAGAGGCCTTCTTAAACGACCTCTGTATAGAATAAAGGAAGCTAAATCTAAAAAAAATAATAATAAACTTAAAAAATAATTTTTTTTTTGACAATTAAATTATTGAATTAATATTTGTTCGTTAATACAATCAATATAATGTAGCAAAAACGTTACTATAGCACTATAACTAAGCCATTTATGAGTATTGAATGGTGTGGTAGGGGCCTGAAGGCACCTACGCCTGTACCACTTCTCTGCCGCTTAAGTGCATTTTCTACGGAACTGCTTCAAATATTTTAAAAAGTAATCAGTGTTTTAGGAAGAAAAATATATTCTCCAGATGTTTTATTTCAGCACGTTTTGCGTTATTGTTGGCCATTTAATTACAAACGATACTTGATTTTAAACTTGAAATTTTTTTTGTTAAAAAAGTTAACTTTACTGGTGTTTTTTATTGCCTAAGCCAATTATTTTTTAATATCTTTAAATGTTTTATTATTCTCTAAAACCAACTATGACGAAATTAAGCCAAATACTGATTCTCAGTAACCAAAAAACTAACTAAAGTAAAAGTCGTCAATCCGCCATGTTTTTACGCCATTTTGGGGCAGTGCATTCACTTTTTTTTAATAAATAGTTACTAGGAACTCAACCATATGCAATTTATAGAGGTGTGGGGGGGGGAAGGAGAGGGGTACACGGTTGGGAGGTCTGGCCCACAGACTAAAGGAAGTAATGTGCACTATGTATGCTGGGATAGATCTATGCATGCGCCAACCCAATGAAAACCAAAGAAAGACCGTTGAGGAAAGAAGAATTCCTGCCAAGTCAAAAGTGATCAAGGTACTTTGGGCAAATTAACAACTGCCAACTAAATGACAAATTTTTGAGCCTGAAATAATTACAAGTTTATGATAGGTCAAAGGCGATTACTATGCATCAATCCTTTCGAGATATTTTCATAAATCTCTCTAGGATCAAAAATAAAAGGATTAAGAAAAACATGGACTTAATATCAGTTTGTCGCCAGTTGCCTGTTCAATCGCATTGATTTCGCTTCTGCGTTATTTTTTTCTAAGAAAAGAATATTTCATTTGTACAAAACAAACTCAATCTAGATTGTTACTGGAAGGAATCTGTCGAAAAAGAAGCAACCTACTAATTAATCTGAACAGGAGCTCGCTTAAGAAAATTACAGTGGTATATACTGGACACTGTAAAATGAATTATCACATGTTCAATCTCCGGCTCACGTAGTCGTCTCTGCAGGTACGACAGGTTTGCTGAACTAAGATTCCAACTATTCGGCATTGATAGGGTGATTGATCCCAAGTCAAATGAACTCATCAATCCAACAAGCTTATTACAGTTCACTGAGACTGCAGGAATTACGCTGTAAATAAGAGTGACTCTAATAGAGGCGTACAATAGGCCTTCATGGCTACAGTGCATCTATGCCGCTTATAAAATAAAAAAAACAAAAAAAAAACAAACAACATTTTAAAGAGTTAAAATGGTTCTAGATCCCATGGCTCAGATTACTACGTTAATTGAAAACGGCCGAAGTCAGCGACACACAGTCTGAGTCTACGGGCTGCCTGAAACAATGGTTTGGAGGTCTGTCCAGAGCTATCGGGAAACAGGAAGCTACGCTAGGAGGCTGGGGATCAGGCCATCCAAGAGCGGCAGGTGAAGCTGATAACCACTTCATTACTATCTATGCACACCCTTAGAAACTGCTTCCAAGTTTCAGTTGAGACTTATTGACTGCGCATTGCTCAAAGTGCAGATGTCAGCGTGTACACAGTACAGGATAAGTCTTGCTGAACTCAACCTACACGCTTCTAGCTCTCTACTTAGACAGTACAGCAAGCAGCTCCTCTACTTTTAAAGACAGACCTCCATGGGGTCCGAAGTCCGATGCTCAATGCACACACGTACGTCACCGACATTCTCAACAAATATGTAGCACGCCCATTTATTGCCCTACATTTCCTTTTTATACAGGATAATGCACGGCCGCACATCCCAAATGTACAGGACTGCCTAGACGAGGTTAGTGCCAACACCTGGGAGAGACCAGCTCGCAGCCCGGACTTCAATCCTATTAAGCATTTTTGGCACCAGCTTAGAGCGATCATCCATCAGAACCCTCTATGTGACCTCAAAGTATCAAAGTATGGGAATGGAATGAAATTCAAGATCATGTCAACAAAGCCAACCTTAGATATTAAAGCAAGGGAAGGTTACACTAGGTAATAAAACACTGATTTCATAATCAAAAAAGAATTAGATGTGTTTTATTTTTGTTTAAAAGAATGTGCATTTGCTTTATTATTTTATATTATGGATTTTTAAAATGAATTTTTGTTGTTTTGTCCCCTTTATTTGTGGTTTCCTACAAACAGACAGAATATGCCACATAAATGGCAAATTTTTTACTGTTAAGAAATAAGAACAAAATTTAAGGTGCGTTGGTTTTTATGACTGCCAGTGTAAGTACATATGTAACAAAATATATTGTTACTAAAAGAAATGAAAATGATATAGAAGTAGGGATATTTATAGATATGTATGGATTTCTGTAGATATTAGAAAGAATATATATCTGAGTTTTCATTTCCTTTTTTCACTGTCTCATATCTGTTTTTAAACATTAATAAAAGATAACTAAAAAAAAAATTAAAATATTACGATTTAATAATACAAAAGTAATTATAGTGCTAACATGTACATTAAAAGCAATAATAAAATGTATATGTAAAATAATAAACCTCAACAGTTTTTGTTCGAGTAACTGCTCCTAATATATTTGGTTCATAAGTAAATCTTTTTGAGTTTTCTTTTTGAGTTTTATAGTCCTGTGATGATAACACTGATGATCTAGTGACTCTTCGAACTTCAAGATTATTCTTTCCCTGCTAAACCATTGTTTAGTCAAATAATTGGAATTATTTAATAATTAATGTAAAGCTTATTAGTACAGTCAAAATAAAGTATGATCTCAAATTAAATGTAATGAGATTTATTGTTTTACATTTGTTCATTGGTGTCTGATAAAAGTAATACCCGAAGTCCTTAAATAGGAAGTGAGTTAGAGATATGATTTCGAAAAAAAGAAAAACAGCGGAAAAATATGTCCTTTGTTTTAAAAAATATCTAGAAAATTAGGGACCATCGAGATAATAAGGTTGAAGATAAGATTCTACTCGTCAGATTGAGGATTTCATCATAGCCATCTGGGGACAACACAGATCGTTGTTCAAAAAAATCTGGTGCGCGCATCACACATTTCAAAAACATATGCCTTAAGATTGAAAAGTGAGGAAATTCAGGGCAGTTATAGTCAGCAAGTATTGTCAAATCTTGCAAATTTAGACACTGAAAGTGATGATATAGAAGGTATATGTAATGTGGAAAGAAGAGAGTGTCTGGTAAGGGAAAGCGGACAGACTGGTGGACCAATGACCTCCAACGACTGGTTTCTCCGAGGAAGCTTGCCTGGAAAGCATGCCTTAAAGATAGAACTGAAGGGAAAGCTACATGTTTATCGAATAACCAGGAATGAATATAAGATCACCATATGCCAGGCCAAGAAAAAGTCATGGAAACATTTTGGTAAAAGGTTAAGCGAGAACCATCGCGAATCTATAAGAGCATTTTGGCGAAAAGTTGAAACGTTAAGAGTAAAGCAATGCAAGCCCATTAGAAATGTAAAAGGTAGCGATGGAATCATACTTACAGACAAGGAAAAGATCCTTGGCAGATGAAAGCAATATTTCTAGAAACAATTCTTCGAAAACCAAGAAACAGACCATTGCCAAGAACAAAAGCCCAATATTCAGGAGAGCTAGAAGGTTATAGAGGAAGAAGAAATAGAAAATACAATCCAGAAGCTAAAAAGAGGTAAAGCATCAGAAAGGGATGGAATTGTACCAGAGTATTTGAAATATGGTGGTCAAGAACTTCTTAAAGCACTTCAATCACTGTTCCAAGAAGTATATGACAGAAAGAAAATTCCCAGAGACTAGAAATATTGTATAATTCTCCCGATTTATAAAAAAAGGATGCAAGACAGACTGCAAGAATTATAGACCCATTAGTTTGCTTTCAGTGGTCTATAAACTTCACACTTCTATTCTAGTAAGGAGACTCCGGCGCATTGTGAAAGGCCAATTGGAAGCGGAACAGGCTGATCAGACTTAAAATACATTTAAATATCTGTGGGATAGTGGATAATGAACACTGTAATCTCTGCAGAAGTGCACCTGAAACTGCCCTTCACTTCATAACGGAACGTGACCGATTTGCATCACTCAGATTCAGACTTCTGGGAGCAGACAGAATCCAAGTATGCAAAGCTGCCTCCATAAAATGGTTCAACCTTTTGAATTTCATTAGGAGAACAAAAAGGTTTGAGACAGAATAGAGGTACAATAGACAACCACTGGTAGTATCAATTTTTGAGGTTAACAAAAAGGACCAACAGGCCCACTTGCTGGACTAAGTCCCCCACTAGTAACAGTACCTGGAGACTTGCTGGCGGCCATAGTCAGCCTACCAAGGAGCCATGGCAGTGGTAAGGATGAATGGTATGGAATCGGAACCTTTTCCAATTGCGAGAGGAGTTCTATTTATAAACATAATGGACGAAATCCACAAAATCTGCAAGCGCCGAACTGCATGGACAATAATTGAGAAATGGAATATGAGAACTGTCCTTGTAAAAAGCATTTTATACGTGGATGATTTAGTCCCAATAGCCGACACCAAGACCAAACTACAACAAGCTCTGCTAGAATGGGAAGAAGAGTTGCTGAGGAAATGCATGCAAATTAACACCTCCAAGAATAAAGTGCTGGTTATGGCAAGGGAAGAACGGGAAGATGTACAACTGATCTGCAATGGCGAGACACTTGAGGTAGTGAGTGAATATACCTGCTTAGGGACCGTAATTAGTAGCTCGGGTAAGATAGACGCTGAAATATCAAACAGAATATGCAAGGCGAATCAGGTGTATTACCAGACTACTAATAGCATCATCGGCCAACGTCCCAGAATCAGATACCAAGCGTGAGGACACAACTGGACTAAAGACACCACACTTTTAGAAAAATTTCCTTATTTGATGAGCTTGAAGTCTATATTAATTAAATTAAAATTTGTTTTAAATATAATTTTATCATACTAATAACCTTATTACTCAATCAGAGATGAATCTCAACTTACTCTCTAGCAAACTTCAACTTAAACCTCATAAAAAAAAGAAGTTTTTCTATAAGTGTGATATCTTCAGTCAAGTTGGAGTGCTATCAAAAAAATCGTGAAGAAACCGCATTGATTGATATCGAATATAATTCTATGTTAATGACTTTTTAAAATTACCAAAACAAAAAATTTTTAATAATTTTAACAATCGAAAATGTTTAAGAAAAAGAATTAAACTTCAAAGTGGTATCATCTACTACGAACAGCACCAATTTCATGATTTTAAGCAATTTTTGCTTAAAGTGGAAATATGTATATATTTTTTTAAAACTTTTATTAGGATATTTACAACTGTATTAGTATGAATACATCAAGTAAATGTGTAAATAGGAATATTATCACATGAAACACGCTTGTTGAGAAACTACCCTTTGGTAGCACTCTAATAATTTGTCTACAGGAGGAGATCACGAGGCCATCTTCTTTTCAGACGCCTCGGAAGGGTTATCAGAAATCGAAGAGGAAGCAAGGTTAGAAACAAGAGGATTCGGATGGTTATGAAGTTTATTATGGAAGGATAGGTATCTGGATTTGGCCAAATCGGAAACATATGTAACATTGAGGTCTTTATGGATTATTTTATTTGTGACAAAGTAAGGAGCATTGAGGATAAGTGGAAATATAATCTTAGAAATATATCTGTAACTCTGGATTTTATCTAAAAAAATAAATGTATATAGTTATTTTTATAGAGGTTTTAAATTACTTTAATATTGTACTGAACAATTTTTGTGAAAAACTTCATCTTTTGAGATATCCTCAAAAAAACTAAAAAAATGTCAAGTTTCTGTCCTTCTCCCTCTCACCCCATCAAAACCCAACACCTGATTTGACTTTTTACCAGTTACTATGGGGAGGCTAATAAACAATTTCAGACAAGTTTTATCTTTATTTTTTTAATGTTGAGTTAAGGCTGTTGTTTAGGCAACTTTTCTAACCAAGACAAATAACTCTCATTGAGTTTCAATAAGGCAACATTCAAAATTATGGGCAACATTCTAATTTTATGCAGTGGACTGTATCTTAATGGATTAGTAGGTTATGCTGATTGTGCAAAAAATAGTTTACCCTCTTTATGCCAGCTTACATCATTGGTTACGTGGAGGGCCCTCAGGTGCCGGTGGTGGTGTGTCCAGAGTCGCTACTAATGAAGAAGTTTGATTTATTATGCTTTTCTTGTACAGGATCTCTTGCCGAATGGCCAAAGTAAGGGCTGTTGCCAAGTTTGTGACCATACAATGTCATACAATGCTGCAAACACTGAGCCATAACACAGTCTCAAGTAACAAATAATTCTCGTGCAGTTTCGTGCCATGCTACCACCATCTCACAGGTATTTCTGGGTACAGCGTTAGATAGAATTTGTTCAAGTTCAGGTCAGTGGTATCCATGCAGAATGGTGATAGATCCAGGTTCACAAATTAATTTAATTATCACTGATCTAGTGAAAAAGTTCCTTTGTTCCTGGGCTAATCCTCTTGTGGTGTCTGGAGTAGGTAATACATCCATATCTTCATCTTCTGCTGAGGTTAAAGTGAAGTTGGGTTCAACGAGAAATAGAAATATATATGACTTTTCAGCCAGAGTATTGCCCTGCATAAGTGGAAGTTTGCCTTCGTTTGCCGTGCCCCAAGAAATACGGAATAAATTTGCATCAATAGAACTAGCAGACCCTCAATCTCATACGCCAGGAAAAGTTGATTCGCTTCTGGGTGCTGAGATGTACAGTGAGGTTTTAAGTGACCCTGTTTTATTTCTTAAGGATCAACTGAAAGCCATTCATACCTCATTAGGATGGGTATTATTTGGGGACACCCTCTCGGAAAGCCAAAGCCCTATACCTTCAATACACCCTTTTTTCACGCAGACCTGCCCTTCCTTTCAGGAGGAATTAAAGCAATTTTGGGAGACTGAGGAAGTCACAGTTTCGATTCCGCCGAATCCTGAAGATACAATTTGCGAAGATCACTTTATAAATACATGCACTCGTGATCTCCAGGGTAGATTCGTTGTTTCACTTCCGTTCCGTTCTGACCAGCCGATCGACCTTGATTCCATCAGAGATATAGCTCTACACAAATTTAGAAATCTGGACAATAGATTTAGGAGAGATCCGGAGTATAAGTCTCTCTATCTGCACAGATGGATGAATATATAAGATTAGATCATGTCCGCCTCGCCAAGAACCCTTCTCCATACATCATGACCCAGAGTCGTATTTAACGGTTCGGAGAAGAAGGTGGGAGAAAACTCACTCAATGACTTGCTTTTGACCGGTCCGCAGCTTCAGACTGATATTGCGGAACTTATAGATCACTTTAGATGCTTTCCTGTGGCCTTAACATGTGATATAAAAATGATGTTTAGGTGCATTCGCATTGCCGAAACTAATCAGAGCTTATTGCGTTTTTTTTGGAGAAGTGAATCTTCACAGCCGATTCAGGAATATGAGTTGGTTACCCTTCCATTTGGGTTGAACTGTTCTCCCTTTATTGCTTAGAGAGTTATTTTGGGAAGAAGGCCATAATTTTCCTAAAGCTGCCCAGTGTCATGACCAAATTTATGTAGATAACGTAATCACTGGTACTCGCAATAGTGATGAGGCTCCTGATCTGTACAATTGATACAAGTTGATAGCCCTTATTGGGAGCATGTGGGTTTGAACTCAGAAAGTTCTCCAGCAATTTCAATAAAGTACTTTCTGTTATACCCAAGGGTAGTCAAGAAATTCTGTTATGCCTGGATGGAGATTCCTCGACTGTTAAAGTTTTGGGATCCTAAAATCGATCATTTCAGGTATTCAATACAGGAAAGTGAGCCTGTTTTTACAAAGCGAGGTATTCTATCCTTCATTGCCAAGATTTTCGATATAAATGGATATATCAGTCCCATAATTTTTTCTGTTAAATGCCTATTACAACATTTGTTGCTTCTTAAGGTTGATTGGAATGATGAGTTGCCTTCTAGTGTGTCTTCATTGTGGAAGATTTTCCTTCACGAATTTCCGAGATTGAAAAATGTTTGCCTGCCTCGTTGTATTGTCAGCCAGAATGCATCGTCCATGCAACTAATCGCCTTTTTAGACGGTTCCCAGAGGGGTTACGGGTGTGTGGTCTACCTGAAAGTTAGGTGCCCTGGAGAAGCTACCAAAATTCATTTGTTAAGGGCAAAACGTAAGGTGGCCCCACTTAAGGTTCAATCAGTGCCTCGTTTGGAATTAAATGCTGCTCTTCTTGCCTCCAGACGACTTGCGTGTATTGGTAAACTTAAAAGTCATTTAAAAATTGAGGAAGTTTATTGCTTTTCAGATTCCCGTAACGTACTCTATTGGTTACAGACACCGCCACATGAGCTTAAGACTTATGTTGCCAATCGCATGTGCTGCAGATTTTGGAAGTTACAGAACCTAAGTTATAAGTTGGCACTATATTACTACAAAACAGGATCCAGCAGATTGTTTATTGAGAGGCCTCACACACCAGATACTTTCACATGAGCTTTATTGGAATGGCCCGGCATTTATTTCGTTACCTCCTTCAGGCTGGCCTATTTACCACATTGAACCTCCATCCGTTCCGCCTGAGGTAAAAACAATATCTCTTTTAGTGGCTGAAAAACCTAACGATTTGTTAATTTGTCTGGAAAAATATTCGAGCCTTTTAAAGTTGCAGAGTGTTTGCTTTCATTTTAAAATTTATTAAATGTTACCCACATTGGGAGCAAGATGGTTTTGTTGCTGGAACCTTGACTGCTGACGATCTTAAGGATCCCTTAATAATTTATGTCAGACTCGTTCAGAGGAAATCCTTCTCTGAATGAACTGATGGTCTTGAAAATGGCAAACCATATAAGGGTTCCTTATAAATAGGCTCACATCATTTTGGGATAAGGCTGGAGCTCTCAGGGCGGGAGATAGATTGAAGTATTCCACAATCGAAGAGAAAACTAAGCACCCGCTGCTGATACCTTAAGATTCTCATTTAGCAGTCCTTTTGTGTCATCATTACCACAGGTTATTCCTTGTATGGTGGCCCCCCCTGTTGGTCGTCTCTCATTCATCGCCAATTTTGGACCCCTTCTCTAATAAGACTCGTTAGAAGCTGGATTTATAAACGGGTTACGTGCCACAAAAATAATTCGAAACCACAGGCTCCAAAAATGAGTGACACCAGGTTTCAGGGTGATGGAAGGTCATTCCTTTCAGCGAATTGGAATAGAATATGGTGGCCCCTTCATTATACCTATCCACTCCTTCATTTATTGCCACATTAGATAGATTTATTGCCAGATGTGGTTTGCCTTCTCATATTTATAGTGACTGCGGAACAAACTTCGTTGGAGCATCCAAGAAGTTGAAGGAGCTTTATCAATTTGTTAAGGGCCAGAACGAATCCATCTCTGACTATTTGGGTAAGACAGGTATAAAGTGGACCTTTACTCCTCCAGCATCTCCTCATTTCGGTGGTATTTGGGAGGCAGCTATTAAATCTGCTAAGAGACACCTTCTTGCCGTTCTCCAGGATCATACGTTGACTTATGAGGAATTTTATACTCTTCTTGTACGAGTTGAAGCCGTTCTCAATTCCCATCCTATCTGCAACATTAGCAGTCAGCCATCGGATAACCTGGATTACCTCACCCCAAAACACTTTTTATAGGTCAACCTCTCCTAGCAAGAACAGAACAAGAAGACGCACCTGTGTTTTTCCTTTGACAAACTGTTGGGAGATGATTTCCAAGACTCTTCGTAATTTTTGGAAGAGATGGTATAATGAATACCTTCATAATCTGGTGCCTCGCAACAAGTGGTATACTAACAGAGAAAATTTAAAGGAAGGAACTCTTGTAATTCTGCATGAAAAAGATGTTCCACTGCAGGAGTGGCGGCTTGCCAGGATAATAGACACTTCCAGGGCCTGACAGTGTAATTAGGTTTGTAAAGTTGAAGACTGCTACAGCCACTTTGATGCGACTGGTGCACAAGTTAGTGCCTCTCCCTTCTGGAGAAACCTTTTATTGATATGAATATTTTTTGTTTAAATTTAATGAGAAGTCATTTTATTTTAAGTTAATTGTAAATTATTAGCCTAATTTCTCTCTTTCTTATTGTAAACCAAGCAATTTTCTCTCGTTTGTGCCTTGCCTCGTAATAACTAATCTCTGAGTTTGGTTTTTCTTTTTTTTGTTTGTGAATAAGATATTTCATGGTGGGGGATATGTTTGTGCCAAAAATGGTTTGAATTTCCCGCGTTACGACGAGTGGTGGGGGTAGATCAGAGGATCTAAAAGATAACACTTAAGCTTCAAGAGGTGCTGGTTCTTTCGGTCACTTCTTTGTTAGCAGCGACTCAGGACACACCACCACTGGCACTTGAGGGCCCTCCAGGTAACCAAAAGATGTAAGCTGGCATAAAGAGGGTAAGCTATTTTTTGCACAATCATTATAACCTATCAATCCATTAAGACATAGGCCACTGCATAAAATTATAATGTTGCCCATAATTTTGAATGTTGTCTTATTAAAACTCATGAGAGTTATTTGGCTTAATTAGAAAAGTTGCCTAAACAGCTGTTTTCTAAATTTACTGGACTACATGGGACCAAGGCTTCCTGTAACATCAGTCACCAACCATTCTTAATCTGCTGATTAACAGCTGATTTTCTGAATCCAATACAAATGACCTTCCGCAAGTCGCCATATCAACCCAATGAAGTTAAGGTCTTCTTCCATCCTATGGCATCCTAGCCATATGGCCTGTCCAGTGGTGTCGACCAATCTTAATAAATCTGACCACATCACAATCCTAGAACAGTTTGTGTAGTTTTGCATTTGTTCTCTGTCTCCACTCTTGATTAACACAGACTGGGTTCAATATTTTGTGAAGTATATCTCACATGGGAAGGTCACGGATTTCAATGAAACTTGTTTTGGTGATACTAGAGCTCAAAAAATATTATACCCATATCCGAGTGTTCTTGCTAATGGACCCCCCGAGGAGCAGAGTAAAATATTTTATAAAATTTTATTATATTTTTGTAATACCGTTTCTTGATTTTGCTCTGCATGGATTTCTATGTTATTGTACACCAATTGATTTGCTTTTTTGTGTAAAATAAGAAATATATATTGCTAATAATATTAAACAAATTCTTAAAAACAGGGTGTCCTGTAAGTTTATAAGGGAAATATTTAAACGATTGATAGTAGAGTTAAAGATCTACAAAAAAGTTCATATCAACAATAATTAAATAAAATACAAAAACCAACATACCCTTTCAGTAAAGTAGGCCAGATAAATTTTTGTCATGAAAAAAAAAAAAAGATTCAAATTTATTTTTAGGACTCACAAAACTTTTAAATACAAGTTTGTTTTATCAAAAAGTATAAATTTTTTTACTTAATTTTATAGGAAGAATTTTTTTTATGTCGTAAACTATAATATCCATAACGCCGCAGGATTTTCTCCCAAGGCAATGTTACTCCAATAGTAACCAAATGCAGAGGGAAATGAAATTATAAAATATTTAAATGTATCTATATATATCGAGAGGCTCTAAAACACACATTAAAATGACCACTATCCCCTCCATTGACCTATGACTGGCAAGAAGGAAGGAAGAAAGGATGGGTGAAAAGTTTCATACAGAAACAATTACAGCTATAATGTGAAAAAATATACAACTTTCATAGTAATAAAATGGATAAACTTCCATTTTAGGTGCATTTACCTCTTCAACTATAGCATCTACACTATATTCACTTTTCAGTTTCACCAATGGAGAAGGCGAAAGGACTGTTGATTTCCGTTCTTTCATAATTTCATCTATTATCGTATCAACTCTCGAAATACGTTTCTGACTTTTCTTATTTTCAGTTTCTAACAAATTTTCTTTCAATGGTTTAATGGTATTTCTGTTTTTGAATTTTTTAACATTTTCTTTTGGTTGATCCATATCCATTCTCACTGATTTTCCTTTAAAATTGGCAGAAATAATAAAGTAATTAAAATTTCATATAAAAATAATGTAAGAATTATAATATAACAAAAATGATAATAACACTTCTTATCAGTTAAATACAAGTTGTAATGAGTGCAAAGAGAGTTTAGAGTATAAAGAAGGTATAACAATCTCTGTATTAACTGCCCTCAGATTGAAGAAAGGGAAGTAAGGAAGTTTGAAGGAATGGACTCTGATTTTATAGATCAGGTAGTGAAAGACATTGAAGTTATAGGAAAGTGTAAGGAACGACAATGCATACCAGCCTAGAGATAGATCTTGTATGCATCTTTGTGACGTAAACTATATTCTTCTTCAATGGTTCTCTCATTGCATCCTATTAGTCTCTTCTCTAGGATTTTAGAGATGCCTCTGTGATTTTGACAGTCTCTGTAGTTTCCTTTTTAATGTATTGGTATCATGACTGATACCTACCAATTCTTGGAAACTTCTTCTCTTTTCCATACTAAATTTAACAGATGTTCGAATATCTCCAGACCTTTTTTTGTTCCCAGATTCTTCAGCATTTTTGTGATGATACTGTCTACATAGTCCAGTAACCTTGTCATGAAAAGGGAGGGGGTTGCAAGGATTGGGTTGAAAAGGGTTCTAAGTTACATGAATGGGGATAGGTTTCTTTTTTTTTTTCTTGTATGGGATGTGACTAAGATAAAAAATCAAAGTTTTTGACCTCGGTGCCCCGCCCCCCTCCCGGATCCCCTTTTAAAACTCCAAAAACTGCCACATTTTCATACTTTTTTCAGTTTTTACTCATTTTGACCATGAAGGAGCAAATTCTCATACATCATCATCATATTCAGTTTTATTTAGATTAAATATGCTACAATTTAAGACTCAAACAAGTTCGGTGTGTTTAATAATTTTTGAGATACCGGTTTTTAAAGTTTTGGAAAGTTTTTCAAACTTGAAAATTTTAAGCTATTTTTCCTGTTTGATCATATGCACTTGTCTTTATATCTTCAATAACTTGTTTTATATGATTCAGTGAAGAAAATTTATATAAATTTTAACATTTTGAAGGTGGGGTGAGGGAGGAAGGGAGGTTTGGTGGGAGAGAGGGAGATCCCATTTCACAACCAGAAGACTGAAATTGAAATAAAAAATGTATAAAATCAAGATCTACATCAAATGCATAAAAAATTGTAAATGAAGTGAATAAAATTTTCAAAACTTGAAAATGTTAAGCTAATTTCATGTGTATGTCTTCAATAACTTGCCTTATAAGAGTTAGTGAAGTAAGCATTTATTTAAGTTATTATTTTAAAGGAGTAGGATACATGAATATAGGAATGGCTATAAATAATAAAAGCTATAAGCAATTGATAAAATAAGTGAGCTAGAATGATCTGAGTCATTTATTGCGTTTGATCTTTTTCATAGGCGGCTACATCTGTGCCGCTTTTCCGCCGATTAAGTGCATTTTCTAATGAACTGTTTCAAATATGTTACAAATTAATCAGTAATTTAGAAATATAAATGTATTCTCCAGATGTTTTATGTTATTGTTGGCCATTTAATTACAAATGACGATTCATTTTCAACTTCAATTTGAACGACTTGAAAAAATTTATTTAACTGGTATTTTTTATTGCCTAGGCCAATTATTTTTTAAAAACTTGTTGATGCTTTATTATACTCTGACTTTTCAGCTTTAATAAAAGATCAATTATGACGAAATTAAGACAACTGCTGAATCTCAGTGACCGAAAAACTAACTCAAGTCAAAGTCTTCACTCAGCCTTGTTTGGAAGTCATTTTGGACCAATGCGACCACTTTTTTTTTGTAGTAACATTGCCTTTTTTTAATATATAATTACAAGGAACACGACAATATGAAATTTATAGTGATGGGGAGGGAGGGTGCACAGATGGAGAGTCTGGCCTATGGATTACCCTCTTCCACCAAATCTTTACTTCCCTCCATCACCTCTCCTTCAAAATATTAAAATTAATAAATATTTACTTCGCTCACTCATAAAAGACAATTGCATATGATCAAACATGAAAAATAAATTTGGAAATCTATACATAAACTATTAAATTTACTAAGCCTGTTCTGATATTAAATTGCAACAAATTTAATCTAGTTTTAAAATGTAACAAATGTTTTTTGTCGAAAACTTGTTCTTTTATGGATAAAATGGGGAAAAACTGAAAAAAAAGTGTGAAAACATGACAGTTTTTGGGATATTCAAAAGTGATTTGGGGGTGAGAAGGGAGGTGGCGAGGTCGAAAACTTGTATTTTGCATCTCAGTCATATCCCATACAAGGAAATTTAAAGAAACCTTCTACCCCTATTCAATGCAACTAACAATGTACAAGGTTCCTGGACTAATATCTGCTATTTTCAGGCTGTCCACTGCATCTATTATCTCCTCTTCCCCAATGAAATCTTCTTACTCATCTGAAGTGAAATGAAATGCTGTGGATGCTTTGTTCTGTTATAGGCATACTACTCCGTAATATCATTCAGCACTTTTACAAAGTATTTCGGCTATCAGCTCATTTTCTTAGTATTAGTTAGAGTACTACCTTCTTCCTCTTTTATGTGTTTTAATAACAGGTCCCTTTTCTCCCAGCATATTTCTTAGGCAACCATAGAAGAGCTTCTGATTTCTTCCCGAAATCTTTGATAGTTTTTCTCTTCAACAGTCGGACTTTCCCTTTATTTTTCTCTGTTCTTTGTACCTTGTTATCTTGTGTAATCTTACTATTTGTAGTCTGGAGATATTCTTTCCTGAGTTCCTTCTTTTGTTTTATATAACTTTTGTGCCAACAGGCTGTTATTTTTAGTCTTTGATCTAGTGTTTTTTTTTTTACATACCTCCTCTGTTGCTTCCAGTATTTATTGCTTTCCTGTTTTACTCTGAATCTGTAACGTCCCAAGGATGTTTGTTTCAAGTGACTTTTACTTCTATTGCAGACTAATATGCTTCTGCAACTTCTTCTGCTTTGAGCTCACAATCATTTATTTCTGTGGACTTTGATAGGACTTGATCTTTCTTTCTTAATTGCTGAGTTCTCCAAAAGCATATCCGTTGTTAGTAGCATATGGAGTGTCTCAAGCTCGTATCCTCTCATGACTCTGATTTCTAATGTTATCCTTATTTCCTCTTTAGGGACCAGGAAGTAGTCTATGATAGACTTTTTGTTTCTAGAAGGTTCTGCACTTGTGATTTTCCTGAGGCATTAGTGTATTTCCTTGAGAAGGGAGAGAGAAGCTGTTAACCCAATTGCCAGGCAGAAGATTAAAATTATTTGTACATTATCATTCCTGAAATTTTCCCAATGCACTCCTGTCACTTCATGTCATCCATCAGTTATCTTTCCCACTCTGTCATTAAGGTCACCCATAATAATGCAGATTCCCTTTCTGTCATCGAATCTCCTCTGAAAGGCCTCAAAAGATAATTTCTTTTTCTCTTACAATAGCATTTTCATTAATGCTGTACATAATGAATAATATGCAGTTGTTGGGTTCAAGTTTAAATTACACTCCCATAATCCTTTCATTTATAGCACTCAAATCCTGTAAATCTGCCGTAGTCAGTCCTATGGCGTCACCCACAATGATGCATCAAGCCTAGCACCAACCATAAACACCCTAGCCCTGTGCACCAAATTATCAACAAGTTGTACAGTTACAATAAAACACTACTACTAACCTGTTTCGTTCAAATCCTTAATGTTTCTTCAAAATTCAGCATTACACAGTTGTGATGGTTTTTATTTCCTTTATCTCAAATATGTTCTTGAGAAAATATTATAGCAATTAATATATCCTTATAATAATAATAAAAGGCTTAGCAAACCCGGAGGTTCGATGCTAAATATATCCTTATCCATGTTTAATAATGAAATTGAAAAGGAAGACTGCTAGACTTATAGTTTCTCCTCTATGGTTTTAGATCATTGGGTTACTAATAATTTTTATTAAGAACTGTGGAGTCTAATTTTTCAAGAAACTACTAATATAATTTACCAGTGTCATTTTAACTCCTTTCACAGAGTTTGAAAGCATTTAACAAAAATAAAATTCTATAAAATAAACAATATTTTCATCAAGAAATATCCACTTATCTCTTTGCTGTTATCTTTGTTTCACATTAGTTTTTTTTAAATTAAAATATGATCAGTTATTTTTATGTTAATAAATATAGTATTTCTCAACTGATGTCGAAATCGAATTTTTGTACTAACAATCCCACAATTTGGATAAAGTCAAAGGATCTACATTATATTTTAATGATATATAATTTCTTTAAATTTTATTGATTGAAATTGAGAATTTTATGAAATCAACAACTGTGATATAAATAAATAAATTTAACAGAATTTAAAAACTTAAATTAGCATAAAATAAAATAATAATAGCATAAAATTAAATCCTTAAGAATATTTTATTAGAAAAGAATAAACATATTTTAATATTTCGGAAATATATATAGTTATAAGAAGAACTAAATAAATTAATTATGATTGGTTGTTATGAAAAAAAGATAATATAAAAAGATATCTATAAATCAGGCCATTCTGAGGCCGGGGGTGCGAGGGTCAGTGTGCTGTTATGGCCAATCCTAATTAACTCTCCGGCACTACAGGCCAGCATGAACCCTGACCTCCTGAGTTATTTTTCTCCACTTCTCTCTGCCCTGTGCTACTCTCTTCCAATTGCGAACTCCTAACTTCCTCGCACCTCCACTTCATCCTTCCATCTGATTCTCGGTCTTCCTCTTTTCCTCTTCCCACTCGCACCCATTCATTCTCCATTCTGACCACATGCCCTGCACATCCCAGCCTACCTGTCTTGATATAGTTAGTAATGTTTTGATTCTCTAATATAGCATCGATTTCATTGTTACTTTTGATTTTTCACTTACCATTAACACCTGTAGCACTGTAAATCCTTCTTATTATGTTGAAGAACGTTGCCAATAAGCCATCTCCTTGACGCACTCCAGACAATCCCCCAACTTTATTCCCAATAACAACAATGGATGATGCATTTTCTATGGTCATGCGTATTAAATCAATTAGTTTATGTGGCACTCCACTTGTCATTAGCATTCTTAAGAGAGCTGATCTCTTGATGCTATCAAATGCCTGCTTGTAGTCAACAAATAAAAAGTGCAGATCTATGTCATACTCGTAGCATTTTTCCATCATTTGTCTTATAACAAAAATTTGATCTGTAGTACCGCGGCCAATTCTAAAACCACATTGGTAATCATCTAAAATTTCCTCAGCATATTTTTGCAACCTTTTTAATATTAAACTAGAAAGGAGTTTATACAGGACTCCCAATAGGGATATTCCTCTATAATTTGTGCACTGATTCTTGCTGCCTTTTTTAAGAATAGGGTATATTAATCCAATCCTCCAGTCATCTGGCATCTTTTCCTTTCTTCATAAGTCACAGGTCAACTCATATATTAGGGCCTTTATTTTACCACTGCAACATTTAACCAATTCCGCAACTATCCTGTCCTCACCAGGAGCTTTACAGTTCTTTAAGTCCATGATGGCAAAATCAATATACTCTCTGTCAGGTTCATCAACTAGCGGTTGTGGTTGCCATACATGCCATTCTTCTTCATTCTCAACATCCTCCACCTTTAGACCAATGTTCAGCAACTTCGAAAAATGTTCGGTCCACTTGTTCCTCACCTCTCCATCTCCATCCAAAGCCTCTCCTGCTTTACTTTCACAATTATTCAGCTTCGGCTGATACTCTTTCCTGAACCAATTAATTTCCTTATAAAATTTCCTGCTTTCATGCACAGTGTTCAACATATCTATATTTGCAAGCCTATTACGAATCATTTTTCTCTTTTCCTCTCTACATACTTTATTAGTTGCTCTACTTTTCATACTGTAGGTCTCCTGGATTTGCCTTGTGAACCTCTGTAACATCTTCTGTCAATAAAGCCTTGATATAAATAAGGCTTGATTTTTCTCTTTAATGGCTTTCACACATTCTTCATTAACATATTCCTCATTTCTTCCATTTGTAATTTCTCTCTATGTCTCTTCCGTTGCCTTGGCTATAGCCTACTTTACAACTTTCCATTTTTTCTCAATTGACCCCAAATTCTTCTTCTGGCTCGTTTTCCTCTAACTTCCCTCTCTCCATCTCTCTATCCATAACCTCTTAAAAATTCCTCACTTTGTTCTCAACTTTTAATTTTTCTGTGTCCCATTTTGTTCATTTGATAGTTTCTGCTCTTGCCACCTTTGCTATATTTTGCCTTAACTTAGCTCTAACTAAAAAGTGGTCTGAATTGCAGTTAGGGCCTCTCATACTTCTCATATCTATGATATCAGGATGTGATCTATTTGATGGCATATACCCTATAGCAAATGATGTTATTTTTTTGTGAGGATTGGTGCTAGGCTTGGCAGGCCATTGTGAACGAGGCTTAAGTATGATTGAGAAAGGAGAAGAGAGATCCCTTGCAGCCTAAATGAGATCCATTGTAGCCAAGTATCGTTTCAGGTTAGTAGAGGCAGTTTTCTAGCATTTGAGAAGGAAGGTTTTCACATCCACCAGGCTTAATGTGCGACAGTCTCATACTCTGTAAACCTGTGATACTTACATATGAAAAATACTGAAAGATATAGAGATGAGAGGATGCCAACCCTGACCTGAAAAAACGTATATCATGCTTGCTACAGAGAATGTATCTATTTTAATTAAAGTTGCCTTAATTCTTCTCCTCGATGCCCTTTAAATTTATATATACAACAAACTTCACTAGAAAATACTTTCATTTCAAGATGGCTGTGTCGTATAACTGTAACTAATTAAATTCTGCACTGATTTTAATGAAACTTGTCCAGAGTCTTCTCCTCAAAGCCCTTTATATAACATACCTGACCGAAAAGAAGCTGAAAAAAGTTATGAGGGGTGGCAAAATAAAATTTCAGAATAACTCATAAAGTATACACTTTTTTGTTGATGTATTATGGTCATTTAAAATTTTACAAAAATTTCCTTAAGAACAAAAAAGAATTGTTTGGAATAATGATTGTTTGGACATTTGGAATAATGATATCGTATGCTAAATATTTTCCACATGTTATACTGCAAAACTGAAATCCTTTGTTTTGGTTTTTGATTTGTGAAAAGTCTTACATCGATTGAAGCAATCGAGATTGTTGTCTACATTTCTTAGCAATTTACTAATGATGAAAAAATATATGATTAAGAATAAAAAGAGAATTATTAAGACCAATATTGGGAACCATCTTTTATTTATTTTCCTATGTGTCACAATTTGAATATATGAGTGGCTTCGAAAAATTCATCATTAATATTGGTCTACATTAAAGCTAAGTTACAAAAATTGGCTATCTCTCAACTTTTTAAAAATTACAGATGTCCATTTTTGATAAGAGGCCACTCGTATTACTATTTGGAAATAATAAATCATTGGGCAATAATCTACAGCATTTTTTTAATTTTTTGCTGTTGCAGTTTCAGCATTCTGAATTCATCTTATAAGTTGAAATATATGTTACTGTAATATGTTATTTTGATAGGAGAGGTAGACTATAATATGCTTTAACTGATTAAAAAATTCTGTTAAGATAAAAATGGCAGAAAAAATAAATAAATAAAATTATTATAAATAACGAAATAGTTTTTGGGCACATCTAAATCTAGTCATTCTGGTTGGAAACTAGGTCCAGGAGGACTGCCAAAAATTAATCAGCAGGGGTCCAGTTTAATTTTTTCCAATTTTCACGGATCAACATTCTGCAACCGTTTTAAATAATAAAATCATATTCATAAAAATATCGATTCATCTCTTCCACTTTCTTGAAGAGTAAATGTATTTTTGTTATAAAAAATATATGTGCTTTTTGAGTTATACATATTCTAAATAATCGCTAATGGGTACGGAAAACTGAGGTTTTACCGTAATATACATATTGTTACTAAATTTAAAAAAATAATTTTAACACTCATACTAGAAAATTAAAGAACAATAAAATCTGATGTAATAAAAAAAAATTACTTTTGCTCAATGAATTCAAATTCGGAGATAATGTAACTTCACTGTATATATCAGCAGGTTTATCTTCTTCTTCTGAGTCACTAATAACAACTAAAAATCAAATTAATTTTCACAAAATATTTAATAAATTAATTAATTATATTCATTAATTAAATAATTTACCCATATGATGAGATAATGCTGATTTTTGAAAAGTAGCCCCTCTCTTCCCTTTAATTAGAGGTATTTTTTCATTTCCCAAAACTAAAAAAGTAAAAAAGATATGTGTATATTTTTCTCAGTAAAGACATCAAAAAACGATTTACTACTACTAATTAAGCAATGTTCTAGAGGAGAATGAAACATTCACAAATTAGTCTGTAACAATATTTTAATTGTATTTCAAAATATTTAATATAAATCTCAGGTGAGGTATTTTTTTTATTATAAGTATTTTTAATAGTTTAACTAATACTATGTAAAGAAATGAGGACAAAATTGATAAATTATAATAATAATGAAAAAAGTGGAAGAAAATCATATTTTTAAACTCTGGTTATTCTTAAAATTGAGGTTATACCAGTTAAGACTCTGTCACACAAGTCAGTAAGTTTTCTTCGATAAGGATAGTTAGTAAATTCACTTAATGAATGAATCTGACTGAGAACATGAGTAGAAATACCAGATCGATAATAAATTAAATACCAATTTTATTAAAATTGATGAGATAGGGTAGAATCAAATTGAGAACTAATGCCAGTCAATTACATAATGAATCAAGTTAGAAAGGAATAGAAAGGAACAACAATTTCTAATTCCAAAATGCTTAAATATGGCGGGGCTATTATTAAATTATGGTGATCGAAATTTCCGACTTTTTCAGAAAATTTTTGACAAGCGATATTTTTGCTTAATACATGCCTAAATACAGCTGTAGAATTTAATTAATAATGCATTTATGCATTTTATCTGTTATTGCTTTTTCCTTCTCCATGAATCCATATGAAATGGTCCAATAGGGTCACTCAATCATTTTTATATTTTTATGATTTGATTATTGATTCTCTTTGTTTCTAGAGACAAAAAGAGCTAGGGAATTCTTTTTTTGTATTTGCCTGTTTATAAATGACAACAGTTTCTGTTTCAGTTATATTGGTTAATTTCAATAAATATAAGCATTTTTGGTTTTGTCTATAATTCAAAACCTGTAAAATCTACAAAGATCAAACAAACACAACAATAAAGGTAATGTTTATATAAAAAAAAAAACTTATTCTTAAAACATTCAATTTATTCCTAATTTTAACATGATAAAAAGTGATCTGAAGTTTAATGTAAAAATTTAAAAATAAATCTGTTTGCAAACCATTGTTCACCCATTCCAACTATTAGTTTGGGGTTGCTTCAAGCCATTGAGACTAATGTAATAACAGGTATGTGACCATGTAACAGGTCAAAGGGGATTACCATGCATTAATTCTGAATTGGTTTTGCATTTGTTTTTTATTTTGAAAAACAGTATTTAATTTTTATAAAAAAATATAAGAGTATAACATGTTTTTTGATCCCGTGGCAGTCGCTCAGATCACTGCGTTAATTGAAAACGGCCGAAGTCAACTATGCGCAGTCTGGAACTACGGGCTGCCTGAAACATCGGTTCAGCGAGCAGACCAGAGCTACCAGGAGACAGGCCATCCAAGAGGAACAGACCCAGCTGATAACAGCTTCATTGCTATGCAGACCCTCAGACACCGCTACCAGACTTCATTCGAGACTATTCATCGATTTTGCATCACTCAGAGTGCGGAACTCAAACCTACGCGCGGTTTTCTACTCACCGCAGCGCATCCAGAAGCTCACTTTCGCTTTTGTCGTGAACAGGCAGCCTGGACAGAAGATGATTTGGCCTCTGTTCTGTTTTCTGGCAGCTATAGCTTTTATGATGCTAACGAAGGAGTTCGAGTGTGAATAAGACAATGTAAGCAATGTATTCAGTGAAATATAGTGGGAAGGGTGTCAGTGATAGTTTGGGGGGGGATATATTTAGAGTCAAGGACCTTAATTTTTTCCGAAGGCCCACGCTCAATGCACATACTTGATCACCGACATCCTTGAGGAATATGTGGTTAGAGGTATACGTACCGTATCGCTCTCCGTTTTCTTTTTATGCGGGATACAGATCGGCCGCACATCGAAAATGTTCTAATGGACCAATTAGATCAGGTTAGTGTCTGCTCCTTCTAGTGGCCAGCTTGCAACCCGGGCCAATCCTATTAAACATCTTTGGAACCAATGAAATGGATCAGATTAAAAATCGGGTAACCACCTTATTCGTTCGTAGTATGACTATGAGAGTAAATGTCGTTATTAAAACAAGATAAGGCAGTGATGACAGTCTTAAACATAAATTGATAGCTTTCTTTAAAACAGCTAACAAAACCGGTGAACGACAGTTTCCAATCTAACTAAATAGTTAGGAGTTGATTTTGGCCAGAGATATAAGAGTTTGAGAAATTTCATCTGTGCCAATTCGATTGATTCCGAATATCTCAAGCCCCAGATTTCTGCTGCATACAGAAGAGTTGACGAGACCATTGAATCAAATAGGGTCATTTTGGTTTCCCACGAATCGCTTTTACCTCTTATTAAGATCTCTCGTACCTCTTAGGTGCTCAGCAGCCTTGGAAAACTTTGCCGATGTTGAAAATGTCACTACTAGATAGTTATAGATTTTCGTAAATTCCAGAAGTTTGTTTTGCCAATAAAGAGACTTTAGTTTTTTCATACGTGGTGATTTGTGGCATACCAGGATGTTTGATGATTTAGGACTAATGAGTTTCGGGCACAATACTTTTCCAGAATCTGCAGCTTTTTGTGGGTTTGCTCCAGGATTTGCTTAACAACACAATATCATCTGCCAGTAGTAGCATTATAACCTCACTTGCACTATCAATGAGTAAACCTGATGCACCGTTATTTACAAAATAGGTTATTATGTCTGAGACAAATATAATGATAAGGATGATCAGAGCACTATTATGCGATAATTAAGTTAAAATCACTGGGCATGAAGAGGAAACTATATTAGTCATCAATGAAGTCAAACTTCCAAATTTTAACTTTTGTTTTTTCTCCCAATGTCCAACACATCACTGTTAGCTCCCCCCAGTGTGCGCCGGTGAAAAAAGGTAGTGGACCCCTGACCTAACATAGCGAAGACGTACATACCTAAAAATTTAAGAAAAAAAATCTGTATAATTTAAAATTGTCTTACCTTTAAAAACCGTAATTTGTTCTTTTTTTTGGTTTTGATATCTGATAAGCCTGAAATGAACAAAACAATAATTAAAGTAAAGTACAAATAAAGTTCAAAATATATCAACCAAATACTTTTGATGTAGTTATACACTAAACTCATTGGTACACTTTTGCAGCGCTAAATGTGTCGTTTAATCTCCATTTTCATGATTTTCTTACTTTTTAGATGATGTAATCATAAACATAAATGTATAAAAATACTATACCTTATTTTGGTTTGATATATAGAAAATTACCAGAGTTAGAGGTATTTTCCCAAAACATGTTTTAAGTCGAAAAGCAAATTCAAAATGGACGCCAAGAAAAATCAGTGAGCCTTAACATTTCTGTAACTATGGTTTTAAACTATCAAATAAATACGGAATTACTGGTTAAAAAATTATAAAAATTCGAGCAACAAAATTAATTCATATTGGGTGTTTTGTGAGTAATTCAAAATGGGTGGGGATTGACTCATATGGCTTCACCATGAAATGGCAAAAAAAAAAAAATAACATTTCAGAAGTTTTTCTGTTGATCGCATATAACTCCAAAATGACGCATCCTAAAGAAAAATCACTTCAATTAAAAAAGAAAGCTGATAAAATTTCTGAACAAATAAAACCACCAGCTTTTTTTTGTTTTTGTTTGGCCTTCCTTGCTAAAAATTTAATGTTTCTACATCCAATTTTACCCACAGGTGTTCTATCAGATTAAGAGCTAGTGACTGTGGTGTAGTATTTATAACTTTGGGGCAGTTATAAATTAGCCTTTCCTTAACTGACATGACAGAGTGTTTGGGACAATTACCCTGATAAAAACTAAATTTGTTTTTTAGCCCAAGATTTTTCCGAAATATCTTTCAAGTTTATTGTCAAAATGTTTATTCACTATACTGTGTATAGGATGTTTACACACACACACACACACACATATGCGTATTTATCGTGCGTGTGAGTGTGCGTATTTATCGCAAAGCTTTGTAAGTCTGAAATAAGAAGATTTTGGATAACTTGGAAAACTATTAGTTCGGGAGCCCGTTGCAAAAAAGGTGTCATTTTCCATACTAAGCTTTGTCCTTATAAATTGATCATATCCATAGGCCTGATGACAAAAATGCACGTCTGCCAGCATATAGCCGCTGCAATAGAAAATTGTAACCATGTGAAGATCGACAGAGACCCTACATAAGATTGTAAGCGTATGTATATAGAGAGATATATAAAGCTGGCTTATAGATATATAAAGCTACCAATCCTTTCAATGTATAGTATTTACAGTCTTCCGTGATATTCGTCCTCGTACTTAATTTCGAATAAAACATTTTTGCATCGCATTTTTACTATTATTTGACTCGCCAACTCTTTATCTTTTCATTTTACGAAAAAGTCATAAGAAAGAAAGTTTATATATAATTTTCTTTGAGAATATATAACTTTACTAATAGAATATATATATAACTTTACTATCTTATCTTCAACCATTCCAAGGCTAGAACAATTATAACTAAATGATCAAATTCCGAAACTATACAGAAAAACTTACTTTTCGCAATTTCCGATATTACACAGCTCTTAATCTGTATATAAGACAATATAAATGTGTATACAATGGTTACATAATATTCATATATATACAGATTAAGAGCTGGATAATAACGAAAATCGAGAAAAATAAGTATAGTTTTGGAGTTAAATCATTAAGTTATAATTATTCTAGCCTGTGAATGGTTGAAGATAATATAGTAAAGTAATATATATTCATAAAGAAAATTTAATTTTAAACAACTTTCTTCCACATGACTTTTTCGTAAAATGAAAAAGTAAAGAATTGGAGAGTCAAATAATGATAAAAATGAAGAAATTAATGAATTACGAGGGCGGGTATCACGGAAAGTATATAATATAGCGAAAAAACTAATACATCCATTTCTATTGCAAATTTTGTCAGATTTAATTTCACACGTGACATTAATAATATAGAAAGAACTCATAGTTTCACTGATATAAGCGAAAAACCGAAAAAAGTAAACTTTTTGAATCGTAAATTAAAATTTTCGACTGGAAATATCGGGGTATTTCATGTCTCAAGACTGTGAATACTATAAATTGAAGGGATTGGTAGCTTTCTATATCTATAAGCCCTCTCTATATAGACGCTTACAACCTATGTAGGGTCTTTATCTATCTTCACACGTCCGCCATTTTGTATTCCAGCGGCTATATGCGGGCAGACGTGCGTTTTTCTCATCTCAATTTATATGGATAAACTTTAATATGAAATATGAGTTAGTTTTTCGCCATGGGGTCCAGGACTATGGGCGCCATGGATTGGAGATCAAATAAAGAAAAAAAAAAAAAAAAAAAAAAAAAGCCCTGTACCACTACGACCCACCCATGAAGGGTCTTGGATGCAGTACTATGTGAAGGAGTACCGTAACAAGGCCAACGGTAGTGCAGGGAGATGATGGGATCGATATCAAGTCACGCTCAACCGCCAGGTTTTCTCCCTTAATTTTTTTTAATTAAAGGTACAAATTTTATAGAGGCTGGGTATGGCCCCAGGAGGGTCTCCCGGTCTCAGAGTCGATCCACGGCTAATGAAAAATTACAAGTTATTAACGGGATTCAAACCAATGACCTTCAGCTCTGGAAAATCAGTGCTCACCCACTGAGCTACCCCGCTTCCTTCAAGATATAATAGTCCAGTCTAATTAGGGATTGATCCGAACATTAAAAAAATATAGATGAAAATTGTCAGAAATTGTATGTTACCTTCCGCATAATACTAGTGAAAAGTTAAAAAGAATCTCGCGTCGGATGTTGATGGCGTGAGAAAGGGAAGGACAGAAACTGATATTATAGGTTTTTTTTTTAATACCTCAATAAATATAAGGTTTTTCGGAAAGATTGTTCAGTATAATATTAAAACACTTTAAAATCTCTATGAAAATGACCTTATACATTTTTTTTTATAAAACAATGGTTTCGAAGATATTTAAGAGATTATAGTTATCGTGTTTCCACTTTTAGCAAACATTATTCAAAACCAGAAAATAGATGTTGTTCTAAGTAGACGATACCTTTTTGAAATTTAAATTGTTTAAAACATTTTCGATTGTTCAAATTATTATTTAAATTTTCTTTCGTTTGATGATTCTTAAAAGTTATTGAGATCAGAATTGTATTCGATATTAATCAATGGGGAATTTCGTGATAATTATATGAAGTTTAGATTGATATTAATTTCATATAATTGATAATATGTGATTGAAGGGATTAAAACTTATAGAAAGTTATATCAGAAACCATAGTCTGATTTAGAGATGGGCAAGTGCTACTCTGAATACCGAGCACCAAGTATTTAACTCAAATCGAATCACTATTGGGAATTCGATCACTACTTCAGTTAATCTTTCAACATCAAATGAAGTATAGTCCGTGGTACAGGATATTTTTGAAGGCCACCTTTTTTCTCGACTTAGTGATCAAATTATATTACGATCCAAGTAGAAGGCAAATGTGTATTTACGAGTTTTTAGTACCTAATTATATAGACAAAGCCCCTCCCCCCGTCCAGATTGAAAACGCCCCAATTGCAGGAGTTTTCGTAAATAAAATAGTTGTAGGTTACGATGAGATAAAACTATTTACGGAGTTTCAGGCGGATTTTAATAATTTGTTAAAATTGGGTCTGTACCACGGACTATTACTACATACTACATATATAGGTAACTGAAAGTAAAAAAAAGTATCTAAAAAAGTTGATGTGTAAACAATTTTATGTGATCTAAATTAATAGAAGCAAATTATAGAATTTGATATTAAATACTATACAGGAAATAAATTATGTTTTATATTTTTCAATCAAGCCTCAAATAACGAAAAATGTTGACAAACTATATATGTTTTTTATTTTTTACATTAAATTATGCCAATTTTCACCAACATTTTATTGATACGCATTAATTTGACGTTTCGACCATACTAAGGGTCATTTTCAAATCTTTATGAGTCCTCCGTTATATGCTCATCATTAATGTTGTAATTAATATGTTCAGTGAACATTAACTTGTCATGTTATATCGGGGCTTCGCCCACGTCATTTCTGGAGGGACTCCATGAGTCGGAGGACTCATAAAGATTTGAAAATGACCCTTAGTATGGTCGAAACGTCAAATTAATGCGTATCAATAAAATGTTGGTGAAAATTGACCTAATTTAATGTAAAAAATAAAAAACTTCAAGACACTAAAAGTAGGAAAAATGGACAGAAGGTATATATATATGTTTGGTTATAATATCCAGTCATTGATACTGTCGATAATATAAACAATTTTCTTATAATTCATTATTAAATTTACGAAACATAAAACACAAATAATAAAAAATAAAAATAAAATAAGGAGTGTAAATTGTTTTATCACATTCAATTTGTTTTGATAATTCTAAAAACCAACATTAAATAGTACAAACTTAAAATTAAATCATATTCGATATCAATCATTAAAGAATATTTTTAGGAGAAGTAATATTTAATTCACTAGCAGATCCAGCCGGAGGGCACGCCTCCTCTGAGAGCAGGAAAAAAAATTCCAAAAAGCACCTATTAGTTTTAATTTAATAATTTAAGAGAAATTCATACTCATAGAAGATAAATTTCCTAATGTAATAGAAAAAAAAATTATTATCGTGACCAGCACTAGCGAATTCTGGCAGGGGGTGCGGCGCGCCTTTCCTTAGATGGTGGGAAAAAATTCCGAAAAAAGTGACAAACAACACCTATTTAAATAAAAGAGAAATATAAAGAAAATTCACTCTCATACAGGAATTTAATAATGTAATATAAAAAAATTTTATTACCGTGACCAGCACTAGGGAATTCTGCCGGGGCAGGGCGCCATACCTTGGATGCTGGAAAAAATCCGAAAAAAAGTGACAAACAATACTCATTTAAATAAAAGAGAAATATAGAGAAAATTCACTGCCATACAGGAATTTCCTAACGTAATATAAAAAAAAAACTAT